GAACTGTCCAAATATTGGCTCTCCTAATGGTTTTACAGCGAAGTTGTAAATAGACGTTTGAAAGGCCTGCGTATGCTATTATACACATGTCAAATTTTAACAATTTTCGACAATCTGATTTTAACGAATTTAATGATTTTGTTATTGTCAAATTGTATTTCGCAATTTGATATTCAAAGTAATGTAATATGATGTAGTCTGTGATGTAGTAGTGTACACAGCACAACAATAATTACTAAATACGGGACTAAATATTAATGTTTTTAAATTACCTTTGACAATAATCAAATCATAGGTTGACAACTTAAGATATATTTAATATTTTTTATTTTGTATTTGTATGGTTTTGGCTTTGCTACCTGTTCAGTGTAATTTAAAAATAGGTGCAGTTTTTCTTAAATTAGTTAAAATTGGCTTGTCCAAAATTGATTAAATTTGGCATGTGTATTTACCATACGCAGACCTTTAAAACCCCTATTTACGACTTTGCTGTAAAATAAATAGGGGAGCCAATATTTGGACAATTTAAAATTTGCATGAGATTTCCTGTTTCCAACAACGATGCACCACCCGGTCTGTAATGTGTATTTTTTTTGTTACTTGACTTGTTTTTTGACTATTTTGACTGTTTTTTGTTACTATTTTAGCTTAGGGCCTGATGATGAAATGTAACTGTGTCGAAACTAGTCGTTAACCTAACCCCTCCTTTTGTAAAAAATTAAAAACAAAATAAAAAAAATAATAAAATTGTCAAAATTCGTGACTTCTATTCTTTCATTTAAGGATAATTATTTAAATGAACTAACATTGGGTCAATGGACGTTTGTTAACTATGCATTAGTGTGTTTTTCATTACAACGTCAATTTCAAAGTGTCGTAATAGAGATCAACCTATTGCGGGAACGAGTTCCAAAATTTCCAAAAAAATAAATGTTTAAAACTGTTTTTCTTTGAAATTTACTAAGCAGTCATGATAAAAATAAAACAAATGGCAGCTTTTAAGTTAGATTAACTTTTACACAATCTAATTAACGCTATTAAGGAGATATAAACATTCTCGATTGACGTATCGCAGCCGCTTAAAGGTAAGAAAATGAATTAAATACCAAATACCCCTTTTAAGTGAAATTTATGTTTATTTTGAACCTTTCAACCATCATCTTATACAAGATGAGTTTCCTACGATGTTCTCTATGGGTATCTCGGAAACTACTAAAGTCGGTTAAATGGGGAAAGAATTGCAGTTTTGTGGGGTCATAAATATGCGTCTTTTAGATTTTTGAAAAAGTCCATGGCTTACTAGATATTTCGAAAAAAAAACAAAAAAAAAATTAAATTTTGAAAACCACTGGATCTTTTCTGCGTTTTCGAGTGGGTTTTATTTCTCGTAAATTTAATCTCTCTCTATGTTGCCATCTCGGTTGCCATATTATGAAGATATAATGTTTTTTAACTAAAAATTTAAAAAATAATTCCAAAATATTCCAAATTTTCAGTGTTTTCTGGTGTCGAAATATTCTAGCCCTAAAAATATTTGCACTTAAGACTCACCCTGTATATATTTTTTAAGCCAAAACAATGAAAATATGACGGATCAAAGACGGCTGGGAAATGAATATCACTGTAAACACTTGCCATACTACTTGGTGGAAATGCTATTGGATATACAGGGTCGCTGATATGTATGGGAACGATCGATTATTAGGTAAACTATAAGAGGTACCGCAAAAAGTTAAAAATAAAAGTTATGTTTTGTTTTAAATATCTACAGCGGGTAATAAATTTAAGCATACAGGGTCGGTCATAAAGTCGTGGTACATCAAAGTTTCATTTTTTTAAACGGAGCCTCCTGTAGATTATTGCATATTTCGGTTCTTACTTCACTTCTGAGCAAAAATCGAGTTACACACAATGTACCTCAAACCAACCGTTTCCGAGTTATTGACTTTTGAAAATATCACTTAAACAATTCGATTTAATTCTGACGATTTAATAAGTGATATTTTCAAAAGTCAATAACTCGGAAACGGTTGGTTTGAGATACATTGTGTGTATCTCGATTTTTGCTCAGAATTGAAGGAAAACCGAAATATGCAATAATATAGGGGGGTTCCATTTAAAAAAATGAAACTTTGATGTGTCACGACTTTATGACCGACCCTTCACAAATCTTAATTCCTTAGTCCTTAATTTCAATAGAACTATTTTCATAATCCACTCATCTTAAGACGATTTTATAAGTTGACGTAAAAATAGCACAAATATATCAAACGACTTTGTCTTTGACCACATCCAACATTATTTATACAGGGTTGTTCACCACATACGACACGGAGTATTATGGCTAAGCGATTAGATTTTTACAAATTGTAAGTTTTGGGTTCGTTGAAGGACTATTAGAGCTACAATTTAAAAATATTTTTACAAGATACAGAGTGTCCCAAATAAATAAAAAATATCAAAGTTGTATTTTTTTAAATGGAACACCCTGTATATTATTACATTTTCAGTTTCTACGATTAAAATAAAGGTAGATTTGATTAAGGTTTATTACCCTTAAACCTTACCGTTTTTGAAATATTTTCAATTTTGTGAAATTGCAGTATAAATTTTAAGGCTTCATTTCTCCGAGGGTTTCAAAGTTTTTAGTACTAAATATTTACTGAAGTTTATTTATTGATCAGTTATTGTATTGCAATAATAAAAATTTTACTACCTTATACAGAGTGTCTAAATATTTATTTTAAATAATTATTAGCTTTAAACGACAATAACTTGTTTAATTTAAATAGAACACCCTGTATATTTTATGAGAATCAGATGCACAATTTAATTGTCTATCAAATTGTATTATACCATTTATTACCTATCTCTTCAAGTTTCCGTAGAAAATGCATTTTCTTGTAATTTAGAACTCATTTATCAATATACCCATGGAATACTGACATTTCAGATTATTTTTAAAGATGTACCAAATTTTTAAAGAGTACAGATACTAATATTGTCGATATAGTTCGTTTATTTCATTAAAAAATAAAAAAACTCTTTAAATATTTGTTAAAGAGGACCAATTAATATGATTCCAGTATTCAAACTACATTAATTGGCTGTTTGCTTTGATTAATAATAATTGCTCCAAATACTAAAAAACTGAATTATGTATGTGTATTAGACAGTGTGGTAAAAAAACTAACACCTTAAAAATGATATTTAATTTTTTGACAAAAAATGCTTATTTATAACAACAGAAACGTTCATTTTCATAACTTATTATTATATTGATTTCTGATTCAAATCCACATTTATTTAGAATAATTTATTAACGAACACAATTAAGTATGTAATTAATTAATATTTAGGCGGAAATACTGGTGGTATATTTAATTAATGATATACTCTTTATAAAGATTTAAATAGTTTTCTTTTTGCATACAAATGGGCTAGTAATATTATCGTTTTAATAAAAACGATAATATTACTAGACTGGACATTTTGTACATTTGTTGTTTTAAAAACAATCTAAAATGTCAATATTCCATGGGTATATTGAAAAATGAGGTCTAAATTATAAGAAAATACATTTTCTACGAAAACTTGAAGGGATAGGTAAAAAGTGGTATAACACAATTTGATAGACAATTAAATTGTGCATCTGATTCTCATAAAATATACAGGGTGTTCCATTTAAATTAAACAAGTTATTGCCGTTTAAAGCTAGTAATTATTTAAAATAAAATTTTAGACACTCTGTATAAGGTAGTATAATTTTTATTTTTGCAACACAATAACTGATCAATAAATAAACTTCAGTAAATATTTAGTATTAAAAACTGTGATACCCTCGGAGAAATGAAGCCTTAAAATTTATACTGCAATTTCACAAAATTGAAAATATTTCAAAAACGGTAAGGTTTAAGTGTAATAAACCTTAATCAAATTTACCTTTATTTTAATCATAGAAACTAAAAATGCAATAATATACAGGGTGTTCCATTTAAAAAAATACAACTTTGATATTTTTTATTTATTTGGGACACTCTGTATCTTTTAAAAATATTTTTAAATTGTAGCTCTAATAGTCCTTCAACGAACCCAAAACTTACAATTTGTATAAATCTAATTGTTTAGCTACAATACTCCGTGTCGTATGTGGTGAACAACCCTGTATTTTCCTTTTGTACATAACTTGTAAATCTAAACTAGATCATCCTTTTTATTTCATTTATAGTAAACAAGTATTTCAATTCCTCAAGAAGTTTTTTTTTCATTATAACTACTAAAATTCCAAAACACATTTTTTATAGCAAAGAATAGAAAATAATATGATAATAAAAGCAATAGACAGACAAATTATGTTAAAACGTAGCCTCTCTAGAGTCTAGAATAGAAGTGTACATTATTCCTGTGTAAATTGGTACTAAAATTTTATTACTCTATTAATAAAAATGTATCACAATGTATTCAGCCCATTGGGTTAAATTACTTGCATTGTGTCTACGGAAAGGTGGTAGATAAATATACAGAATAATAATCAAGTAAAGGTGGTTTTTCAAAACTCCAGGATAATTTCTTTCAAAAATAAAAAAAATATATACCGTATGATAAAAAAAAACGGCGTCAGCGATGGCTATGGAACGAAGGTCGCTGTCATTTTATATGAAAAATTATATGGGGAATGTCACCGATTGTCATTTCCAAGCCAACTGGGGACGCCGTTTTTTTTTCGATTATACAGGAACGCTATTAATTATAAAAAAATCGTTAGTTTTACCTGTTGTTTATATTTATGTATCTACTTCAAATGTTTACTGTTTTAATTTGACTGATAAATGCTTACTATGCGGGAAGTACTTAGTTATTACCCTATCTACAATGTCAATTTATATTACTTATAAACTGGATTTTACGAATTAGCCAGTGCAATGACTCAGTTAAGTCTGTGTAAACATTATTACGTATACGCGATCCAAGAAAATAATAATAATCGTGTAGGTACTCACCAAAAAGGGCTAGAGGGACTTCGAACTAAATTGTTAGCAGACTGCGATTCCCTTATGGGTGAGCCAAAAAAACCTTCTGAAAATTTTAAAAAAGACATCGTCCCACTGAATTTCGATTATCATCAGCAAAATAGTCTCCGTATCACTACGTTAGTTTTATTTTAATAGTCCTAATATCATCGAGTTTTATCGCACCACAAACCCTCGAAATATTGTGCCCTATAAGGTCCTTTAGGTACACAACTTCCTCGCGTCATGCTTGCCGAAAATACCCTTATTTCCTAGCTATATTTTATAACTGAACTGTAAAAAATCCACAAGCACTATCCAGTTACGACACAGTCTCAAAACAAAAGAAAACCACTGTTAAGCGATAAAGACGATCTGTATAAACCAAACACAACGTAGATTTATAAATAAACTGATAAATAATGCGTAACATGAACACAACGAACGACCGAACTCGACTGAGTGGGAATTTTTAAATACAGACACAGCCTCTGTTTTGTTGGTCCACGTGGGTTACGACAGGAGTGCTCTATGTGCGTCTCTCTTACCCCAAAGCGATCCAGATAAGTTAAAGATCCAGAGAGTCTGCGAGATTACGATGAAAATTTATTGATTTTATCATTGAAATCGAAAACTGTCTTTGCGTTTATGTAGGAAAATAAACAAATACCTAATGACATAATTCGTTAGTACTAATGGTAGGTAAATAAAATATAATATTCTACCGAGTACAATATCAACAAAAAATCTTGAAAAAAATAAATGTTTTAATTTTTTGCGTAAAAATAATACCAAATAATGTAGCCAAAAAATCAAGATGGATAGATAACAAAAACACTATAGAATATGAATAAATTAATAGCATTCCTAACCTACTCTAGATGTTATGAGTAAAATATCATTAAACACATTGTAGACTAAGACTAATGATTAAAAAACATATTGTTAATAAGAATAAATAGATTTCTATTACCAGTATAATAGAGGTGCATGCATAGGTGCATGTACACATTTAACCCCTTATTTATTTAACCCAGATAACATTAAGCATAATTTTAAGACACTACGACAGCATAGTTTTTCGAAATTAACTAAACTATATAATATTTAAATATAACTAAAAAGTACGATAACGTTTGTCTACAATATTAACAATTCATGAAGTAAAAATAACAATTAACTACTAAAAAATTTCAAGGGAAAGAATACTTACAGATCAGCTGCTGATACTGTATAATCAATAGAATTATTTGTAGCTGTATCTTCGTCCATGTCGATTTTTTACAGAACAGTTTATTTATATAACAATACTTATTTAAATATACGAAATTAACACTCTTTAATCAAAACCAACGGTCTCTCAATCAACTTTAACTTCAAACAGCAAACAGGTTTATTTTGATTGGTGGTTGCTAAGAAGCGGTTGACATATAAAGCACGGTTGCCAAATTTTTGAAAAGGTGCTAAAGTGACGTTTGTATTTTTAGGATATTTTCTTTATAATGAAAAACACATAATACGCCTATTTCATATTAATAGACTATATTCCTGTACGCAGAAGAAGTAATAACATTAATAAATACTCTATAAATCTTATGCATTTTAACATCTTGTAACCATCATGCAACACTGAAATAGTTTGTAATGTGTTATGTTGGTTGCCTATAGACTTTATTACATATTTTATTCTTACAGGGTGTCTCCAACAGAATCAATATTTTCTAATAAATTCTCCAAGTAAAAATAAGTATTTAGATTGTTGTACGTTATTTTACCTTTGTTCAAGAATATATAATATAGAAAATAAATAAAGAATGTAATAATAAAGAACATAATAAAATAAAAAGTATGTGATAACATAAAGACTTAGCTAACTTGATAGAGTATTTTAGGTGTTTTACGGTAAAAATTTTATATAAATTATTTTCCTACATATGGTGTAAGAATTTGCTAAGTACAATAAATACATAGTATTCTATTTATTAACGGTTTAATTTGCATTACAGCTTTTTTTCTCTAAAAAACTTTGAGTACTTCGTATTTCATCACTGAAGCAAAAATCTAAAAAATAAAGTAGTTATTTTTTGTAAATAATAACTACAATAATAAAAAATAAATCTAGAATCAACGTAAGAAATAAAAAAATGAATAATCAAATATAAAATTAACAGTACAAAGAATTAAAAACAGATAAACATTTAGAAAGGATCAAATGTAATGAATAGGTGTTACTTCATTTAACATTCATATAGTTATGTTCCAATATCTCTTATTAAACGCGGAAAAACAAAATGCTGCTATTTTGGTGACAGTTTGAAACACTTTGTGAAATAGCGCATATAGTTTTTTTACCAAAAAATATTATTAATCTATGTTTTTAATATATTGATTTGGAAAATATTTTTATTATAGGTATGTGGTTTTTACTTTTTAATGGCAGTGACATTATAATATGACATTATATAGTCTGTGAAACGAATAACTTTGAATTTGACAGTTCCCGCGGGCTTTTCTAGTGTTAATTTTATTAGGTTAGCAACTTGCGGTCATGTTGACGCAATGCCGTCTCTAATAGAACAGCCAATATATACAATGACAGCGATCTTTATTTCATAACCATCATTGACGGCTTTTTTTCTATGATTTTGTATTATTTGCAAATATAATTTTTCGAACATTGATACTTGCAAAATATACATATAAATTTTGTGAATGCAAATAATAATACATCACTATTAGTAGATATGGAATGTTTTTGTTCAATTATATAAAATTCAAATTATATAAACGATAAACACTATTTAACCAGTCAGTGTGTTGATTAGAACCTGAATTTTATTTGCAGTTATTTGGAAGATTCTGTAACTGTCTGTTATATTAATAGATATATGTGTTATTTATATGTATTGTAAAAATCTGGGGCGGATACAGAAATTTATTTTAGGGGGGGGGCAAAATATAAAGCAATGTAGAATACGTTTTTAGGGCGCCATTTTTATCCCAAAAGCCTAATATTTTACACAATTTACAGATTTTAGGGGGGGGGGGCCCGGGCCCCATGGGCCCCCTCTGTATCCGCCACTGGTAAAAATACTGGAACTTGTTTTCGATAAATAAAATAAAAAATATTATTATTATATTATACAGTATGTCGCCGGATTGTTTTTACTAGAGGAAAAACTTTTTTATTATTGACATTTTGAGACAAATGCATTCTTTATAAAAAAATTGCTTGTTCTAAAATGATTAATCGCGTTTATACTTTTCAAATTTTCCATACCGTTTTAGTTTATTTAGATAAAATTAAACAAACATGAAAATATAGTTGAATTTTTCCTCTAAAAAATCCTAAAAATCAAAAAAAAAATTGTCCAAATTTTTTTTTTTAAAAAATTCTATGGTAATATAGTTTCGATTTCATTTTTTGATAGATTGTTATTGATTATATATTTTTTTGATAGATTATTGACTTTAATTAATGTGCTATTTGCTGTTAAAAAAAATTCAAAAATGTTAAACAAGCACAAAATTTATTTTTAGTTTAATGCTACGGAAAGGGTGATATAGTTATTAGAAAATGTGATACTTTAACCACAGCACAAATATAACACCAATCAAAATTAATTATAACAATCTATCAAAGAATGAAATCTAAATTATATTATTATAGAAACGCGTTTTTATTTTTAGGACTTTAGGAGAAAATATTCAACAATATTTTCATGTTTTTTTTAATTTTCTCTAAAACGGTATGGAAATTTTAAAAAGTAGTATAAAAGAGATTAACCATTTTAGTACCAGCAAAAATATTTATGAAGAATGCATTTTTTCCAAATTGTCAATAACAAATAAGTTTTTCCTCTTGTAAAGACAATCCGGGGATATACTGTATATGCTAAAATTACTGACAATCGTTACCATCTTCTTCAAAAGCGAATATCTCCAATAAAAATAAAGCTATTGAGATGAACCAAAATCAGATTATCGAGAAAAAATGCACCCTTATGCTTTTTAAATTCCATATTTTTGTCAAACAACTCAACAGGATGTTTGAAACCTTCGCCAAAATGTCAACATTTTGTTGAATCTCATAAATCTCGTGCGTATAATAGACAGATGCTAGCATTACTATGGTTAAAAATAGAACACAATTTTTTTAAATATCTAGGTACTTTATAGGAATTTATGTGGCAACTACGTGAGATAACCGAAATCCTCTTCAAAACTTGATTAAATGTTACTAGTATGCGCATAACAAATCATTTCAAGGTCCTGTGTACATAACACTGATACAAACAAGGTAAAAGATATAAATAATATATGAAATAATTAAAAACCTATACAGCCGCTACGGTATAAACAAAACAATACCACAGTCTGTACCTATAGTAGTTCTCATCGCTGTCTAGTAAAAAGAAGCAATTGGGTGGCAAGTAGAATAATTTATATTTATCAATTTATATACGATTACGATTTTAATTATTGTTTTATGTACTAAGTAATAAAAATGGATACAAATAATATAGTACCGGATACACTTGACCACGTCCCTTCCGCTAAAATTACAGTTATTTATCCCGGAAATAAAGAAGTGATTTTTGGCGGTGAACTTAAACCTACTGATGTTTTAGAACAACCCCAAATATCATGGAAAGCAGATCCAGAAAAGTTGTATACATTGTTGATGGTAGATCCAGATGCACCAAGTAGAGAAAATCCTACTTTCAGGTATAATATTCATTTAGTAGTTTATTATTATTTAGTTATTTCATCCTATTTCTACATATGACAAATTATTATGCAATATAATTTATGTTATCAAAGATATTGAAATAAATATATTACATCTGTCTGAAGGATTCATGTATAAGCACTTAAAGAAAATATATGCAGTGATAATATGGAACTCGAAAACATATTTTTCCAGCAAGACGACTCACCGCCTTTGAACGCTGAAGTTATCAGCAAATTTTTGCAGCCAATTTCAAGAATAATTGGAGAGCTAACCAAGACCCTAGCCGTTGGCCGTCGAGGCCGCCTGACTTAGTGCCCGTGGATCTATTCCTATGGATATTTGCGGAAGAATAAAGGTTCCTTATTCTTCCGTATAATCTAGACAAGAATTAAAAATACTTAGCAGTTATGATATATATCTTTCACCCCCACTGAGTTAACTGTTCAAAACCACGCGAGAAATGTTCAAAAACTGCCCCGTCTGTCCATAACAGAAGACGGTCGATATGTCGAACACCTGTAGCAAAATCTCATGTCTTGGTCTGCTATTTATTTTTATTGTTATTAGATATAGTTTAAATGTGTTGATGTTTGTTAAATATATTTTAAATTGTTAGAAAATTCTGCATCTCTCATAGCAAATATTATTTTCGTTTTAATTGATGCTCACAGCTAGAATTTTTTTTTGCATTACAGCCGGTGCCGTTCAAAGCCTACTTATTTAAAACAGGCGAATTTTTATATACTCTATATCTCGAAGAGGAATCGAGCAAAATATCGAGTGTATTATATTTTTGGAAAGGTAATTTTAAGTTCTTTTTAATAAATTAAAAATATACAGAGTGTCCCATATAAAAAATCAAATTTTCTGTTGATAATTCTTAAATTATTAATTTAAAAAAATTTATACTTAAGCCATTAAATTCTACGTAAAAAGGTGCTTTGGAAATGTTTTCATAAAAATACAAAATTTTCCATAGCAAAAAAGTTACAGCGATTTGTCAAAAATGCATATTTTTGAAAACCACCCCGTAACTCCGAAACGGTAACAGATGCGGTAACATGTGCAGTTTTCACCATCATGTTTTTGACAAAAATTGAGCTCCAGACACTGATATTAGTTTTTGTCTATCTCCTATAGAAAAGCATGTTTCCATTTAAAAGCGTCGAATTTGACCCACCCTGTACATATACAAGGCATTACTTTTAAATCTTTTTATATTATTTAAAACGTTTGAAATTGTTTGATTGAAATTATTTGTGGCGTTTGAAAAAAAATTGCATGTTCTATTTGGAGTAAAAATGAATTTTTGTGGCTCGCCTGTATTAATAAGCCTGTATATATTATGTTAAACGTAAAACCTCGCCACAAAAAAAATGTCACTTTTACTCTTAATAAAACAATATACTATTAAAAGGAAGCAAACCTAGAAGTAACTATATCTTGAAACTTTTAAAGCTTGAAATATTCAAAGTTAGTGTCGAATGTCCTCTCAAATTCCTCATATTTCCTAATGATATTGGTACCGTATGATCGAAAAAAACGGCGTCCAGTTGGCTTGGAAATGACGATCAATGACATTTCCCTTATAATTTTACATATAAAAAATGACAGCGAACTTCATTTCATAGCTATCGCTGACACCGTTTTTTTATCATAAGTTATTTATACTGGTTACACTAAATTAATGTCTATCTTTTTTGTAGGGAAGGTAACCACTGGTTAGTCATTAATATTAAAGGAAATGACATAACTACGGGCCAAACACTGACATCCTACAAAGGTTCCAGGCCACCCAAAGGTTCCGGTCTTCATCGCTACATTTTTATCGTTCATGAACAAAATGGTCCCATAACGGTGAACGAACCCGATTTAGAAAGTAACAGAAGAAATTTTTCTGCAAGAGCATTTGCGAAAAAGTATAATATGGGCTTACCATACGCAGGAAATTACTATCAGGCTCAATGGGATTCGTCACTACCGCTGGTACGTTAAATTAATTATCTAATTATAAGTATATAAGTTTAATTGTTATAATATTTTTCTATCGGTATTAATAAATATTTGCATGAGATTATAGAATATATACGAATTTATTTTATGTTTTGTTTTATTTTGAGTTTTCTGAAATTTGTCCTCGTGATGATATTTTTTGTTTTTTATCTATATTTAAATCTTTTTTTATCTATTTTAAATCTTTTATCTATATTTATTAACTACTTCATTGAAAGATGTTCAAGTAGCTATGTCATATCGATCACTGCACATATACAAGATATAACCCTGTATTTTCACAATTTCAAAAATTTAATCATTTTTTTTAAACATTTCATAAACAACAATTTGATCATCATTCGTAAAGAGAAATTGTGGTTAGAAAAAAAGTTGATTGTTTTGTAAGCAAATGATTAGGCTTTCTCTATGAATACAACTGACTACCGCAAGCTGTTGTTAGAATATTCTATTTATTTTTGTATTTTTTTAGACATTGTGAATACTCGTAAACTGTTAAGTATAAAGTACAATTGGAACCACTAATTTATTCCACTAATTTCGAGTTTCTGAATGATAGGTCAGCTTTAAGCTTCATTCGCCCTATTAGAAGTTTGTTTCTATAATTTCAATTTAAGTATTCAGTTAATAAATTTTTATTTTTCCACTAATTATACTTACTTGGTAGAAAAAAAATTAAAAAAATTAGAAATGTTTTTTATTGTTTTATAAGCTAACTAGTTGAAGCCTGGCGCATCCGCCACGACATCAAGAGAAAAATACTTTTTATTTTTTTTTTATTAAATGAGAAACAAAAAATCCGGCGACGACAGTTTTTAGAAGAGCCAATTAGCTATATTTTAGTAAAAAAGCAACTTTCTAGAGCAAGTCGTTACTTCAGTAGAGACGACACAGATAAACATTAGCATTTTATATATGTAGATTATTAGGCTTTCTCTATGAATACAACTGACCACCGTAAGCTGTTGTTAAGATATTCTATTAATGTTAATGGGGTTTTTCAGATATTGTAAATTCGTTAAAGTATACCGTATGATCGAAAAAAAACTATGTCAAATACGGTTGGCGAATGACAATCAATAATAATTTTAGCGAGGTCAATCTCTAGACGCCATTTACTAAAAATTGACATAAAACTTACAGACGACCTTTATGACATAAACGTTTCCAGACACCGAAATCCGTTTCCAAAAAAACTATTTTTCTCGAATTTTAAACTACACCATTTAAAAATCATTGTTAAAATAGATTACAATCTTATCAAGTAAATGACATCTAGGGCTTGACGTAGTAAAACTTATCTTTGATTGTCATTCCCAAGCCGTCTCTAATACGTTTTTTTTTCGATCGTATGGTATAATTAAAACCACTAATTTCGAGATTCTGAATGAGGCTTTAGTGTTTACCAGCTATTATTTAGTTACCTAAAATCTAAAATAACAACTTGAATCATATAGTTAATCAAGCTTGACCTGCTTGACCAGCCCCAAAAAAACTGAAAACATTACATTTTTAAGATATATTTTATTTGTTACTTAATAATTCATATTATCATTGACAAATTTCGTTTTAAATAAAAATAAGTTTTAAATTTGTTTTTAACTAATTAATAAATCGTATTAGAAAATAAATATGTGTAAAATATGCCTTCAGCGAATTTTCTTTAAAAATTTTATAAACATTGTTGCTTGTAAATAAACAATTTTGAACCGTGTGAGTTTAAATAAATATATTTGATTATAACAATCTATAAGAATGAAATCGAAATTATATTACCAGAGATATTGCCATAGAACGCGCTCTCATTTTTAGGACTTTAGGAGAAATTATTCAACAATATTTTCATGTTTTTTTTTAATTTTCTCTAAAACGGTATCGAAAATTTTGAAAAGTAGTATAAACGGGATTAACCGTTTTAGAACCAGCAAAAATGTTTATGAAGAATGCATTTTTAACAAAATGTCAATAACAATTAAGTTTTTCCTCTTGTAAAGACAATTCGGGGACATACTACTGTATATGTTAAAATTGCAAAAAATCAAAAACAGATTATCGAGAAAAAATGCACCCTTCTTCTTTTTAAATTCCATATGTTTGTCAAACAATTCAACAGGATGGAAACCTTCGCCAAAATGTCAACATTTTGTTGAATCTCGTGGATCTCGTAAATCTCGTATAATAGACAGATGCTAGCATTACTGTGGTTAAAAACAGAACACCATTTTTTTAAATATCTAGGTACTTTATAGGAATTTATGTGGCAACTACGTGAGATAACCGAAATCCTCTTCAAAACTTGATTTATTTAAATGTTACCAGTATGCGCATGACAAATCATTTCAAGGTCCTGTGTACATAACACTGATACAAACAAGGTAAAAGATATAAATAATATATGTAATAATTAAAAACCTATACAGCCGCTACGGTATAAACAAAACAATACCACAGTCTGTACCTATAGTAGTTCTCATCGCTGTCTAGTAAAAAGAAGCAATTGGGTGGCAAGTAGAATAATTTATATTTATCAATTTATATACGATTACGATTTTAATTATTGTTTTAGTTACTAAGTAATAAAAATGGATACAAATAATATCGTACCGGATACACTTGACCACGTCCCTTCGGCTAAAATTACAGTTATTTATCCCGGAAATAAAGAAGTGATTTTTGGCGGTGAACTTACACCTACTGATGTTTTAGAACAACCCCAAATATCATGGGAAGCAGATCCAGAAAAGTTGTATACATTGTTGATGGTAGATCCAGATGCACCGAGCAGAGAAAACCCTACTTTCAGGTACAATATTCATTTAGTATTTTTTTATTGTATAGTTATTTCATCCTATTTCTACATATGACAAATTATTATGCAATATTTTATGTTATCAAAGATATTGAAATAAATATATTATATCTGTCTGAAGGATTCATGTATAAACACTTAAAGAAAATATATGCAGTGATAATACAGTGTGATCGAAAAAAAAAACGGCGTCAGCGATGGCTATGAAATGAAGATCGCTGTTATTATTCATATTTGGTGTAAGGATTTCATTAATAAAAATAATTATTTTAAAATTAATTTAAATATTATATTATTTTATTAGAACAATTATTATTTATAATATCTATACTAATATATAAAATCCTTGATTGAGTGACTGACATACTGATTAATCACGATCCTGCTCAAACCACTCAACGTAAGAAGCTCAATTTTGGCATACAGGTTGATTCTAGGGTGTAGAGGTTTGATAAGAAGGGATTTTTCGAAATTCCAGTTCCAAGAGGGTGAAACCACCCCTCAAATATTACAATATTTTTTATTTAAAAAACGGCCAAGTTTCCGAAAAAACGCTTAAACACGTATATTTTATTTTGTTTTTTTACATATTTTAAGATTTTTTAAAAATGTATACAGGGTGTTTCAAAAAATCTGGTCATTGATTAATCACGATCCTGCTTAAAGCGCTTGACGTAAAAAGCTGATTTTTGGCAGATTGACTTTAGGGTGTAAAGGTTCGATAAGAAGGGATTTTTCGAAACTCGAATTCTAAGGGGGTGAAACTATCCCTCAAATATTAAAATATTTTTATATTTAAAAACCGGTGAGTTTTTCGGAAAAACTCTTAACCGCGTATATTTTATATCGTTGTTTTACATATTTTAAGATTTTTTATAAATTTATACAGGATGATTCATAAAATATGACCATTGAGTAATCACGATTCTGCTTAAACTGCTTGACGTTTAAAGCTAATTTTTGGCAAACGGATTGACTGTGGGGTGTAGAGGTTCGATCAGGAGGGGTTTCTCGAATCTCAAATTCCAAGAGGGTGAAAACGCGCCTCAAATATTACAATATTTGTTATTTAAAAAACGGTTAGTCTTTCGGGAAAACGCTTGGACAAGCATAGTTTATTTGGTTTTTTTACATATTTTGAAATTTTTGAAAAAATCATACAGGGTGTTCCAAAAAGTTGGGTAATTTCTTAACCACGATTCTGCTTAAACTGCTTGACGTAAAAAGCTTATTTTTGGCAAACGGATTTTTCGAAAGTCAAATTCCAACGAGATGAAACTACCGCTCAAATATTACCAAGTTATATAATAATATCGCCATATTGTTTTTTCTCATGCTGGGATAAATGTGAGAAAATTTTATCCAGTTTGTATGTTAATGGAAATTCTTGCTTTGCTTTATCATCACCATTACAAACGATTAATTCGACGCGAACGAAGTTGCTGGTACACGCTACTCTCATAATAAAGATGTTGAAACGGCTACTCTACTACTAGAAATATATTATTATATTTTTTTATATTCGCCAGCTAAGTTTCATACAAAAAAAATTACCGAAAAACACCCAATTTAGAACGATTTTGTCTCTACAAATTTTTTTATCCTAAAAGTAACCTATGATCGAAAAAAAAACGGCGCTCAGTTGACTTGGGAATGACGATGGATGACATTTCCCATATAATTTTACATATAAAACTAGCAGACCATTGACTAGAAGACTATTGCATTTTAGGTAAATACCCAAGTTCTTGCACCCGGTAGATACCCAAAGTAAAATTAAAATAAGAAATAAAAATATAGACCTTAAAAATTTATAGAAATATAGAATATACAGAGATATTTTTTGATTTCGAATATTGCTATATTTTTGATATTTTTAAATTTATTTTTTATTAAGTATTATATTTTTCATTTGCCTACTATACCAGTAGCCTTATATGTATAGGTACAAGGCTAGTAGATAAAAATTATAAGAGCTTCGTCTTGATTATACATCATATCTATAATCAAGGATTATACTTTTACCACGGTTATTGCCAAAAAAATATATGAATATGCAACCATTTCTTTAAGAATTTGCATCTTTTCTCAAAAGGCAGATTTTCAAAGGATTCAAAAAGATTAAAAAATCCATAATGACGTGACAATTGCCAATAATATAATAAATACATACTTTAAGTGCATTGTAAAATACATACTTTAAGTGCACTATTTAGATTTATTAATTAATCGAAACAGTAGTTTATTTTTTTATGATAATTATGGTTGTTAAATTTCAAACTGATTTTGTACGTTTCCTTCACCATTTTATCAACATTTTGCCGAGTATTGAAACTTTTGTTACATTATTACATTATACAGTAAATACAGTATGACCCCGGATTGTCTTTACAAGAGGAAAAAAACTTTTTTATTATTGACATTTTTAGAAAAATGCATTCTTCATAAAAATTTTTGCTAGTTCTAAAATGGTTAATCGATTAATCCCGTTCATACTCCAAATTTCCATACCGTTTTAGATTTTAAAGTAAATTAAAAAAAAATCATGATAATATGTTCTAATTTTCCAAAAGTCCTAAAAATAAAAAGGCGTTTCTAGTTTCTATGGTAATATAATTTCGATTTCATTCTTCAATAGATGGTTATTATAATACCGTATGATCGAAAAAAAACCGGCGTCCAGTTGGCTGGGAAATGACGATCGATGACATTTCCCATATAAATTTACATATAAAATGACAGCGATCTTCATTTCATAGCCATCGCTGACGCCGTTTTTTCTCGATAATACGGTATTAATATTGATTAAAGTCATATTTTTTCCTGTTGTTAAAGTGCCACATTTTCCATATTATATCACCCTTTCCAGTGGCGGAAATAGAGGGGGGGGGGCATGGGGACCGTTAATAATAATAAAAAATCCTCCTGTAAAAACAATCCGGGGACATACTGTACCTATATAAAAAATATATTAAATTATAATTTTTAAATATTGCGTAATAACGCAAATTGACAGCTCCTTTCCCGTTACATCGCAAGTACCAGAAAATGGAACCAAAGACTTTCAAAACTGGTTCACACCAAAACGTTGATATTTGGTATTAGGATATCATTAATAAAATCAGGTCTTTATATATAGATTCATATTCGGCTACTCTATTACTTGTAATATATTACTATATTTTTTATATTCGCCAGCTAATTTTCATACCTTAATAAAAAAAATTAGCGTAAAACACCCAATTTAGAATGATTTTGTCTCTACAATTTTTTTATCCATAAAGTACTGTATGATCGAAAAAAAAACGGCTTCCAGTTGGCTTCGAAATGACGATCAGTGACATTTCCCATATAATTTTACATATAAAATGTCAGCGATCTTCATTTCATAGCCATTGCTGACGCCGTTTTTTTCGATTATACTATGTTTATAACATACTGGTTACACTAAATTAATGTCTATCTTTTTTGTAGGGAAATTAACCACTGGTTAGTGATCAATATCAAAGGAAATGACATAGCTACTGGCCAAACACTGACATCTTACAGAGGTTCCAGGCCACCCAAAGGTTACGGTCTTCATCGCTACATTTTTATCGTTCATGAACAAAATGGTCCCATAACGGTGAACGAACCCGATTTAGAAAATAATAGAAGAAATTTTTCTGCAAGAGCATTTGCGAAAAAGTATAATTTGGGCTTACCTTACGCAGGAAATTACTATCAGGCCCAATGGGATTCGTCAGTACCGCTGGTACGTTAATAATACCTAACTATAAGTACATAAGTTTAATTGTTATAATATTTTTCTATCGGTATTAATAAATATTTGCATGAGATTATAGAATATACGAATTTATTTTATGTTTTGTTTTATTTTGAGTTTTCTGAAATTTGTCCTCGTGATGATATTTTTTGTTCTAATCTTTTATCTACATTTATTAACTACTTCACTGAAAGATGTTCAAGTAGCTATGTCCTATAGCCTATAGAATATTACACATATACAAGATATAACCCAGTATTTTCACAATTTCAAAGATTTAATCAATTTTTTTAAAACATACAAGCATACAGGCAATAATAGCACGCATTTTATAAAAAAACATTGTATAATGTACAATAGTCAACTATTAATAGTCAACTTGTTTTAAAATACAAGTTGACTATTAAAACTAGTTTAAGCTTTGGTTTTAAGAATTTACTGAAGATGGTTAACCAAGCTTGGGTCCAGAGTTTAAAGTAATCTGTTTTGGTATATCGTGGTAAACCATTTTTTTTAAATAATGCATTTAAATAATCGTCATTATTTAAAAAAATGTATTTAATTAAATAAATTTATTATTCAAGTTATTGACTGAGCCATACTGAGCCTTCCATTTAGCATAGCAATGCACACTTTAGTGTAAAAATATATTTTAATTACCCTGTATATAATGTTACGGTTAAAGTTTGATGTCCGGTTATTGTTGATATTACCCGGTTAATCTCGAGAATAACACTCGATAAAATAACCAAAAAGATAGCCAAACCCAAACATTAACTTGTTAATGTCGACATTAACTAACAGCCCGAAAAACAGACAACTTAAAATTTTTATATATTGTACAGTATGTCCCCGGATTGTTTTTTTATTGTTGACATTCTGAGAAAACCTTTTTTATTGTTGACATTCTGAGACAAATGCATTCTTCATAAAAAAACTCTTGTTCTAAAATGGTTAATCCCGTTAATACTTTTACCTGTTTTAGAGAAAATTAAGGAAACATGAAATATGTTTAATTTTTTTTTGAAGTCCTAAAATCAAAAAGTCGTTTCTCAGGTAATATAATTTAAATTTCATTCTTTGATAGATTGTTATTAATAATTATGATTAACATCATATATTTTTTGCTGTTGTTAAAGTATCAAATTTTCCAATAACTATTATCACCCTTTCCGTAGGATTGAAGATTGAACGAAATAAATTTTGTGCTTCTTTAACATTGTAAAACAGCAAAATATTTTATTAATAAAAATCTGTCAAATAATGAAAACAAAATTATATTACCATAGAAACGCGTTTTCATTTTTAGGAAAAATCTAACAAACTTTTTCCTCTAATTATACTTAACATTTTCGAGTAATGTCATTTTGGCCTTTGATCATCATTCGTCAAGAGAAATTGTGGTTAGAAAAATAGTTGATTGTTTTATAAGTCAATTATTAGGCTTTCTCTATGAATACAACTGACTACCGCAAGCTGTTGTAAGAAATATTCTATTTATTTTTTTTTTAGACATTGTGAATACTCGTAAACTGTTAAGTATAAAAAGTACAATTGGAACCACTAATTTATTCCACTAATTTCGAGTTTCTGAATGATAGGTCAGCTTTAAGCTTCATTCACCCTATTAGAAGTTTGTTTCTATAATTTCAATTTAAGTATTCAGTTAATAAATTTTTACTTTTTCCACTAATTATACTTACTTAGTAGAAATTAGAAATAAGTCTTTTATTGTTTTATAAGCTAACTGAAGCCTGGCGCATCCGCCACGACATCAAGAGAAAAATACTTTATTTTTTTTTTAATTAAATGAAAAACAAAAAATCCGGCGACGACAGTTTTTAGAAGAGCCAATTAGCTATCTTTTAGTAAAAAAGCAACTTTCTAGAGCAAGTCGTTACTTCAGTAGAGACGACACAGATAAACATTAGCATTTTATATATGTAGATTATTAGGCTTTCTCTATGAATACAACTGACCACCGTAAGCTGTTGCTAAGATATTCTATTAATGTTAATGGGATTTTTCAGACATTGTAAATTCGTTAAAGTATACCGTATGATCGAAAAAAAATTATGTCAAATACGGCTGGCGAATGACAATCAATAATAATTTTAGCGAGGTCAATCTCTAGACGCCATTTACTAAAAATTGACATAAAATTTACAGACGACCTTTATGACATAAACGTTTCCAGACACCGAAATCCGTTTCCAAAAAAACTATTTTTCTCAAATTTTAAACTACACCATTTAAAAATCATTTTTACTCAATGTAAAAATAAATTACAACCTTGTCAAGTAAATGACATCTAGGGCTTGACGTAGTAAAACTTATCGTTGATTGTCATTCCCCAGCCGTCTCTAATACGTTTTTTTTTCGATCGTATGGTATAATTAAAACCACTAATTTCGAGGTTCTGAATGAGGCTTTAGTGTTTACCAGCTATTATTTAGTTACCTAAAATCTAAAATAACAACTTGAATCATATAGTTAATCAAGCTTGACCTGCTTGACCAGCCCAAAAAAACTGAAAACATTAAATTTTTAAGATTTATTTTATTTTTTACTTAATAATTCACATTATCATTAATAAATTTTGTTTTAAATAAAAATAAGTTTTAAATTTGTTTTTACCTAATTAAAAAATCTTATTAAAAAAATAATATTTGTGTAAAATATGTCTTCAGCCAATTTTCTTTAAAAATTTTATAAACATTGTTGCTTGTAAATAAACAAGTTTGAACCGTGTAATTCCTTGTATCTTATTATGAAATATTATGTATTTATTTGTTTATACATTTTGATATTAAATTATAAGGTTGTCCCGATAATATATAACATTTAAATCGTATACAATTTATTTATAAAACTATTATCAAACTTATTGGAAATAGTTTATTCAAAACATTCAGAAAATTTAAGGTCTATATATTAATTGTTTATAATATTACATATTTTGAAATTTACCTTTTAACTGGGAAAAATACAGGGTGTTTCACAAAAATGTGTGCCATCTGTCATGGGGAGATTCTAAAGTAAAAATAAGATTTATTTTTTATAAAAATATAGGTTCGATTCAGCTTTGTTTCTTAGTTACAGGGGGTCAGTACAAGTCTTAATTTTTTTTCGATTTTGTTACAAATTTCTTTATAACACTAAAGTGTCAACATGTTCACCGGGGACGTGCATACGGGTTATCACTAGAATATTTTTCTAAAAAACTGCCCCTGATTTTATTTTCTTATTAGCAAAATTATGTAGACCGTTTAATGTCGATTACTTGTCTCTTGATATTTTGTCGATTTCGGTCTCCTTAATGAGATAAACGCAATTTTATTAGTTTGCCTTAATCCAAGTCTAATAGCAACCTAACATTTTTTAATGTCATTAATTGGCCAAAGTATTAAATTGGTACTCATTGATTCCTCATCAAAAAATAAAATATGCCTATAAACATAGCGTTTTTAAAGTTACAGGATGTTAAAACCAAAAAAATAGGTATTTTGTAATTATCTCAAATACTATTATGTTTTTGTAATTTGCTGTGGTGATGGGCATTTTCTAGTTTGTGCAATTTCTATTAAGGATGTAGAAATGCCAAAGGATTAAAATAATTGTGAAATTACTTTAGCCACAGCTTTAGCTTAATGCCGCTCAATAACACTTTTTTTTTGTATGTACAAATGTCATCCATCAGCGTTTCTAAGGTAACTTAACGCCGTTTTTTTTAAAATACCAAAATATATCTGTCTATTAATACAAAAATAAGAGCACTGGAAATCGTGCACATACAATATAATAATAAAATAATACTGAAAATCAAATGAGTAAATATTTAGGTACATTTTGTTCCATGTATTTATATTTTTACTGGAATATCTTTATTTACTAAATAAACATTTAGATTTGTTTAAAATAATCAAATATTTCAAGGAAAAAAATATGTTTATAAAAAACAAAGTTTATTTATAATTTCTATAAATTTGTCTGTTTTTCGTTTCATTTTTGATTTGATTATATATTTTTGTTTTTACTCGTTCTAATTGAAACTTTGTTCCTCACCTGCTCTTTTTTGATTTCTTAATATTATTTATAAATGAATTAATAATTATTTCTCTCTACATAAGCATTACTACATTCGTTCTACATGGGCAGTGAGCAGTGTAATCTGGAATGAACTGGAAAATTCTTAGTGGACTAATCTTTTTCTTGACCCCCAGTGGATTTAAGACCTCTTGGAACTAGATTTCTGATATACGCTATCGAGCAGACTCTTAATTTGAATATATTTTCATTTTGTTTTCAACAAAATGTAGTAATGAGATATACTCGGTCATCATTTAGACATTTTTTGTACACTGAATTATACCGATAAGAAAGGCATTCTAGACAATAATTTCAAAACAATTTTTATATTTTAGCTGTATGCTGTCATGTTTTATAAACAACATAAAACACTCAGCTTCACCATAGCAGTTAATGTCCTTTAATGTACTTTGATCTATCTTTTAGTCATACCAGTTTTAGAATCTTTTTTTGTTTAAGAACTCTTTCTTGTTAAAGTTTTGTAGAGAGTTGTTTATTAGTTTTGAAACCCTTTTTAACATTGTATACCCTTACCCCTTACAAATTAGACAAAGAAAATAAAATCGTCCTATTGTGGGCGTCCGCTCACAAAGGTTTAGAAGGCAATGAAAAAGCAAACAATCTAGCTAGAAAAGGAGCGAACACTCCGCTAATTGAACCAGAACCGTTTCGATTTCCAAGCGGAAACCAACTTAAAGCGGAACTGAAGAACCTGGAAGACTCCATACGTAACCTGGAATGGGAATCATCCAAAGGTCTATGACACTCGAAAATGTTACTCAGAACTTACGACCGAAAAAATCAAAGAGTTTCCTTGATTTAAGTAAGAACAATCTTCGGATTGTCACGGGCTTTCTAACAGGACACTGTCTCCTCAACAAGCATCTCAGTAGACTGAAGCAGAAAAACAACGGCAAATGCAGATTCTGTGGGGAAAATGGGGAAACACCAGAACACCTTATTACTGAGTGCGCCAAGAAGACAATCGTTCGTGCCATAAACTTTGGTACGTTTGTTGATTTAAGTAAGAACAATCTTTGGATTGTCACGGAGTTTTTAACAGGACACTGTTATTTCCTCAATGAACACCTCAGTAGATTGAAACTAAGAAGAAATGGCGAATGCAGATTCTGTGGGGAAAATGGGGAAACACCGGAACACCTCATCACTGAGTACGCTGAGACGACAACCATTCGTGCCATGAACTTTGGTAGGACTGATATTGGAGATGGAGAACTACCCTCTGTAAAACCGTCCCAGATACTGGCTTTTGTCAAAGCCCTGGGACTGTGTGATGAGTTATAACTCAAAAAAGGGGGACACAATAGATCTGTAAGGTCGCAATGATTAACCCCTCTCACGCTCATTCTAAATTCTAAAATATTGGTTGTTTAAAAACTGAAACTTGCATATATGAGAAATCGCAGTCACAATTTACTATAAAACCCAGTGACCCAATCGCAGGTTGCGATTGCGATTTTAGAATCTTTGCGATTGAATCGCAGTTTTGGCTCATCTCTAATTTATACTTAATTCTATAACTACGCCCATATGAACGTTGAACTTTTAATTTTTTTAACCATTCGAATACGATGAGTTTACGCGCGCGATTTTGATTATCGCTCATTTCTTTTCAAATTTTTATCACCGATTTCAAAAATCATCTATCGATTTGGTATACGTGTGTGTTAGATAAATTAATGAAAAAAGGAACTGCATAATACTCGCAAGACTTTGTTTTATTTCAGATAAGGAGAGTTTGTAGTAACATCGATAGAGAATCAATTCTTAATATTATAATTTCTTATAATTCATTATCATACTATTAACAATGACTAATTATTACGAAAGTAAAACAGCGCGTTTCAAACACGTGCTACTTTAAGTTCTTTTAGAGGTCGGTTTCAAGGGATGTGCTAGGGGGAGGGGGGTAGGGTTGAATTCAGGAGAGCCTAGGGCTTTCGTTTTTAAAAAATTTAGAATGATAATATTAAAAACTAAACACATTTTTTTGAAAAAAAAAACGTTTATCTATATGAATTTCTCTATCAATAAATTTGATAGACTTGGTTATGAAACCGTGTTCCCGTGGAGTACCTAAATACCTATAAATTTTGCAAACAAAAAAAACTAACACAAATTTTTTGGACAAAACAAAAACAAATAATAAGTAAACAAACCTAGGAAAAGTAATCTTTACTACATCACAAGCCCGGCAATCCCGGTCCCTCTGAGGTTACGCCAATAAATGAACTCTAAAAATAGAAACGAACTAATAGAAACCCACCGGATATTTACATCTTATTGAAAATCGATGTGGGGTGTATCCTCAGGCTTTTTTCGAGATATGTTATTATTACTCCAAAAAATCCTTTATACAACTATAGTAAACTATCATCTAAATGTTTAGTCTTCTGCTATAGGTGGATATCTACCGGTAATACAATTGTCTAGTCTACCGGCCAATGTTTTTGCGAGCAAATTTCTTGCATTAGTTGCAAAAACTAGTAGTTTTATGGGTTTCATATACACGGCAGGAACCAACTCGCTTCGTATTGTCTCTAACTGCTACCTTTACATCTGGAGCATATTTAACGAGGAAAACTTGGAAATCTCTGGGAAGACTTTGTATCGACGCAATCGAAAAAATTAATTAACAATTTAAAATTACACCAAATAAAACAAAATAATTAAATAATATGATAACTATTTAACTTACATAGCCGGGCGCGTAGCGGCACGGAGTACCTCAACTTCTGTAGTTACCAGGTTTACCACAGAATTGCTACTAAACCAAAATCGCTGGATACGTAACTACTACGACCCAGGGTCAATATCCCTAAATAAGAATAATTAATGGCACCACTCATCGCCCTACGTCCAATGGATATTTTGTTTTAACAAAATTAGTAAAATGGCGGTACAAAATTCCAGACGCGCCCGCTCAAGGGTTAATATGTAAAAGAGGCTACACACATGATGATGATAATTTTCTCCAAAAAAATTTAAAGGGAAATAATTTTGTATAGGTCTATTTATTTTTAACTGTGTGTAACATATTACTTAAAATAATAAGTAAAACTAGATGTAAAATAATACACAGGTTTTCCTTTATTAAACCTTTGCAGGGGTTGGTTGTCCTAATCCTAGCTGTTTATGAAGATCAGGTACGGAGTCGTCGTACTGAGCCTGGTAATAATTACCGGCATTTAACTCCAACTTGTATTTTTCAGCGAACTTTCTCGAAGAGAATAACGGTCTCGTACCGACTTCACGATCGCTAGTAAATTTCTCATCGAAACTTAATTTTCCTGGTTGCTCGTAAACTAAGAAAATGTATCGATGCAGTCCCGTGTCTTTTGGAGGTCCCGATCCTACATAAGCGGAAATCACTTCACCCTTGGAAACATCCGATCCGGGAATGTTTACAACCAACCAATGTCGAAATTCTCTTCTTGTCGGATTTGCTCTGCTGGGTGCGTCGGGGTCGGTCATTATTAAAGTGTAGTACTTCTTCTCATCGGCGGGGTAACTTATTTCTGGTTGCTTGCGGACGTCCACTGGGGCCAATTCGTTTCCTAGGTTCACATCTCCTTTGGAGTACTTTACTGATGCTACGTGGGTTGGGGGATGGTCGACCACATCGGGAACAATGTCGTTCTTGGTAAAAGCCTATAACAATAATCTACTATACAGGGTGGCCCATTAGTGCGTGGAAGTTCAATATCGTCGTTGTTATCAAAGATATGAAAAAAAGTTTTATATAAATGTTGCATTGTTTATAAAGGCCTATCCTAAAAATATTTTGGTGACACAAAAAAATACACAATACAGGGTGACACAAAAAAATTATGATAAAGTTTTAAGTTTTTTTTTTAAACTGCACCCCTCCCCCCATTTTTCTGTATAGATAATTGGATTCAGCATAAAATATAGTACATAGTATACTATTTTTATTTAAAGCACTATGCGGTTTTGCCATTCTATGTCTTATTTACTAAAACTGTGGTTAAAAATACTATATCCGAAAAGTGGTTAAAAACTGGAGTGAATTTAACTTTATTAATACTTAGCTATATTTTCCTAAACACCAAGGATAACAGAATAAAACCGCGAAGAAAAGTTTACATTATCTTATACAAGTTTACGGTGTCGCCAACATCGCAATATTTAAAATGCTATATTTCATTTTTTAAATACAACACCTTGTATATTACTTTTCTGTCTGATGCAGAATTAAAAAGTAAACATTTCTTGTATTTACAGTGTTCCTGAATTGTTAACAGTTTCGCAGATATTTGCGGTATTTTGTTACATATGTATATGGCTCTTCCAACAGCTAATTTTTATCAAAACCACCTAACCTAATATGATCTTTGTCTGGTATTTTACCGTTAAAAACGGCTAAAAATTTAGAAAAACTTTAAATACAAAAAATCTTCATTATTTAAGTTTGCAGCTAAACGAAATATAAAATACAGGGTGTTGCATTTAAAAAATAGAGATACATATAGCATTTTAAATATTCCGATTTTGGTGACGCCATAAGAAATACTCTATAGAATAAATTTTTCTTCGCGGATTTATTCTGTTATCCATGGTGTTTAGGAAAATATAGCTAAGTATTAATAAAGTTAAATTCACTTCAGTTTTTAACCATTTATCAGATATAGAGTTTTTATACAAAGTTTTAGTAAATAAGAAATAAAATTGCAACACCGCATAGTGCTTCAAATAAAAATAGTGTACTATATTCAGAATTTTATGCTGAATCCAATTCTGTACAGAAAAATGAGCAGGGGGTGGAATTTAAAAAAAATAAAACCTTATCATAACTTTTTTTGTGACACCCTGTATTTCACAAAATGTTTTTAGGATATGCACTATTATAAATCATGCAATATCTGTATAAAACTTTTTTCATATATCTTAGACAACAACGACGATATTGGACTTCCTCGCACTAATGGGCCACCCTGTATGTATATGATGTATATGTAACATAATATGGGTGTTATCTCCATTAATTACAGGAGGGAGTCCAACCGAATCTCACTAGAATCTCACGTGAGGGAGAGAGGGCGTTTCGGAAAATATCACGTAATCTTTTTCGGCCAAAAATAGTAAAAAAATGTGAGAGAATCACAAATCAATCATCAATCAAAAAATTAATTTACTTATATTACACTCAGGTGACTCTAGAGCATTTTTTGGGCTCATATCAGCATATACTTTGGTTAATTTTTAAGAGCGAAATGAACTTATTACCAAAAATTTGTAATTTTGTTGTCAATCAGGAGTCAGGAGTCATGGTTCTAACCGAAAAATAATGCACAGGGTTCAACTCACGAAATTATTGCACAGGGTGTTTTAATGTTATTGTAAAAAACAACCTTGCGATTAACCCTTAAAAAGACTGAGTAAATAAATAAAATAAAAAAAAATCAATTAAACTAGATATACAGAATATCCCCTACTAGGTACTTTTTTATTATTGATATTTTGAGAATAATGCATTCATCAAAAAAAAAATTGCTTGTTCTAAATTAATTAATCCCGTTTATACTTTTCGAAATTTCCATACTGTTTCCGTTTTAAAGAAAATTAAAAGAAAAATATGAAAATATGGTAGAATTTTTCCCAAAAATCAAAACGCGTGTGGTAATGTAATTTCGTTTTCATTCTTTGATAGATTTGGATAGATTCTATGCATAGATTGTTATTGATAAAATTTTAATTAACGTCATATTTTTTGCTGTTCTAAAATTTTAAAGAAGCACAAAATTTAATTAGTTCAATGCTACGGAAAGGGTGATAATAGTTATCGGAAAATGGGAAACTTTAACAACAACAAAAACTATGACGTTAATCAAAATTATTAATAACCATCTATCACAGAATGAAGTCTAAATTATATTACCATAGAAACGCGGTTTAATTTGTTTAGTTTGGTTTCCGTCATGGTTTCCGTAGGTTTCCGTTTGGTTTCGTTCCCGTAACATTGAACTAAATAAATTTTGTGCTTCTTTAAACATATTAAAACGGGAAAAATATGACGTTAATTAAAATTGTATCGATAAGAATCTATCAATGAATGTTTTTTTTAATTTTCTCTAAAACGGTATGGAAATTTGAAAAAGTATAAACGGGATTAACCATTTTAGAACAAGCAAAACTTTTAATGAAGAATGCATTTTTCTCAAAATGCTAATAATAAAAAATATTTTCCCCCCTCTTGTGTAAAGACCATCCGAGGACCTACTGTATTTATATACAGTTTACTAAAAAAATCATGAAAATAGGGCTAAAAATAAAAAACGACGAAAAATGTTTCCGTTACGTTTTTTTGCATCTGAAAAACACAAATGAAAAACTAGATGAAAAAAATCGGGTAAAACCGAGGGTATATAAAACTATTTTTTTTCATTAAATTTTTGTATAAACGGCAAGGTCATATAAATATAGTATTAGAACAATGGATATGTCGCAATTATTTGTTATAATCCTTGAAACGTTTTTAAAAGACAAATTATAGAATGTTTTGAAAAATAAATATGAAAGATTCCAAACATGAATAATTTCAAAAAAAATCGAGGATTATCCCAATAAATAAATTTAAAAAATTACCCCCCAATCCAGACCAAATTGAAATCAAATTACATACCCAAGTTTTTATTTTGCCACGCACACATATATCTTGTTTTAAAAAATCTCGTTCGTTTTACAATATCCCAACATGATTTTTATTGTTAATTATTCTAAATATTACTCATCCTCAAATAATTAAATAACCATAATCGATTACTGTATTTTTTCTCATTTAAACTTGTTTACACATTTTCAACAGCTTTTCACAGTTTCACAAAATCATCACAAACAATTTAACAAAGTTTGAACAGGAAATGTCTGGCGGTTGAGATAGTTAAAAATAATAATATAATTTGGCCCAATAATACGCAATATTTTTATGTTTTTGGAACACACAACCTTATAACATTTATAAAAGTATAAACATAAACAAAACAAACGTACGATTTTAACCAGAGATGCCATTTTAATTACTTTTGGTCCTCGAATGACCTTCCACTACTAGCTGACCCGTACGAGACTGAAGCTCAATTAAAATCATAAACCGTTAAAGACGATGATAAAATTATTGATAAGTAATCTGGCGAGCATGTGAAGTGGTATATAAAAAGTGGAAGACGCGAAGCAGAGCAGTTTAGTCGTCAATTTCCATATATTGGCTACAACCGCAAAATTGTTTGATTTATCAGGTATGTTTATTCATAAGTAGTGTAAGGGTAGTTGTTATAACATAAGATTATTTATTTTTTACTCTATCATTACATCATTAGTCTAGCCTTGTTTATTTATACATAAAAAGGGTGCTGCAGCGGCGGTTGGTAGAGAAGTTCGATGTACTATACAGGGTGAGTCTTAAATAAGTGCAAATATTTTTAGGGCTGATAAATCTCAATAAAAGAAACATATTTTCTCTTTAGTCCTTTTTCAAATAAGTCTAAAATAATCGAGATATTATTTTACATTGAAAATTAAAAAAAAATATATATATTTTTCGCTTAAATTTTGAGAATCACTGGATTTTTTCTGGGTTCCCTTTGAACATTTCCAAAAATTTTTTTCAAAAAATTCCAAATTTTCAATTTTTTTTTCGCGAAAAAAACCTTATAGACGTGTTTCTGGTGTCTTTTTTTCATTTATTTAAGACTCACCCTGTATATTCCATCCCTAGTCTCTGGTTCTAGGCATGGGACCCACACCAAATTTTGAGTGAGTTAACTTATGGTCTAGCATACACATTTTTGTGTTATTAAAAACACTTTTAAAATCTGCATTTTTTTTCATTTTTGCGTGTACATTTTTTTTCCCAAAAATTTCGTATATCGTCAAAAAATCACAACCGCTGTGAAAATACAACGCTTAATTTTTTTTTTGTTTATATGAAGAAATTTAAAATAATTTATAATTATATAAAACCCTGTAATTTCACAATCACTCTGATTCACTTGAATTTACAATTTCTCGATAAAATGTGACAACAGTTAATTACAAAAAAAATAACAAAATTAATTTTTGATATTAAAAAAACGCTGATGGTACACACGCAAAAATGAAATAAAAATAGCAATTTTAAATTTGTTTTTATTGGGATTTTCCAGGAAATCCCAGACTTCTGACAACCCTATAACTATATCTCTGAGTCTGGGTATGGGACCCGCACCAAATTTTAGTGAGTTAACAGAGCCTACCAGAAACATTTATGTATTAGTAAATGCTTCTGGTAGGCTCTGTTAACTCACTAAAATTTGGTGCGGGTCCAATACCCAGAATCAGAGATATAGTTAGGGTTGTCAGTATAAGTCCGAGATTTCCTGGAAAATCACGGATTTAGGTAAGTTGTCCCGGATACCGGAATTTCAGTGTACTATCCCGGAAAGCGTCGCGTCAGTCAAATTATAAAACCAAATGTGACATTAATTCATTTTATCAGATTTTTCGATTTAGCTTCATTCGTTTATGTCTACCGTAATTAATTACCTTCATTTATGTTTATTTTAATACTTTTATGCAGGGCGAATCTTAAATAAGTACAACATTTTTTAAGGCTGGTAGATATAATAAGATAATAGAATATAATTTTCTTCAATAAAGACGATTATTATTATTATTATTATATACCTATCGACAAAAGAATCATATTTTCTCTCAACCGTCTTTCAAATAAATCCAAAATAACCGAGACATTTTGCTTTGAAAACTTGAAAACTAAAAAATAATGATTTTTTGTTTAAATTTTGAGAACAACTAATTTTTTTCTGTGTTTTCTTTCTTGTAAATTTAATCTACTACCTATGTTGCCATATTATTAAAAATTATGTTTTTAAACTAAAAACACAGATTACACATTTTACTATGTCATCTGTGTTAAAAACTAAAATAATCAAAAAAAATTTCAAAAAATTTCAAATTTTCAAAAAAAATTTTGGCGAAAAAAACCTCATACTACTCCTTAAAAATATTTGCACTTATTTAAGACTTATCCAGTAGTATAGGTACCATCGTTTATGTTAACTGTTTGTGCTTAATTATACCAATAAACAAGTTCCGACTATGATTTCTTTTAATCGTTTTGACAAACTTTCCGGCAAGTGTGGATTAGGAAGGGGATAGTGAAGTGTAATTTTTTAAAGTGCCCTTTTTTTCGTCGGCTATTTTTTGTCCTCGCTTACTATCCCGGAATTTTGCTATAACAATCTGACAACCCCAGTATATAACATCAAATTTTACCAGCTTTTGCTGCTCGAATACCAAATGCGTAAAGACAATCCTATAACGCCGATTATGGCATTTTGATCTACATTACACGGCATTATAATCTATAATGCACTTCAAATTTTTTTGAACAAAGGTTCTGGTTAATAAGTCACTAGAAAATATTTAGAGCGAAAAGCATTGAATTATTATATTAATTTGTGACAGAACAACTATAAATAAGTATTAAATTCGGTAAAAAGTTTTTTCTTAATTATTACATTTTGCCGAGCATTTTGCAATAAAATATATGCAGAATAATAATGAAGTAAAATTAAAATCTCAAAACAAAACTACGGGCTTTAGAGTATACCGAAGAAGAATTTGTAACAGATATTCTTTGGGCTAAAGGCAAAAAGTTGTATTTGTTTTCACCTTTCTTTGAATTATTGTCCTACTAACGCCCTTGGTACATAAATAACTGTTAAAAAATAAATGCATGCATATTTACCTTTTCTATACCATCATCATGACCTGCATGCCCAAAGACAGTGGTGATGGACATTAAAATTACAAAGTTGAATATCATTTTTCTGAAGACTGTTAAATACTAAAAGTATTATTTTTTAACACTGATACTTCAAGCATAAACAAGAAATCGCTAGCGCGTAACGGTAACAATTTAAGACATAACAATAATTACAAACAGGTTGTTGGATTGGCATACTTTGTAGCTGTTTTATAAGTCCCTACCACTAAAGAATATATTTAATAGCCAAAGTAAAGGCCAACCATATAATTCTAATAAATTTTAAAAGCAAACTTTTCATGAAAAAAATAGAATAATTTGTTCTCCAAGATACAGTTTTTCTTTATGATGATTCTTTTTCAGAATTGCAAATATTTGGAATATTGTCTTTATATTAATAATATTTATACATATTACAATTAACATTTATGATCACAGTGCAAAATTTAGAAAAAAATATATTTACTGTACAAGTAAAAATAAATACATAAACTACAATGTAATCGAAAAACACCGGGGCCAGCGATGGCTATGATATGAAGATCGCTGTTATTTTATAATATGTAAAATTATATGGGGAATGTCATCGATCGTCATTTACAAGCCATCTGGACGCCGTTTTTTTTTCGATCATACGGTATTATAAAATCTGCCTAACGAGTTATGGAAGATTTCGACAGATAACCTCCAATAAACGACAGAAAATTCAATTTTTCTGTGAATTTAGAATGAGTTATAACTGTCACTATCAGAAATCCTCTTATTGGACAAACTTTATGTTCTTATTTATAAGCGTATTAATAAATAAACAATTTCTCAATTATTTATTGTGTCACTCTGTATTATATGAGTCTTCAGAATTTATTGATTTAGGCAACTAATAATACATATGGTAATATTGTTTATCTTTTATCTCTGACAATGACAACTGATTTTAAAACAGCTGTGCGGTGTGATTGTTAAAAATTTTTAAAGCTCTCAAATGGCGGTAATCAAAAACTAGTTTATAAAGATACCGAAAAAGGATATTAAAATGATTGTAACTACCTTTATGTTATTTCAGATCGCTACAATAGCACGTAGGTTTTTTCAAAAAATGGCTTCAGTAATTCCGGCCGTTACGAAAATATCACCAAGAGTAATAAGAGTGTTGGGCTGTAATCCAGGCGTAATGACTTTACAAGGAACCAACACTTATATTGTTGGTACTGGAAAAAGGTATTTAATTTAATTTAGATTTTTTTACATGACGCACTGATGCTTTTATTTTATTAGGAGAATTTTAATAGACACAGGTGATTCTGATGTACCGCAATATATCAACCACTTAAGAAACGTTCTGGAACAAGAAAATGTAGATTTGGCTCATATTTTCTTGACTCATTGGCATCATGATCATGTTGGCGGGCTTGAGGATATCTTAGAACAATTACCAGAACAAACTAGTAAGTTGAAATAATTTCATTGTATGTGTATAGATTGGCTATAAAGGATCAGGGGATTGACCATTGAAAACAAGGGAACAATCCCTTTTAAGAACATGTCAGCAAAATAAAATTTATAAAAAGTAACTAATTTATTTTCCAAACTATTTTCTTGGCACTAATTATTATAAATTCACCATATTTGCTTGTTTTTGCTCGTTCATTATCAATGAGTACTTACTTAAAGGTTTGTCTTTTAGAACATTGTGAAATTTGGAAGTTTCCTCTTCATAAAGATGAAAAAATATCAAACAATTTCGAACATTTGAAAGATGGTCATGAAATCTCAGTAGAGGGGGCAACTTTACGTACCATACATACACCAGGACATACAGAAGATCATGTCGCACTCCATTTATTAGAAGAAGATGCCATTTTTAGTGGGGACTGTATCTTGGGAGAAGGCACGGCAGTGTTTGAAGATCTTTATGATTATATGGAATCCTTAAGAACTATATTATATGTCCAACCTCATGTTATCTATCCTGGTCATGGAAATATCATATATGTAAGTGTAATTTTGCTTTTGACTAAATAATAATTACTAATAAGATACTTTATTATAGGATCCTTTGGAAAGAATCCAGTATTATTTGAGTCACAGACAAGAAAGGGAGCAACAAATAGTTAATGTATTAAATAGTAATCAGACGCAGTCTTTTAGTGAATACGATCTAGTAACTTTAATATATAAGGGATTATCTTCGAATTTAATTAAAGCTGCTGAAGGCAATGTAAATCATCATTTAAATAAACTACTCAAAGAAGATAAAGTTAAGATAGTAAATAACAGGTGGCAATTTAAAACTACAGCGAAAATCATGTAATAAGTATTGTTTTGTTCGTTATTGTGATATTAAATTATAATTAAGTATTTAGTATAAATCTAATATTAGTAAGACTCGAGAGACTGCTCCATATGATGTATTTAATGTTAAAAAAGTTATTTTAATACATATTAATTTATAAATAAAGGCTTATTTTATTATCCAACCCTAAAAATTGATTGAGAATTATCAACTTCGGATCCGCTTTGATGGATGCGGCATGAGTTCACTGTCATCTTTAAATCCATGTTGTTCAATAAAATTAAGAAGAATCTCTTTAGTCACAGGCGTTTGTATACTCTTCATCACACCTAATAAAAGAGAGGAAAAATCTTAGTTTTAAAATAACAGTAGTTTTAAATACAAATTCTCAAATATAATTACTAATGAAAAGTGAAAGTTAATTATTTTTCAATGATTTTTTTTATCTCCAAACGACATGTAACGCTGCACATGTAAATATTTTTAAGCCTCTTTCTAAGATTCATAATTATTTAACTAATTCAAGTCCTGACACAATGTCTTTCCGAATTTGTACAGTTTGCATAAAACCAATTATAAAAGAAACAAGAAATGACATAAAATAAATTTAGAAAAGCACAACAAACCTGCCAAAAATTTAAATCAAATTCACATACTGTGTCGAGTGAAATACCAAATAAAACTGAAAAAGATGGTACCTTTTAGAGATGAGCAGAAGTGCGATTCTCCAATCGCAATTGAAACTGCGATTGCGATTCTTAAATCACAGCGACCGTAACCTGCGATTGCGATTATAATATTTACAAAACCAAATTATTCTTAAAAATGTTTTTTCTAAATATGCCAATGATCCAGCCTCAATCCATTTGGAAAATTTGAGATATGATTAAAAATACGATTCGGACATATTTTAACTGACCAGGACAAGGCATCGTGATCAAAAATTAGTGTTTTTAACACAGCCATAATATTCTAGATTGTAATTTAAAATACGATTTTATAAGGGAAAATGTAAAAAAATGTCTTCCCGTGAAACATGAAGTGGCCAAAAACAATTTAATACGTCAATCAATCCTAATTTATGTAAAGATACCAAATCTCATTTTTTATCAGAAAAAATAAAAAAGTTATAGGGGTAAACCACTCTTGAGAAACACCCGATATATTTATTGATCGAGGCCCTAGAAAATAATACCTTCTCTATAAATAAATAAAATCAGAGAGAAAATTCAATCGCAGTTTACTATAAAATGCTTCGACAGACCACAAAATTACATTCGCAACAATATCGCAAATCGCAACTTTTAAAAATTCGAACTCGCAGATAGAAATCACGGTCCCAGTTTACAAAATCACAATCGCAGCAAAATCGCAAATCGCAGTTATAGTAATACTTGTTGCCTAAATTGAAAACTGCCAATATTTGATATGTATATGCTGCCAATAGAAGAAATCGCAATCGCAGTTTCCTATGAGAGCCAATCGCAGGCTGCGATTATCGCTGCAATTGGATCGCAGTTTGCGATTTTTTGCTCATCTCTAGTACCTTTTGGATGGTGTCGATCAATGACTAAAGAATACAAGGACTAATAACACCCAAGACCAAATTGTTACCATACCTCCAAACAGTGCCGTGGCACATATCTTAACGTAGCTGTTTGAAGAGATATTTATATTTTTGGAAATTTTGACTACGCCTATGGTGTATGCGGTGGTATCATACTAATTAATTACGAAAAAAAAAACGTATTAAAATGTTAACAAACGGTACAAAAGCGTATAGGACATCTCAAGTACATATTATATCAGAAAAATAATTATCGAATTCAATAAATAAAAGCTAAAAAGGTGGAGTGGAGTGTTTATATTTATCTATGAAACGTAACTCCTGGCTCTTTCTTATCGCTGCAGCTTTTACACTTGAAAGCTGAACAACTAATCACCATTGTAAGTTTATACAAAGTTCACTAGACACAAACTATTAAAAATCGCTAAAATTGTCGCTGATGACTCAATCGTTACATCCAAAAAATGGCGTCTAACAGCACAATTTTGCTGTAGCCAGTATATGAACATTACGTGTCCTTGTATTATTTAGTCATTGGTGTCATTCTGTCTTTGATGCATGAATATAAAAATAGAATTAGGCTCGTTTAAAAGTATTTATTATTTAAAAGAATAAGTGAATTCACCAAAAATTAAGTGCTTTTAAATACTGTAAAAAACAAAAATTATTGATTTTTGCATAAAATCAACTGACATATAAAAGGAATGACTTATTATAAAATCTGGCCTGTCTAGTAGAGATGAGCAATATTTTTGTACCGGCGACTTTTACCGGTGACCATGTAATACCAGCGACCTATTTCACCGGCAAGCAGCGACCAGCGACCCTAGCTCGTGGACTGGTTGAAAAGTCGCTGCGATGAACAGAAAACTATCGACGGTGACTACCGATATGGATATATACCGTTAAAGGAACATCTATCTAAAACGTTATATCTTTGTTTTTTGGTGAACATAATTTTAATATATTACTTTTAGATATAATATTTCGCAATTCGTATATTTAAATAATTATAATTAATAAAAGCTAATAATCCGTTGACGTTTTTTTCTGTCATCCTTTTATTACAATTATTTCCTTTTTTTACTTTTTTTATTTTCCACAATAATAAACATTTCAACTATTTAATAGACGTACAGCGGCGTATCGATTGAGCTAATTTAACCAGCGACTGAAACAGCGACCCCAGTCGCTGGTCGCTGGTAGAAGTAAAAATTATCCAGTGGTCGCTGGTCGCTGGCCCACATCGATATACGCCCGGTCACCGTCTCGGCTCCTAGCGCAAACTGCAAACGGAATCGGATGAAGACGAGCGGTATTTTGTATCGGTGAGTCCCGACGGTCCCGGTGACTTAAGTCGCTGCTAAAAGTAACCAGCGACCGTCTGGTGGCTGTCACTGGTATACCGGTGACTTAAAAATCGTTAAGCTCATCTCTACTGTCTAGCGATATGATTTCGTCAAACGATAACTGTCAATATCATGCATATTTTTTTTATTTTGCTAAATCATATATATAGAAAACACTACGTTATTATCAAATTTTAATCTTACCCATAGCCGTGTTATAACTGTTCGGAAATGTTTTATCAGTCCGTTCTCTCATAAATTTCCATTTGTTATTTTCTAATTTGCATTCGATAATTTTACCATCCAAGTCTTTTAAAGCTTTTGTATAGTCCATTTTGGCGATTCGTTGATCGTACTGACCAAGATAAAGATGGCCAACTTTTTTACTTACGATCCCTGTCCCTCCTTCTGTAACTATGCGTAATCGAAAATCGATCGAATTAAGATCTAGAGGCTTCCATTTCAGCACATTGTCACATCGACCTGCGACGTAAGGCTGAAAATGTATTAAAGATATTGAATAAATAAGATATACAGTTTTCCTTAAAAAATCCATATCAGATTTTATATATCACATTTTTACTCCAATACTTTCATATGTACAGGGTGGGTCAAACTGGTCGCTTTTAAAGGAAAACACCCTTTTCTATAGGAGATGGACGAAAACTAATATCAGTGTCTGGAGCTCAATTTTTATCAAAAACATGATGGTGAAAATCGCACTCTCTAAAACGGTATGGAAATTTGGAAAAATATAAACGGGATTAACCATTTTAGAACAAGCAAAAATTTTGAATGCATTTTGTCAAAATGTCAATAATAAAAATGTTTTTCCTTTCCGGGTAAAAGGCAATCAAAGGGACAAAAGGCAATCCGGGGACATTTAGACTTTTTTACAGACTGTATTTTGCACATAAAATTATAAATTTAAAAGTAACATAAATGTGCAAAATATTGCATTTGCCAATCCTTTATATACTTTTTAATTAAAAACATTTTAAGTGTTCTTAAAGGAAGTGCAATATATTATAACTTGATAGTCTGAACAACTGTAATATACCTGGTGGTACATCAATAATCGTTGGAAATATAGAAAATCAATTTCAAATTTTGAACTGTCCTGAATATTAGCTCCCCTGTTGGTTTTACAGCGACACATGCCAAATTCGAACAATTTTGAAAAAAAAAGGCAAAAAATGTTACCTATACAAAAATTATTTACGACTTCCCTGTAAAACCAACCCGTTAGCCAATTTTTGTACAGTTCAAAATTTGCATGAAATTTTCTGTTTGCATCACCTGGTATGTAAATTTATATTTTATAATAACAAATTATTTTAAACAGTATTAATTAATAATAATACCATTTAGAGTTGTGGAAAACGTATCTATAGTGTAATATATATCACCCAAAATGCAATTTCACCACCCCATATCAAAATTTAAATAATTATAATATATGAAAAAGTTAAATAATATGATGCAATCATTTTTTGTATTTGTAACAAGCTTTAAACAAATACAAATGTTTCTTTACATTACACCTTTATTTATCTTTCGAAATAAGATGTAAATAGAAAAATCCATTGTTCTAAGGTTATTGACAAACATATTTTTCTATATAGGACCGAGTTATTTTTTTTGTTTTTATTAAACTATAAGGTTAATAAAATCTTAATGTTAATTAAATTTATATTCTCTTAGAAATTCTTTCTACATTTATCCCTGTTCAAAAAAAAACAGTGGCTTAGACAGTGATTTGGTAGGTATAAGTGCTATATTTTAATAAATTTGAACAAATAATTTCAAGAGAAAAAAAAACGATAAAATGGAACACCAATATAAAAAGGCTGTACTTAAACTGCCGTTAAACGATAGCTTACTAAAATGCCGGTAATAGGTATGACGTCGTTGATTGTGACGCACTTGACGGCTTTATGAAATATAGGAATTTTATAAGGACTAACCAACGCTATCCACCCCACCAAATAACCAACTTAACCAACGCAACTAACCTCGACACTGATAAAAAATATAGAAAACAAATATAAATTAGTAAAAATCAACCAACCCCACCAAATAACCAACTAACCAATGAATTAACACCCTCCAAATAACCACGCTAACCAACCCGCCAAATAACTAAACCAATCCAACCAAAAAGTGTGAAACCAATGCAATAAGATCGCGCTATAAGCAAAAAAATATAAAAAAGTCTTGGTCGGCGTGAGATTTGAACCACAGACCATCCGCTTACGAAGCGATAGCCTCAGCCACTGACCCACAGGTGCTCTTGCAAAAGGCTTAAGGCCAGGCATTACTTTCCGCCGACATGAACGACGTCACAATATCTATTAACGACATTTTAGTAGGCTACCGTTTAACGGCTGTTTAAGTACATCGAAAAAACATACCAAAAGGGCAACGGAAAACGGAACACAAATTGATTAACGGCATTTTAGTACGCGACCGTTCGACGGCATTTTAACCAAAGCATTAAAACGCCGTCAAGTGCGTCACATCAACGACGTCATATCTATTAACGGCATTTCAGTAGGCTACCGTTTAACGGCAGTTTCAGTACAGCGAAAAGTAAATATAAATTACTTAATGAGCCATAAAACATGTAAAATCTGGCCAACAATAGAAAAGATGATTTCAAACAAATATATTATAAGACTATATTGCTAGTAAGGAACAGAAATTAAAGCCAATTTTTTAGATGGAGCTATACAAAATCCACATAAGTCGGCCCCTTTCATTCAACAGCTTTGAACTATACAAGCGTGAGAAGTGCTTCGCGATTAGTTGATTTATTTCGTACTCACCAACAGAAGTAGTTTTTTAAGTTTCTATCTACCACGTAAATCAATTTAGCGTCTGCCTATTCGCGCCTTTACTTATAAATTTAAATTTAATCTCTGACATGACACAAAAACAAGAAACGGATAGATAATACGATAAATATCTAAAATAACAGGTTGAAATAATGCCATTACCAATAAAAAAATACTATATTATATGTTATTAATATTTAGAGTTTAAAATAGTGCGCGGGCAGGTGACGAATGAAGTAGACGAATCAAATCGTTTTATTTGGCGCGTGCGCACGAAAATCCTGTTGAACCAAAAGCATAGAATTGCAAGATTGATATTCCTATTTCTTTTCCTGTCATCACTTTCCACTCAGTGTAAATGCGGTACTAGCAATATAGTCTTAAGATGCGTTCACACCGGCTGCGCCTCCTCGCAAATCATTTTTTTAACATATATACTCTGTTTTTTTTCTCAGGTAAGATTTCGACAGACGATGACAGAAGAAAAGCAGGTGACGTCCCATACCAATCTATTTATTTTACTAAAAAAAGTTTCTAATAATTTTTAAGTTATCTATGGATGGGTTTAAATATAAATCCGTCATGCGTCGTGTCTTGTTGTTTTTAACCAGTTTTATTGGTTTATTTAAGAAATGACAGATCGTATTTCAATTTTATTGGTTCGACGGAACGATGAACGACAAACGGACGCCGATGCGTATGAACTCGCCTTTAGATTTTTGTCATTTTTGATGCTTGTCAAAGTCTTGCCAAATTATAGGTTATAATTTTGTGTCAACTTTTGTTAAATACCCTGCGTTTTGGAAGATTATGCATTTTGATTCGTATTATACGTGTGTTTTGTGTCTTTTGAAGTCAATTGGAGGAAAAATCGAGTGAAAATTAACTGTAGACCCAGAGCACAGTTTATGGTTAATACTCGCTGCCCAGGCAGAAAGTCTTATACACCAATGAAGTTGCCATCGATAAAGTTTGTACACCATTTCGTCGTAGATAAGTGCATCTCGTATATGGTAGAAGGATCAAACTAAACACATACTAAAAACTGGAGTAGCTGTAAAATATCGACATCACACGATAGGTAAATAATGGATTTTAGTACTGCAGAAAAATAATGTCAAAAGGTACTGGTTTAAAAAAATTATGATTAAAGTTAATTAATCAACCTTTAAGGTATAAAATTTGGTAGGTGTTATTATTAATAAAATAGTTTGTTTTATTTACCTATGTTGTTTTATTTATTCCTGTGAAATATTACAAATTTGTATTTGTACATAAGTTATATTGATAAATATAATCATAAATGCGGGTAGTTTCATAAAGCTTGAAAGTAAATAATAGTTCTTTTTTATATTTTTTTGGTATGTAGTGTCTTGTTCTTGTTTGTTTTGTATTAACATATACCGTTTTTATTAAATAAAATAACTCGATTACATTTTTTCAGTTTTATACAGTTTTTTTCACAATATTTTGAAGTAATCACTTGTCATCTTGTCAATCAAATTTTAAATATATCCTGCTATGCGTTCCAGTTATACCAACTTATTTCTTTGTAAAATAAAATAAACTACTTTGAAATTAAAATGACAGACACATCTATCACTGTCAAGGATCTTCTCGTTGGACAGACTATACTTTCGTGCGCGCTAAAAAAAATACACTTCAAAAGTACACGTTAAAAAAATGTTTTGCGCGGCGCGGAGCGGTGCAGCCGGTGTGAACGCACCTTTATAATATATTTGATTTCAACAGATGACATCCAAAAATTGAAAGTCAAATCAATATTTACTTATGAATTAAAATAATGACAGACACTATTACTATCACTATCAGATTCGATCATAGAGCAGACTATAGAGAAGCGTTATAGACTATTAGAAATTGATAAAATTATAAAAATCAACTATGAAAAATACCTCATCAGAAGGCTGAAAAATCAGTCCATCAGGCTCGTGACTCAAACTCTTTGCAAATTTTTCGCCCAATAAGCTCGCAGCTTGTGAGATCGGCCAAAAGTCTTTTTTCCGTACGCTGAATGGTTCCAAAGTTTTGTTAATTATCAACTGTTCCATAGCAATGTACCGAGGTTTAATAATGTCCGACTCCAAAATCTGAAGTCTTGTAGGGTAGAACGGATATTTTCCCACATCTTGATCCTCAAACTTTATAATATCATAAGCTAGGTATCGGGGAATATCTTTCCCATCGACTTTATCAATTACCATTTCCTGAAATTTAAATTAAAATAATCCCAATAGAAATATTTTATTTCGTTTCATTTTCATGGATAAGCAATAGTTGTAACAAATGTAACATATTGGAAAAATAACAATACCCTGGACACACAGTGTCACAGATAAAGTGCGCAATAAGTGTCTGCATCATATGGGATTAATTTTTTTGTTAATGATTTACGTCAAATGTTTTCTTAAGACCTAGAATTGGCTAAAAAAATCGTAAAAATCACATAGAAAGCTAAAACATGTAATATTATAAAAAAAACTATTTCAAATAGTTTTTCAAAATTCTGCCCTATGTCAAATTTGACAGATACTAGAGTGGAATAAGTTATATTTTATTGTCATTTTTAATCTGCTTTATCTGCGACACTGCATTTCTAAGCACATATTTTACTAATCAGACTAGCATATGATTAGGACGAATAGAACTACTACGTATTTTTGGAATAACTATATACAAAAGTGCTTCGTTTGTCCGCTAGAAGGCATCAAACTTTAACATTTAACTTTCAGAAAAATCCAGAAAAAGTACGAGAAGGTGAAAACTACCCCCAACCCTACATAAATCTTAGTATAAATATTTTGCAACTACATTGACGGCCGGTTTTCTTTTCGTAAAATGGTTCCTCTAGTATTTACTACATTTTTTGTCTCTTGTAAAAAATCGCCACCATGCATACTTTTTGGGTATTTTTTTTCCAAAGCTGCCTTCCAAAAAATGTGCTTTGTCACATCAAGCTAGTAGTTTTTAATATTCTAGCGTTGAAGTAAAATCCATATAAATATTTTTATAAGATATTGTTATAATTAAAAAATCTAGATTTTTATATTTATAAATAATAAATTTGAAACTATAATTTTCAAAAAATGTTGTACATTTAAAGTTCTCTTATCTAAAGTCTGTCCAACGATCGAGGGAAGATTTCGACAGACGACATGAAAAAATGATAGACAATACAATATATCTATAAATTAAAATGACAGACAGCAAGTGTCACTGTTATGTATTTTCTCGTTGGACAGACTTTATCTACCTTTTGCTTGTTCAATAATTTTTGCTAAACAAAAATAAATAGTAAATTTCAAAAATACATACCCCTTCCAACAATGTATTTCTTAAATGCGTATTTAAGTTCTTACGATGTAGAAATCTAAGATTCTTTACTTTAAAAACTCTGAAATCCCTATCAAACAGATATACTTGGTCTTCTCCATCGATCAGCATCATGTATCTTGTACCGTCAGCCTTCCACGACACTCGATACGGCATCTGATGCAGCAAAGCGAGGTTTTCACTGTCCATTGACACGGGTTGCGAGCCTGGGAAACCTTTGTTCTTCCAACCGCACATTAGCTGGACTTTTTTCTGTATTTGTGTTTTTTTCGGTTGCTCGTCGAAATGATAGACGCCCTTAACTCCCGGTAAAAATGGAACATTTTCCGATGCAGAACTAAAAAATATCCCTCTGTAGTAACTGATGACAACATTTTTATTGTTAAAAATGAAATGTTGTCAGTCTGTCGCTACTGGCTGTTATCCATAAGAAATTTAGTTTTATAAAAACGAGAAAAATCGCATTTTATTAAATAAACTATTTCCTACTATTTTTCCACCAATACCAATCAAAAAAGAAAATCCAGGCCAATTCAAGTTTTTTTTTCCACAAACATTACCACTACCGCTCCAGACTCAATCTCTAGATGAGTCACTGATTAAATTCAAATAAGATGACGTTCTTGTAAAATTGAGAAATGCGTCTACTACACGGTGTGAAAAATATTCATGTCTCCAAGGTTGGAGAAGCTGTTTGCAATATCGCGCATCGCATGGGACTGGCTTAAGGCTGGCACTTACTAAGTTGCCACTTAACGTTGTTTGAAATGAATCGAAAAAAAAACGGCGTCAGCGATGGCTACGAATTTTCGCTGTCATTTTATATGTAAATTTCTACGGGAAATGTCATTGATCGTTATTTTCCAGCCAACTGGACGCCGTTTTTTTATCGATCATTGATGTTTTACACATTGATGTTATGTATATTTTGGTAAAAAACAGTGTTGCTACATCATTATACAGGGTGTTTCAAAAAACATGTGCCATCTCTCGTGGGGAGATTCCTCACGTAAACATAATATTTATTACCCATCAACATGAGTCCGATTCTGCTTTGTTTCGTGGCTTCAAGAGGTTAAAGTCTTCATTTTTTTTTCAATTAATTATAATTTTCTTACAAGTGCTTTTAGCGATTCGAATGAAATTTGGAGGGTAAAAGTTATTGTACTACATATTTTAATATTAGAAAAAGTATTATCCGATTCACCAGTGACGTGCATGGGTTATCACTGGAATATTTTTCTAAAAAAACATGTGCGCCACTGACTTTTTTCCTCTTATTAACAAAAGTATGTAGGCCATTTAATGTCAATTAAAAGTTGTATTTTGATATTTTGCCCATTTCAATCTCCTTGATGAGATAAACGTAATTTCATTAATCACAATTATTTTAATTTTTTTTTATTAAATTAAAATAAAATTAATAAATTATTTATTTCATATATACCTAATTTATTACTAAATTTTATTAAAAATAATTCTCCCAAATAATAATAGTGTTTAAGATAATTACAAAAGACTTATTTTTTAAAGTTTTAACAACCTGTAATTTTAAAACTATGCATTTCCATACCCTTGTTTATAGGAACTTTTTTTAAGATTTTTTGATGAGGATTCAATGAGTACTTATTTAAAACTTTCGCAAGTTAATGATATTAACATTTTTAAAAGGTTGCATAAGGTTGCTATTATAGTAGACTTGAGACATGGCAAATTAATAAAATTGCGCTTATCTCATCAAGGAGGCCGAAAGTGAAAAAATATCAAGAGATAATTTTTAATCGGCATTAAACTGCTTACACTATTTCGCTAACCAGAAAAAAGTCAGTAGCGTAGATGCTTTTTTTAGAAAAATATTCCAGTGATAATCCATATGCACTATGCACGTCTCTGATGAATATGTCGACACTTTTTTAGTCTTAAAATATGTCATATTTATAGTAACTTTTACCCTCAAAAATTTCATTCGAAGCGCTAAAAGTACTTGGAAGAAAATTATAATAAATCGAAAAAATATTAAAACGTAACAATCTGTAGCAACGAAATAAAGCAAAATCGGACCTATGTTGATTTGAAAAATAAATCTTATTTTTACGTGAGGAATCTCCCCACGAGAGACGGCACATGTTTTTTGAAACACCATATTTATAGGAACTTATTTTATATTTTTTGATGAGGAGTCAATGAGTACTTATTTAACATTTTGACAAATTAATGACATTAAATTTTTTTTTAGGTTGCTATTAGAATTGAAAACAAAGTGTTCTCGAATAGTTGAATTTAAATATTTTAAATAGTTTTTTTCTCTATTCTTTGTATTTTTTTGCTTCCGACGACGGAAAGAGATACACTTTCCGAAACGTTAAGCATTTTTTTGTTCGTTAGGCAAATTTGTATATCTGTAAACCTAACTATTGACAAGTAGCTTCCGTTTGGATTAACGCCAGCAGTGTTTACAAAAAATAACTATTTTATTTTGTAGATTTTCTTGCAGTGACAAAATACCCATATAGGATTTTTTGGAGAGATGAATCCGCCACATAGATATAGACATTTTTTAGAATTGAAGTATGGCAAATTAATTAAATTCCGTTTATCTCATCAAGGAGACCGAAATCGACAAAATATCAAGAGACAACTTTTAATCAGCATTTAACGGTCTATACAATTTTGCTAACAAAAGAAAAAAAAGTCAGTGGCGTTTTTTTTAGAAAAATATTCCAGTGATGAACCCATATGCACGTCTCTGGAGAATATATCGACACTTTTTTAGCATTAAATATATACACTTATAGTAACTTTTACCCTCAAAATCACTAAAAGCATTTATGAAGAAAATTATAATAAATCGAAAAAAGATGAAGACTAACTCCCAATAGCTACAAAAGAAAGCGAAATCGGACCTATGTTAATATGAAAAATAAATCTTATTTTTACAAGAGGAATCTCCCCATGAGAGATGCCATGTTTTTTTAAATACGCTGTATACAGCATATAAAAAAAGTGTAACAAATTAAGCTTGATTTTCATGCATCCGTTGTCCGACGATACGTTGATACGATAATAATTTTATTGGTAGAATTTAAAGACTTTGATTGGTTAGAAAATAACGCAGTTTTTAAATTTATTGCATTTTCATGCCTCCGTTTATCGGATATACGTTGGTGTCATTTTATATTTTCGTTTCCATAACGATTTTGCTATTTTACTTATATTTTTATTAAGGTTAGATTAAATTTGTCAAAAAAGTGTCAAAACGTCCGTTATCGTATGAACCTTTGAATAGGAAGACTAAGGAAGGAGCATAATGCCACAGAATATACACCATACAGAAGCGACAAAGAGCTTTGAATAGCATTGGTCAAATGGGAACTAATTGCGTGACGTCACGTTTGACATCCGTGCGCCTTGAACAGCATTTCACACTGAAAGAAAATTGTTGGATTTTAATAGAAAATGATGAAAGGCAGGTTTATCTAATTTTTAAAAACTAGAGGGATTTAAATCAGTATTTTTATTTAGAATTAAAAATAAATAAATAATTATGAAATATATTTTTTAGTCTTTTATGCATAATATCTAGAAATAATTATACCTGCGGTCGTGAATTTTTTTTTGGTGTATAATTCCTTGACGTCACGTTTGACAGTTAACCAGCATTATCCCCTCCTAAAAATTTTGAAGCAAATCTCTTTGTCGCTTCTGTATGGTGTATATTTTGTGATAATGCTATCCATGTATTCATGCATGGTGGGCGGAAAAAGCACTCTAGGGTGGGGATCCTTGACAGTTCTGTTTGACGATTCATTTGACACATTTGAATTTGATTTGAAATTTTGTGGATTTGTCAGTCTTTACGGAGCTTATTTTATGTTATTTAGTATTTATTCTACTACTGATAGTTGTATAAAGGTAGTAAATCTAGATGGAAATTGTGGCAGAACTTAAATTAACAGTGACACTATCGCGATTTATCGAAAAAAGACTCTAAAATAGTTGGTTGTGTAGCGTGCGGTAGATCTCGGCAAAAATTGAGTGAAATAATGAAACAACTTTTCGCTAGTAAGTGACTATATAATATACATACGTGTAGTAAACCGATCATTTATGAAATTCACTTAAATTAACTAAATTATATATTTTTCTTGCATTTTAGCTTTTATTTATTATTTGTCAAAGATTAGATGTCAAAGAATTTAGATACGTTAATTTGACTTACCTGCTTCAGTAGCGTATCGGATGTTTGTGTTAATAAATATTTATTATAACTTATCTATTTTTATTAGAATTATATATTTTTATAACAATTTTAATAACTACCAATATTTATTCAAAACGTAAAATAAAACAACAAATTATTGAGTCTACCCCACGTCTACCCTACTACATCATAGTTTTACATTTTTTAAATAAAATTAGAACGACACTCATAAACCGGAATTTAAGTCGGCCATATTTGAGGCCCATCGCGGTGTACCTAAGATTTTTGATATGCTCCTTCCTTAGTCTTCTTATTCAAAGGTATGAAAATATTTACGGAAGAAAAGTGGCGCGAAAACACTATAACCAATCAGAGCACTGTCGAACCATCGTATCAACGTATAACGAATGCAAGAAAATTAAGGTTTAAATGCAAGAAATTGTATAGGAATAAATTAAAATGTTAATTGCTAATGATATTGGAACCATACTCTTCACTATACTCTGGATTCTAGATGATTATTTCAATATGGAATTGTAAATTGTAAATGTATATTATGTATGTTAATGATTTAGTTTTTCTTTTCTCGCTAGTTAACGCTGTTTCCCTTTGTTATACAATTTTGAAATAAAGATGTACCGTAGTTTGGGGCGAAATTGATAACCGGGGGCGAAATTGATAATTACATGGTTTAGTCACATTTTTAAATTTAGCGCCAAATTTATGCAACTAGAAGCAGTGGTGTGCATCAGTCTTGTTTAGTAAAGCTTTGATGACAAAAAACGGGGTTAAAATTTTAATTTTAGTTAATTAATTTTAACCGCGTTTTTTGCAAAAAATAGATAAAAATGGCACACCTGACTGCATACGTCTTGTCATCAAAGCTTTACTAAACAAGACTGATGCACACCACTGCTTCTAGTTGCATAAATTTGGAGCTAAATTTAAAAATGTGACTAAACCATGTAATTATCAATTTCGCCCCCGGTTATCAATTTCGCCCCAAACTCGGTAGTATTATTATTACCTATGAGAAGATGTTGAAGCAAGCGGTTCATAATTTCCATTAGAATGATCAGTACTATTTGTATCATCACTTTCTGAACACCAATTGGGAAGATCTGGTGCTGGAGGCATGTCTTCAACATCACCGTAACGCTTATACAATTCCATTATGTAATCTTGTTTATAAATACCTACAGGCCTAATAACAAATAACATTTTGATTAATTTAACAAAAAATTAAAAAAACAAATGCATAGAGTGTTGCATCACCAACATGAGTGTAGGAAACCTGATATAAATTTAAACACTACGAGTTAAAGTTAGGAATTTTTGAGAAAAGCAAGGGGCGATTCTACCGTGGGTGCTAGGGCTGCTACAATTCAACAAGTCGACGAGCATTTTAAATTGTTAAATGAAAGCAATATTTTTTTTTCTTTTTTACAAAAAATTAATAATTGAAAAGCTTCAGCTAAAGATGAAAAAAATGGATTGTTCAAATTTGCAAAATAAATTGAGCAATGCTGTTGATTCAAATTCGGATATAGATGGAAACAATCTGTTCAATGAAATCAATTACCAATGTTCATTGATGATTGCACAACCCTGAAATTTTAAACTATTTATTTTCAAAAAATTTAATCTCAGTATTTCCAAATTTGTCTACTGCACTTAGAATTTACCTAACATTACGAGTTACAGTGGCACAAAGTGAAAGATCTTTTTCTAAATTAAAATTAATTAAAAATTATCTCCGGTCAACATTATCACAAACTAAATGAACTAACTTGTCTCTAATCAGTATTGAACATAAAATCAAATTAAAACCATTGGTATTGTGAGGAATTTTTGTTAATGTAAAAGCAAAAAAACTAGATTTTAATATTGTAATATCTTAGTTTTTATAAAATAAATTATAAATTGACAAAAAAATTAAGCCTTCAAAAAGACAATATTACAATACAGCGGTTTAATAAAATGAAAATAAAATCAGGTGTTGATTACTAAGACTGGATTATTATTCAACTGGGTTCTAGTAACTATTTAGCGAAAGGTGGGGAGAGCGCCGAGGTATTTTCCGCATCCCAGCGTCAAATAGGCTCGAACCGCCCCTGAGAAAAGCTTATAAAACTTTTTAAATAAGCTCATTAAATAAAAGCATATTCTCTTTTCATGCATTTATGAATAACTTTTTTATTCCTGACAAAAGACAACATTCTAAATCATATTCTGAATAAAAACTATCATAGTAACTATTCAAAATATAGGCCCAGGACCCTTTTGGGCTGCTGCAAATGAAGTGATAAGAATGGCCACAAAATAGTGGGTTGCTAACAAATTTCGAGAATGATGAGACATTCACCAAGGCAGTGACAGGCAAGAAAGTTCATACTAGAATATTCCAATATGAAAAAGAGTAATAGTAAGTAAAATAAATTTTATGTCAGTGCAACAGCCTGGGAAATGTGCAGTTCTTTGTACTAAGCAATGATAAGCCATTATCAAAAAGCTATAGAGACAACCCTCCATTTCAGACTCCAAGTTATTACACTTTTTGGAGAGAAAGATAAGATTTTTGGAAGGATAAAATTGGAGATCAGAAAGAAGACCACAATAAATTTGAAAAAAAAAAATTGAATATAATCTAACTATTCAAAATACAAATTTTAAAAACGCACGCAATTTCCTATGTTCAGATCAGTAATGCCAGCACATGGTATATATATATCTCAATTTACCTTGCTTTAGCAAACATTTGTAATGCTAAATCTAAACTGCAGTCCATTTTTTCTATTAAATAACTAGTAATAAGAAATCCAGTTCTATTAAAACCATGAGTGCAATGCACTCCTATACATTCTAATGGATTTTGTGAAATAAATTTATGCACTAATTCGATAAATACATGTGTTTGTTCTTTAGAAGGAGTTTCACCGTGACCCCTACATTGGAGTTTAACATATTTACAACCATATTCTTCAATTTCTGCTTTGTTATAAAATCTACTTGTAAATGTTAAATCTATCCAGAGACCAATCTTAATCTGCAATAAATTAAAATAAGTATTTTCACTGTGAATTTATATGAAATATGTAGAAACCTTTTTCATTTTACAAATATCGAAAAACATCTTAGGATGAAATCTACAATCAGGAGGAACTTGCGTATCAAAATCTGCGCTAAGGGGCGTCTTGAATGCCATAAACTTCGCCATAATCAATTCGTTTGCTTTTCTTGGACAATGCAACCATCGATTAGGCACAGGACCAGGACCTCTTCGCATTTCACTCATTTTTAAACGGATATTCGTATTGAGGTTACGGAGAAAAAAAAACTTTTTGGTTTAAACCAAAAAGTTACGAAAGAACTACTACTTCTTTACAATAATTAATAAATACCTCATTTTCTTTTAAATCGTTTTCATTATTTATAAAACCATACTGGAGGAGCAATATTTTATGCTTTTGTTAACGGATCAGCTGTACTCCACAGCTGTACTCGCTGTAACAGGCTGTAATGCGCTGCATATGCGCTGTACTCCACCATTCTTCAACAAATAATGAAACTAACCTCAAACTATTTTTTCCATAGATCATATTATGGATCATATTCACTTAATATCATAATATTATCTTTTATATGTTTACGTTTAAAATATATGACTGTTCATATGTTCATAATATATTTTTATATATGAACATTCACTTGGCTAATTATATGAATTATATATGAATAGTGCTTTTTATGAAACCTTTTTATTCAAAGATTCAAAGTGATGGACTCATGGATAAAAGGTGAGACTAATGTACTAGGTTTTCATGCATTCCAATTTCGGACGTTCTCTAGAAAAAAATTGCACACCCTAAATATGCTAAATATCTTATCTTTATATTTATATTATACAGGGTGAGTCTTAAAGAAGTGCAAAAATTTTTAGGCATAGTACATTTCGACCAGTGTTATCTCTTCTATATCTCTGATTTCGACCCAAGAAACATGATTAAAGCTTGTTTCATATAGACGCGAATCGCGAATTGCGAAAAGCGATTCGCCAAAAAATATTCGCAAAATTTGGACCTATTTCATACAGTCGCGAATTTTTAGGGACATTTCATTTTTGCTCAACTGAAAGTTACTAAAAAAAATCATAACCTGAGATAACTTAATTTGTTTTTATTCGTGTTTACGATCTTTATTTTATATTTTATAGCATATAGCATACAATATGAGTTTAAATTTGTTTAATGATTATGAATATTGATTACGATTGTGGGATTGGAACAGAAGGTGCAAAATTGCCATTTACTTATTGTTAAAACGTAGAAAAGAACGGGTTTATAGGTCATTTGGGACATGTGAAATATTTAAATTTCGTAAGCAACAAGGTGCTTATCGCAATTTAATTCAAGAAATGAGGAAAAAAGATGAGAACAAATTTAGGAATTTTCACAGATTGAGTCTACTGACTATGATGTGTTTATGTTTTTCACAGATTGTCTGTATAGGAGTTTGATAACTTGGTTGAAAAATTGTCACCATATTATATCAAAAACATATACCTCGTGTAAACCAAACCAAATCAAACCCATTTCACCTGGAGAAATGCTTTCAGTTACTTTGTACTTTGGTACCACTTTGGTACTTTGTGGCAGCGTCGTCAAAATAATCGATAACCGGATCACAACACCATTCTGCGCAAACGCGAACCTTCAAATCGCGCGAATATTCGCAAAAAGTTGAAAACACTTTAACTTTCCCGCCCCCCAAATTTTAAATCTTGCGAATCTTAAAATTTCTGACAGCGCTACATGATCATTAAAATTGGACCAATGAGAGCAGTTTCGCAAAATCGCAATTCGCGATTCGCGTCTATATGAAACAAGCTTAAGAATTTTTTTGTGGGTTTTGGTGAACAAAAAAAATTTGATATTTTTTGAATTTTTTTTTTGGAGATTTGGAATTAGTTTTTAGTTTGAAAAAATAATTTGTGAATAATATGGCAACATAGGTAGTAGATTAATTTTACAAGAAAGAAAACCCAGGAAAAATCCAGCTTAGGGGTTCTCAAAATTTAATTTTCAAAGTAAAATAACTCGGTTATTTTGGACTTATTATTTGAACAACGGTAAAAAGGAAATACGTTTCTTTTATCAAGAGCTACCAGCCCTGAAAACATTTGCACTTATTTAAGACTTACCTTGTACTTATAAACAATTTTCATCTATTGACACCTATTGATTTAATTTCAAATTTTAGAAAAGGTACTCCCGCCCGCTATCTTAAAAGGCAAGATGATTAAGACATACCCTTGTTTATATTTATACATAATCAAGGGACATACATTTGCGAATTTCAAGTTCCAGAGCTTTACGCCGCTACTCAGAACGGTTCTGAAAGGAGCTGTGCGCGATAGCCTGGTGCCTCCATATGGCGCGGAACAGTTCTGAACTTTATGACACAATTGAATGGTGAGAGTATGGTGAGAGTATCGCGTTCTTGAACAGTTCAGAGCTACACAACTGCGTGAATGGAGGACAGTAATTCTGTAGTTTTCCTCACACTTCTTCAAGATTTCTTCAAACCTCACATACATATGAAGTTTTCTTAAAACAACTCCATGAATCGCCCCGTTAAATACAATATGCTCGAAAAAAAAAACGGCGTCAGCGATGGCTTTGGAATGAAGATCGGCGCCCTGTCATTTTGTCTGTAAAATTATATGGAGAATGTTATCGATCGGCATTTCAAGCCAACTGGACGCAGCTTTTTTCAATTATACGGTTATGGTTCATAAAACCCACTTTATAAAATCCAACATCCAATATTACGACAATAAAGGGTATTTTTTCCAATAATAAATGGCCATCCCCTGCCGGAAAGACTGCGACCTGTGAGGCCTACTGTGTTTGTGCAATAAGGGCATATACCCTGTGGGTAGGGTTTCCAATTTTCGGGATCGGAATCCCGTTTTTAAATCCCGGGATTAGAACCTATAATCCGAGAAATTTAATCTAAAGAAATATTTACTAAAATGCAGCTATATAGTATATCAAAACGAAAATGAGAAAAGAGCTTTATTAAAATAGACGCAAAATAAAAAAGTAACATTCATATTTAGTGATTTAAAAAAAAATCAATTATTGTTTAAAAAAAATAAAATACTTATAGCAAACACGAAAATATAACTTTTAAATATTGACGTTCTACCCTTGTTCTACTTAGTATAAATAAAATATGATCTTTGAAAGACAAAACTGTATAAAGTGGAATCATTAATTTAAATTGGACATTTAAATTTTTCGAGATTTTCAAGATCCCGGGATTTAATATTGGGATTTCGGGATTAAACGTATACCGGGATCCCGATTTGTAAACCCTACCTGTTGGTTGTGGGCATACCCAGCCTAGAGGGAGTAAATAGAAAAAGTTAATTTGTATTAATATGATTTATATTGTAAACAGTAGATATTTTGACAATGGAATGGTAGTGATAAACCTGGTTATTAAATCGTTTAAAATTAATTTTATCCAGAATCAGTTAACTGTTTTCAATTTTAGTGCAACTAACAGTAAACTATATGTTCTAACGTAAATCGAATTCCTTTTAGTATCTAATAACCCATTATTTAATGTCTAATATCTATAATCTAGTGTAACACACGAATTTAACTTAAAATTCGATTATTTTTTTATAACCGTCACTTATTTGTCATAACTCAGAAGCCTATGATATGCATATGATCGAGAAAAAGCGTCAATGTGCCTTAAAACTTAAAAGTGACGTTTGGTGGCCGATGGGAATTTTATGCAAAATTATACGGTTAACATCGTCGATCATAAATTTTAACGTTGTTTTTTTTTGATTATATAAAAGATTGATTGACGGTTATAAAAATTATTTTGTATCTAGATAAAGAATAATACATTTGTCTATAAAATAAACTACACTAAAACGAAATATATTATTTTCAATTATTTTAAAAGCATACGGATCAGCAAAGCGGTAAAGTTCTAGCCACATCATCCAAAGCTGCAGATTGAATTTGTACTATAGATATAACAGGTCTTGGGGCCATCATAAAAACCACTGCTAATCGGACTTTACAGCGCTCTAGTAAGTACTTCCATTTTAATGCGCATTTTTGGTCGTCTGACATCGAAGAAAATTCTGTAGCCTAAAATGCGATAATGCAAATATCTTTAGCATATACCTGGACAATATAAGAGCTCCAGAAAGCAAAAAATAACTTCAATCACGATACGACATGAATGTATATTGTTAAGTCTTCAATTTAGGCCGAATTGGGTTAATATCAATATGGGAAATTGATCTAGGCTCAAGGGATCACGCTTCGTCCTACGTGGGCGACAAAGGCGAGCGGGCGACGCGTGCGACTACAGAGGGCGATGAGCTCGACTCGCGCGACATATTTCAATCGCGTGCGGTGCCGCTTCAGTCGCGCGCATCTCCTACTTAGGACAGCTTCGTAAGAAAACGTTGTTTGATAAATACGCGTCGCTCGCACCGCCCGAATCGCGCGCTTTTGTCTCCCACGTAGGACGAAGCGTTAGTTAAATGCATGACGTCGATCTTGATATGTTCTGGACGTCTAATGTCATTGGTTTTTATATAACATTAATAAAACATGTGATGGACATCTAATATCATTGGTTTTTATACAGGGTGTTTAAAAAAATATGTGCCATCTCTCGTGGGGAGATTCCTCACGTAAAATAAGATTTATTTTTCATATCAATGTAGGTCCGATTCTGCTTTGTTTGTTAGCTACAGGGTGTTAAAGTCTTAATAATCTTTCGATTTATTATACTTTTCTTCCAAGTAGTTTTAGTGATTCGAATGAAATTTAAGGGTAAAAGTTACTATAATTACTACATATTTTAATGCTAAAAAAGTGTCGATAAATTCATCAGGGACGTGCATATGGGTTATCACTGGAATATTTTTCAAAAAAAAACCTGTGCGCCACTGACTTTTTTTCTTTTGATATTAAAATTGTATAGGCCGTTAATGCCAATTAAGAGTTATCTCTTGATATTTTGTCGAATTCGGGTTCCTTGATGAGATAAACGCAATCTTATAAATCACAATTAATCAATATTGAAATAAAAATAAAATTAATAAATCATATATTTTACATAATTTATTATTAAATATTATTACTATTAGTTATTATTGCTATTAATCCAACCTACAGAAATTTCAAATAAAAAAATAATAGTATCTGAGATAATTACCTAAAAATAAATACTAAAAAAAACTAACTTTAAAAAGTTTTAACATCCTGAAACTCTAAAAGTATGCATTCCAGATTTTTTGATGAGTATTCAATGAGTACTTATTTAAAACTTTCGCAAGTTAATGATATTAAAATTTTTAAAAGGTTGCTAGTAGCACAGATTAGGTACCTATACTATAAGTATTGAGATAAAAATCTTGTCCCTAATTCGTGGTACGAAAATTGTTTTTTATGACGATGAGCAAACAAGTAAATTTTCTTGTGCGCAAAAATAAAGTCCCGTTCAAACAGCGTAATAACTTGGTCGGTCACGAGGCCGGTCAGGCGCTGTGCACAATTTTAGAGGCCATAAGTGGGCATGCTTGTGCGCAAACTAGTAACCTAGATAGTGCGCGACTCCGAAAATCGGAACCACGAAAAACTATGATTTTGACGATAAGTTTATAATCTGTATAATCTATGCTAGTAGATTTGGATCAAAGCAAATTAATAAAATTGCGCTTATCTCATCAAGGAGGCTGAAATCGACAAAATATGAAGAGACAATTTTTAATCGGCATCAAACTGCTTACACTATTTCGCTAACCAGAAAAAAGTCAGTAGCGTAGATGCTTTTTTTAGAAAAATATTCCAGTGATAATCCATATGCACGTCCCTGGTGAATATGTCGACACTTTTTTAGCTTTAAAATATGTCATATTTACAGTAACTTTTACCCTCAAAATTTCATTCTAAACGCTAAAAGTACTTGGAAGAAAATTATAATAAATCGAAAAAATATTAAGACTCTAACACCTTATAGCTACGAAACAAAGCAGAATCGGACCTATATTGATATGAAAAATAAATCTTCTTTTTACGTGAGGAATCTCCCCACAGAGGCCAGCTTTCCAGAGTGATAACCCATATGCACGTCCCTGGTGAATCTGTCGACACATTTTTAACATTAGAATATGTACCAGTTATAGTAACTTTTACCCTAAAAATTTCATTAGCATCACTGGAAGAAAATTATACTACGAGAAGGAAAATTATAATAAAAAAAAAATGAAAACTTTAACCCCCCGTAGCTACGAAACAAAGCAGATGGCACATGTTTTTTGAAACATCCTGTATAACAATCGGGTCGACGAAATTAGACAAAGGTGACTGAAGGTTGAATTCGTCGCCGTCGTCTTTAGGTGACATTAAATGTTAATTCTCACTATACGTTCCGTATCCGCTACTTTTCGTTTCCGTACCGTTCTTATGGTTACGTTTAATAGTTTGAATACAATCAAATTATACGAAACGTTTACGGAACGGATATGGGACGGAAACGGAATATATAGTGAGAATAAAGGTTGATTCTCACTATATACCTTCCGTTTCTATTCCATATCCGTTCCGTATTTTTGATTGTATTCACGCTATACGTAAATGCTTACGTTTCGTATCAGTTCCATACTTTTTATTGTACAATTTATGTATATCATTACGAAAGTTTTATTTTAAAAATTTGTAATTTTTGAAAAAGGTAATGATTTAATTACGAGGTGAAAGAATAAATAAATATCAGCAAAATGTTAATAGAGCTGGTACAAATGTAAGAACTTGACAACGCTGTTTCCGATACGCTTCAGTCCGTCCGCCAAAAAAATGTATTATTACATGATATAATATTTTATGTAAACGGAAGGGAGCTGATACGGAAGGTATATTGAGAATTAACCTTTATTTATCGTTTCGATATTTCAACAAAAAAAAAAGACTTATATTTTAATAATCATGTAGGTATGTTTTTAAAATATAAAAGGAAATAGCCATTAAAAATACTTACTGTGCAACATAATGCTATTTCTGCAGAGTGTCCGGTAAGGCGACAGTTAGTAAGAGTACCAGTATGATCCGTCAACATCACTTGAATATCGAACGTTACTTCTGGGGGCACATGCTCGTCTTTTGGACAAGAAGGGTTAGCACATCGCGTGGTATCAATAGTCGTCTTACAGTAACCGCACTTAATTAACAAGGTCTGAGAAAGACCATCCAAGTCTAAGTGACTGACAAAAGCAAGTACCGTGGCTGTAAAGGACTTGTTGCCGCTAAGTTTGGAGTCAAGAAGACTATTAATCCGGTCCTGTAGTTGTTTTACGCTTAGTATATCATCATTTAAAGTACCTAACATTATCATAAGTTTTATTATATTATACAGGGCGGTCCGAACTGTATTCCAGGAACTTCGGCAGCATATTCTGCAGATAAAAATAAGTAAAAAAGTTCGTATAAATGTATGTCCTAAAATACTTAATTTCGAGAGAGATTTCTTCCTAATAATTTTTGAAGTAACGTCAATATTTGGATGAAAATTGGTGTCTGGGAGAGAGTTTTTTGACATGACAAATTTGATTTTGATGTCAATATGACTCCTATTTGTACGGGGCGCCACCTACATGTGTTTTAACTGTCTTGAAGGGTAATAACTTTTCCTCCGTACCTGTATAAAACTACCGAGTGAAAAATTATAGATTTCCGTGACATTTTACGTAAAAAAATATCTTGGTAAAAATCGCTACGAGCAACCGTTCACAAAATATTTAGAATGGAAATAGTCAATACGTCATTAATGACAAAAAATAAACACGTTGAGTAGATGTAGATAGTTATTTGATTGAAATAATAAATTTGGGAAATTTTTATTTTTTTAAATAAATCATAAATTTTTCTGTTGAACTTTTAGCACAAAAACATTTCAAATTTATGATTTGAGACTAATAACTATTTAGTCAACATGTTTAATTTATGTCAATGATGATAGGTATTGATAATTCATTTCGATTCCAAATATCTCGAGAAGCATTACTCGTAGCGACCAAGCAACCTTTTTTACGTAAAAAACATCGTAAATGTATATTTTTTACTCGGTAATTTTATCGGTTTTATACACGTACGGACGAAAAGTTATTAGTCTTCAACTCAGTAAAACAATATGTAGGTGGCGCCCCCTACGAGTACGAGTCCCTACAAGTGAGATATTGCATCAAAATCAAATCTCATGCCAAAAAAATCCCAGACACCAATTTTCATCCAAATATTGATATTACTTCATAAATTATTTGAAAAAAAAAACAAAATAAAAATGAAACATCTACACCCTATATCTTCGAAACTAAGCATTTTAGGACGTACATATATTTATACGCAGCTTTTTACTTATTTTTATCTGCAGGATATGCTGCCGAAGTTTACGGAATACAGTTCGGACCACCCAGAATACAAAAAAAATATGCAAAACATTTTTGTATTCCTTAAAGATTCTTACTGGTAGGCACAGAAGCTATTAACTGCGCAACAATATCGAAGGTTTCTATAGGAGCAGTTTGGGCATACTCAAATAAAGATTCGCCATCTTTGCTTATAGGATTCTCTGTCAAAATTGTACGACCCGTTGTTTTGGCAACGTAAGCTTGTAAGAAACTAGACCATTCGATCTTAACATCGGTAAAAAATAAAATAGAACTCCGTGGCTTCCAGTTGTTTGATCTACAAAATATATACTTATTAAATTCTACATAATAGTTTGAGAACAGTAGATATCTATTACCGATTGATCATATCAGGTTCCCATAAAGTGACTTTAAGACTAGAACAAGTATGATCAAACAAATCTATTTGTCGAACTTGGATAGGTTCGCCATTTTTGGAATTAATCATTCTTATTTGTCCTAAATTTCGAACAGCGCCGAGTATATCAACATCTATATGAAGAATATTAAATACCAATATTGTTAAATAACAAATAACTAAATAATTCTTAACAAACACATAATATTAATTAATTTCTTTATAAATAATACAGGGTTATTCATGCACCCTCTTAGACGCGGAGTAAATGTTATCGTGAATACCCCTGCATAATATTTCGTTATCTTTAATAAAAGCAGTGCAAAACTCACAGTTCAGGCCAGAACCATTATTATGAATGTTTTGAAAAGGAACAAACACGGTGGTAGGTTTAGTCGGGTATCTCAATAATCCTATGTAAGCCTCTGGGTTTGGATGAATAGATAAATATGACCTATCACTCAGAGATAACTTATACGGCGATGTAACCATTGGGTGGAAATATTCAGAACGATCATCTAGTTTTCTTACCATCACTTGTGGATTAATTACTTCAACTAATAAAAAATATAATTAATACATACTATAGTGATATAACGAACATTCGCATTTGCAAATATTCGCGAATATCAACGTTATTTAATTTAAAGAAGGCGTCCATTCTTCTCAAAGAGACCTTGTTTAAATTAAAAAGAGGGACATTTCTTGTTTTTTTAAAAAATGTTTAAAAAGGCTGAAAACAATATTTTTTTTTAATTTATTTATTAATATTCTGAAACTATCAAAACATAGGTATATAATATTATCTTAGAATTATGTAAAAGTTATCAGAAAGGAAGCCCAAAATGCAATAATATACGGGCTGTTCCATTTAAAAAAAAATCATCCCATCTACTCAAACTTTTTTGAGTCACACTGTAGAAGTTAAAATATTTTCATGAAATACATCCTAATGCATATTCAGGTTTACACTTATCCAAAATTCATAAATGTTGATTATAGGAGCTACGGGAGGCATTTTTCCGTTTCCTATAGGGCTAGCGCAACCGATTGCGTTAATCGCATAGGAAACGGACTCGAGACCTGCAACTCCGTTCACTAAGTGGTTAACGCAACCAATGCAAATGATATTATTATGAGCCATAATATTATTATTATGACAGGTGGACCTGCATAGGTGTTAAATTTAATAAATTTAAATTAATAATGAGGTATTTTTATTCTGGATTCCAAAAAAATATAATTGAAAGATAAATCTAATAGGTAACTTTTAACGTTTTATATGCTAATATTGGCAAGGCAGTTCGGCAACACAGCTTTAAGACGTGATTGATATGTCAATCTGTTTTTTTTTAATAAATAGTGCTGAGTCAGTGGTTGGTTCCTTGTGAAACATCGTTGAAGTATTAGAATTTTAATAAAACACGCTTTGAGATGTATCAAAAAAAAATAAAAAGAGTAATTTAGTTAGGCATTTTTAAGAGTTCTTTAAAAACTAACCGTCTGACTACATTTTAAGGATATATATATATATATATATATATATATATATATATATATATATATATATATATATATATATATATATATATATATATATATATATATATATATATATATATATATTTGCTATGGTGGTGGATTTAAGGAGTTTACAATATAGGTAATAAAAAATGTGTTTAAAAATCCTTGTTGGTCGTTTACATTATTGTCCTTTTTAGCTGATTTTAATATTGCTAACTATTCTAGGTAATTTAAGCGTCTGCCTTTTGTTTCTCTATCTAATAACTTAATTGAGTTTTCATTAACTGTGTGACTATTTAATATACAATGAGTTGATAGACCGGAACTTTGCTGGAGATTATTAATAGATTTTATATGTTTTTTAATCCTTATATCTAAATTTCTACCTGTATGTGTATACGTACATGGCATTACAATTATCGCAATCCACCCTATATAAATCAATGAATGGAATTATTATGATTTTCATTGTTGGAATAATATTTTTGTAACTTTATTTATTTGATTAATTCTCAAATTAAATTGTTTAAATCTTAATTCTTAGAGTTTTGTTATAGTGTAGTGGTTACAAGTAATATTGAATGTCCCATTTTCTGTGACCTAAGTGACTACAAATAGAGCATACCTACCTAGACATTTCATTGCAAGCGCTTCTTTGCATGGGTTGCGATGACCACTTAGTAAACGACCTGCAACTCGGTCTTGAGTCCGTTTCCTATGTGATTAACGCAATAGGTTGCGCTAGCCGTATAGGAAAGGGAAAAATCCCTACGGGAGCTACAGATGCCCGAGGCATTGTTGCCGAACGCGTATAAAGTAGTAAGAAAAACTTTGACCCTTGGTATCCTCTATTTGCGGCAACATTTTGATTGACTCTGTTAAAAGTGTATTCTCCTATTCATAAATGTACGTACAAATTAGAGTTTTGCTAAAAATATGATGAACGTAATAATCCTACAGCCGGATCCTGTACTATTACATATTACATCAATAATAAAACCAAAGAATATTATATGTACCTACATCAAAAATAAACAAAATTATCCTTACCGACGTCTCCTGTATGATATTTCTCACTTTCCTGTAGAATATGTTCTGCGCTACCCCAGTACGTTGCATTAATATAATGTTTTAAGGAATCTCGAAAAGTAAAATTCCAGACAGCTCTAGAGGCGCCTTGTTGGTTTTCTTGTGCTTCAATTATCCGTGGACGTTGTTTTGCGATGATTATGCCCACAATTAAAATATTACTTAAGTTTGGATCTAAATTTTTTAAAATAACTCGCTCTAGAGTTACTAAAGTTGCACCATTGTTTTCTGTACTCATGATTTGTTAATTAGGAATTATTTTATGAAATATCAGAGAAATATGTTAATTTGCTGCAGCCGTATTTATCTTTTTTTATAAATATCGCGTCCCGCACTCTCTTTTGTTTTACCCAGGTTTTACCGCTCTGTCAACGAACTATTGAAATATAAAATAGTTACAATTTGTTTTTAATCTATGGTGATATTTTACTATATCGAATAGAAATATGATTTATAAAAACTACACGAAGCAATATTTAAATATAATTACAATTTACAGGGGCTTTTAATGATACACGAATTTCGCAAATATTCAAAGAAAAACAATATTGTGACACAAAACTTTTGAAAAATTAACGACAAATCTGACAGTTACCGACCAAAAATGACCGTTGACGAACTCACCCGGACGGAGCATACGCGACCATGACGCGACCTATGTGAAATTGTTCATATGTCTCTGTTCATATAAACTCATGGTACTTACTCGAAGTTGCGGACGGTTCGCTCCATGAAAGCGCGAAAATCAGTGTCATTTTGACGGAAAACATTTCTGGAATTCATAAATATACATTAAAACTAAGAATTAAGCTTCAATTTAATGCATCCGTTGTCCGACGATACGTTGATACGATTTTAATTTCATTGGTTGTATTTAAAGGCTTCGATTGGATAACCGTTTCTAACCAATCGAAGTCTTTAAATTCAACCAATAAAATTAATATCGTATTATCGTATCGTCGGACAACGGATGAATGAAAATCAAGCTTTATAAGTGGATATATATACTTATAACTAATGCATATCTAATTTTATGTAATTAACATTTAAATTATATTGCTCTACATCAAAATTATAGTTTAGTTTGTTGAAATTGTTAAATATCATTATGACAAAAATGTATTTAAATTGAAGTGGCTTCTTACTTCATCAGATCGAGCGGAACGTCCGCGACTTCGAGCAAGTACCATGAGTTTATATGAACAATTTCACATGGTCGCGTATGCTCCGTCCGGATGAGTCCGTCGACGGCTCTCTTGGAAAAAAGATCCGCGCGGACGCTTCGCGGACAGATTTGTAAACGACATATTTTTTACGAGCCGCGCTCTGTAGCAAAGTCTGTGGTTTTACATTTTTACTCCTAATAAAACAATATACTATCGTTGACTGAAAGAATTGGGAAGATACCTTCTTATTCAAAGGAAGATACTCAACCTAATGGGCGAATTCGTGACAAGGCTGATTTGATTTCCCCTTATTACGTCTCAAGTGCTGTACGATAGAGCCCCAACTCGTTCTGCGGCCAACGCATAAAACATTCATTTTCTCTATTTCGGCCAGCGAAGACGGTATGGAACTGAAAGCCGACAATGTTCCCGGATTAAAATATGTAATATCTGTAATACCGTTTGACGAAAATATCTTGAAACGAAAAATCGGCGTTTATGTATTGAAAATTTATTTCTGTTGAACATCCCAACTAGCAAATATAGTTCCCAGTCCTTTTTAAAATGTGACTGCCCCTAAAGTTGCCTAAAGTATAGTTCCTAGGCCCACTCTGCCACTTAAAATGTTACTCTATAAGGAATAGTCGCTTTGAAGTATATTTCGAGAGTGATCGGTTAGTGCCTACCTACCATAAAAGTAGAAAATAAACACCCCGATTGCAAGTCGCAAACATTTAATTTAAGGAAGTAGCTGGGACTACCCGAATCTTTGAATATGACACCATAAAATACCAAAAACTTTATAGTAACTTTTCAAAGTAGGGGTTACTAACAAGTGCTACCATAATGCCTCCATTAATTTTTTGTTACTTTATAGTAACAATTTAAGTTACGGGGTAGTCGCGGCCACGACACTTAGTTACTTCTAATTTATAGTAGCACTGAAAGTAGCAAAATGGCTACTGCTACCTTCCTAGGTCAATATAAAGTAGCCGTCGCTCATCCATTGCCACTAAAAAGTGACGGGGGTCAAAAACGGCTACTTTATAGTGACCGTAACTTAATATACCCTAATAAATGAAATTGCCTCAGAATTAAATCGTGTGCTGCTCTGTTTTAGCGTTTTCTTTTACTTCCTTTTAAGCTTTATTAAAATTTTGTAAAATCCCTATGGTGAATAAAAAGAAATTTAGTTATTCTAGTACTTTCTACCGAAGAATTAAACAAAAGGAATCACTGCGAGCCGATGCATCAACATCAGGAACAAAAACTACATCTTTCTATAATCCTACTGATGAACATCATAAATCAGGTAGTGACTAAGACATTTTTGAAGATGTTTCTGTAGATGAGTGTAGTGTTAGTTCATCTGAAACTGAATATCAGAGGAGAACTAATTTAAGAACCAACAACAATATAAAACAAGAGCTAAAAGAGTGGGCGTTAAAATACTCTATATCTCATGTATTTCTGAATAATATAGAAACACTGATAATAGAAAATGCACAATAAGTAAAAAATGACTTCAAAGGACAAGGCGGAACGTTATAGTGGCACCAATGGAATATATAGTCGCCACCGTCGCGATCGGTGTAGCATAACGCACCAATTAAGTGTGGCAATATGGTGGCGCAGGGAACTTTCTTCGAAAAAATCACTTTATGGTTCCAAAGAATCCTTGACCATGTAGTTCCAAAAAAGGTATTGTTTCTATAAAGTCGCCTTTGGATAGCTACAATTGTCACTTTATCAACCCGAAGATTTTAAAGGTCCAAACGGGTAAGGTTGGCCTAATATGTTATTGTTCCCAGTACTTTGTGGAAGCATATGGAATTATAAAGTATTTTACTAGTCTAACTCTATTAGTGGCAAAAACTACCCAAGACACTACCCGGCTACTCAAAATCTTTCCCCATTTTGGTCGCAGTTACTTAGCAGCTACGAATATACGACGTAGCCGCCGATGGACACCGCCCACTTTGTAGTGGCTTTGATAGTAGCAGTTACGTATCTGCCACTATAAATGCTAGTTGGGATAAAATAAACAACAAAAATAAATATTCTAAATATAACAAAATATTCCTGTCCTTCAGTATTTTTATTTCATGTAAAAGAGTAGATGAAACAAAAAGCAATGTATCTTGATTAAAATTAGGTTTAACCGTATTTCTTTATTATAATATGTATATATTATATTTATATCCATCGCCTGGCTATGTTCTATGGGCCCATCATACGATGGAAACTCTTAGATTTTAATGACAGAAAATCCGTATTATTAACGTACCGTACCTGAAATTCGTAAATCTAAGGATTAATCCGTAGTTGTATCAACAGTCTCCGGCAACCACCTACTCTGTTCACTTGTCGACTGAAAGCAGAACTACGGTACAGTATTCTTTATCCGCTGCGCTGTCAACGCCTCTCAGCGCGCAGCGGCGCAGAGCTAAACTAAATCTCGGATACGCTGCCGGTAACGCCAACTACATCTCGGACTTTTTTTGTGCTAGGAAATCAGCCATAAGATTGCACATCTTATTTCTTCAATCAACGATATTATTTTTTGATTCAGTGACGATATTCCCGGAAGTTTGTAGAAATGAATATTAAAAAATACGTTAATAGAAAATATTAAACTTATTAATCGATTATTTAACAAAACTTTATTAATCCTTCTTTACATATTTACTTAAAATACTTCACAAGTCTAATTTAAAGTAGTTCATTTGGAATGAAATTCTATTTTCTTATTTTGAATTAAAACTCAAAACTTGAAGCAATTACTACGATATTCTTGACTTTCCTTCACCACATATCCACAAACAAACCCTGTCCACTAAGAATGAAAATAAGAAGTCGGCAAATAATACTAGAAGTAGAACGTATTTAAACTGAAAGAAAAAAATAATTTGTTGTATTTTGACATGATAATTTTGAGTAAACTAACTGATAATAAATTTTGGATTATCTACTTACGTCTTCTGGAAATTCTATGATTTCAAACTGAGCTGAAAGATCAGGCATGATGCCCAAAGTAAGCGCTAAAACAACGGAACTTGAGCCAAGAATACTGTACAACAGTGCCTTATTCTGAAGCAGACTCTCCATATATGGATTACCCTAAGAGACATAAAAATCCTATTACTCATAATACTCTATAGAAATTATATGAAAGAGGGCTATAAGACTTACCCTGTAATTTATTGCAAATGTAGCTATTTGCAAAGCCATTGAAATAATATAAACAGTACTGTTTATAATATTAGGTTGAAACAGTTCATCTTCTTCTTCCGGTGTTAATTTCTGAACTGGTTCTGTAGCATTTAATTTAGGTTCTTCTCTAAAAAGGAATAATGTAATAAATCAAGTGTCACAGAGAGGATTATCAATAAGGCTATAAAGGATGATTCACAGCGGTCGTATGTTAGACGTTTATGGAGAACCGGCGATAGAATTTTTTTGAAAAGGGTATAGCCAGATAAATATGGGAAATCTGCCCCCGCCGCTTTTTTGACTCGCACTCAAGGGATCGATTTGGTGTCGAATCAAAATAATTCACTTAAATTTTTAGCTCTTTAACTCAAACGGTTTTCGAGATTTAAAAAAAACTGTTTTTTCAATTTTATTTTTATTTTTATAGTAAAATTCAAAATTAATTAATGATGATTTTTTTCTAATTCTTAAAAGTTTGAGACATGAAAAAATTATATGATCATGATTCTTAAACGAAAAGCCGATTTTTAACGGAGGAAAGAAAATTAAAATCGTCATTTTTTTAACCCTTGTGAAATATGTCATTCACTAAAAATCGTCAGAAAATGTCTTTTATATTCTTTGACACTCAGAATTTTTTTAGAATTTTGTGGTGGAACAATATGAAAAAAATTAAACTCATTTTTTTTCTAAAATCTTCTGTTTTAACTAGTGATGGGAAAACCCGATTAATTTCAATAATCGAGTACTCGAGTATCAAGCGATTGCAATAAACGAGTGATCACTCGAGCAAAATATCGCTCTTATTTAAAAATGCGGTTTTTTGTGTTCATACTTTATACCGTATGATCGGGGAAAAACAGCGTTAGCGATGGGTATGAAATGAAGATCGCTATCATTTTATATGGGAAATAGTATACCATAATATAGTACCATATAACGATACATGGCGTTCGATTGAGCTTAAACTTGGTATTCTACTTATCTTTAGTAACACTGTAATATTATGGTACCATGGAGCATATAAAGTGGTACCTTCTATAGTACTACATTATGATACCACTTCCTGACGTTCGATTGTGCTCGTATTTGATATATACTTGCTTATTTTTGATGACACTGCAATATTATGGTACCATGAAGCCATGAAGCATATCAAGTGGTACCATACCATAATATAGTACCATATTAGATGCATGGAGGTCGATATAGGGCTTAAACTTGGTATACTACGTATCTTCGGTGACATTGTAATTTTGTGGTACCATGGAGTATATGAAGTGGTACCTTCTATAGTACTATATTATGTTACCACTCCTTGATGTTCGATTGATATTTGATATATACTTGCGTATTTTTGATGATATTGCAATATTATGGTACCATGAAGCATATCAAGTGGTACCATAATATCGTACCATACTACATACATGGCGTTCGAATGAGCTTAAACTTGGTATACTACGTATATTCGGTAACATTGTAATTGTAATATGATGCATGTAAAGTGGTACCTTCTATATAGTACCATATTATGATACCACTTCTTGACGTTCGATTGAGCTCAGATTTGATATATAGGCAATTTCGTATTTTTGATGACATATTGCAATATTATGATACCATGAACTATATCAAGTGGTACCATAATATAGTACCATATTACGTACATGGCGTTCGATTGGGCTTAAACTTGGTATACTACGTATCTTCGGTGACATTGTAATATGATAGAACTATGATGCATATAAAGTGGTACCTTCTATCGTACCATATTATGATACCACTTCCTGACGTTCGATTGAACTCATATTTGACATTAATAAAAGGTACCTATTTTCTTAGTTAACAATATAAAGTAGTGTATATTAAAAATGTATTTTTTGAGTATATTTTTTAAAAGCCAAACGAATAATTAACATAACTGTGTCTGACAAGAAAAGAAGAATAGAAAGAAACTATTATACACCAGAAAAAGAATGGGATGCCAATTAAAGGTCTTTTTGAATCTGGCAACTGTGCATGTTTAGGCGAGCTTCAAGGCCATCGATCTAAAACCTAAACTTCAAAATTTCCAATTATATTCTGATTATGATATTCTCGCGCCATCTAGTATTTTATTTGTGCAATTTTAGCTCTTTCATTTCGAATATTTTTCTGTTGCGTAGCTAGATATTCTGTGCTACTTCCCTTAACTTATAAACCAAATTTCAGCCTTCAATATGCCGAATCTACGATTTAACCAATGCTTATTCAAGATCATGTTTTGTCAGTTTTACACATAATTTATTTTTCATTTCGAAAACTATTAGAGATATACAGAGTGTCCCAATATTCCGCGGAGATAGAACTACTACGTATTTTTGGAAGCAAAATAAGTTCATTGGACACAATTTACCCCTATACAAAAATACCTCGTTTGTCCGCTAGAAAGCATCAAACTTTAAAAAATTAACAATTTTTTCCAGATATTTTAAAAACCGTTATTCCGAGTTGAATGAGATTTTTGGTATATACTAAAATTTATGTAGGTAAAAAGTAGTAGGTAAAAAGTAGTAGTAAAAAAGTATTATTATATGTAATTCATATAATAATACTTTTTCTTCATTTTTGTGAAAGTCAAATGTTAAAGCACTTTGCAAAACATAGACACCCACAAATCTCATTCAAATCGGAATAACGGGTCTTAAAATATCTGGAAAATGTGTTTATTTTTTTAAAGTTTGATGCCCTCTAAAGGACAAACGAAGCACTTTTGTATGGAGGTAAATTGTGTCCAATGAACTAATTTTGATTCCAACAATACATAGTAGTTCTATGTCCACGGAATATTGGGACACCCTGTATATAGGTCAATAAAATAGAAAAATTATGAGATATAAAAGTATTTTAAAAAATGTAATAATATACCGGGTTTCAATTTAAAGTAACAAATATGCTATAACTTTTAGTATGAAGCGGCAACACTGTAATGTTGAAAATAATTTAGACCGATGATGCCTTTATGGCAAAAAACAAAATTTTCGTAAAAACTTTAAACAGTTCTCCATAAAAGTCTAACCAATTAAGACCGTGAATCACACTGTATAGAATCAGCTAAGCTGAAGAAGGCATTGATCTCTTCATACTTTATTTAAATATTAGCTGATATAAAGTCCAATATGATGATGGAATAAGTTTCGTTAAAACTTACTATAACTTATTGCATAATCAATAAAAGGTAAAATACATTCTTTTAGTACAGCTAACAGTTACTAACAGTAAAAAACTGATTAAATGAAAATACTTACACTGGGGTTCTAGCTTTAGCCGCTTGCACCAAATATATAAGGCATACAAAGTGTACCATAAATTGCAACAGCACTGTAGAAATCGTATAGAAATTAAAAATGTTTGGCAATGGTCTTTGTTTCGATAAAGTCTTCAATGGCTGAAAATATTTTCTTTAAAATTATTTCAAAACAGAAATATTTGTAAATATTTGTTCACCTTTGATCTAGATATAAATAAAAAACAAGCTGCTAATAGAAAGCCTTGTAAGGTAGCTTGCGTATCTCTAAGTTTAATTCCATCCAGATAGAGAACTGATTGTGTATAGGCCAATATTAAGGCGTTTAAAGCTAGGATTTTAAACATTTGTAATGTTGTTACCAAAGTGCATCGTCCCTGCTTTATGATATGGCAAACTAAAAACAACATAAAAAATTATATACTCTATATTAAACAATAATAAAATATGTATACCGGGTGCGTCTCAAAAGTGGCTCACCCCTATAACTTTGTTTATTTTCTTAGATAAAAAAACAAAATTTGGGATGTTAGTATATGACATAAATTAGAATTCATAGACGTATTCAATTGTTTTTGGTCACTTCCTGTTTTACCGGAAATGACTACAACTTTGGATTTTTAAATGGCACCCCTGGTATATTTTTACTTTATTCGATAGAAAATGACTCTGAATAGAATGACATATCGTATGTCACCTTTTGACATTTTAGCTTTAAAAAAAATTCGTATTTTAAACTTAAACCTAGAGTACCATGGATGTGTTAAAACACTAATTTTTAATCAAGGAGCCTTTGAAAAATAGATTTGAGCATCTAATGATTTTCGTGTTTTGTCCGGGCCCGTTATAAGATGCCCAAATCGTATTTTTAATCATATCTCATTTTTTCAAATGGAACAAGAGTGGCTCATTAGCATATTTGGAAAAAGCATTTTTTTACGAATAATTTGGTATCACACACTTGGTATTTCGAGTCAAACTGTCATTATGAACCACATGTTACAATTCCAACCAAATCATATGCGAAAATATCAAAAATTGACATATAATATGTCATTCTATTCAGAGTGTCATTTTCTATCGAATAATGTAAAAACATACCGGGGGTGTCATTTAAAAATCAACATTTGTAGTCATTTCCGGTGAAACAAGAAGTGACCAAAATCAATCCTAATTTATATTATATACATACATACAAACCAAAACTCGTTTTTTTATCTAAAAAAATAAAAAAAGTTATGGGGGTTAGCCGCATTTAAGACGCACCCGGTATATTAGAAAAAAACTGTATTTCTAACAACACATTTTCAGAACTTGTCTTTAGTGATGCTCAAAAATCCATCTAAGTTGGTTGAAGAACGCCTAGAGAAGAACAAATTAGGCAAAGATAATAAAGTCCCCTTACTCTGGGCGCCAGCCCACCAAGGAATAGAAGGCAATGAAAAAACAAATGATCTATCTAGAAAAGGAGTGAACGCTCCACAAGTGGATCAGAACCGTTCTGCTTCCCAAGTGGAAACCAACTTAAAGCGGAACTCAAGAATCTGGAAGATGCAAGACACTGGAATAAATTACTCAGAACTTAAGACCGAGAAAAATCAAAGATTTTCCTTGATTTATGTAAGAACAATCATCGGATTCTCACGGGCTTTTAACAGGACACTGTCTCCTCAATCAACACCTCAGTAGATTGAAGCTAAGAAACAACGGCCAATGTAGATTCAGTAGGAAAAATAAAAGAAAAAAAAAACAACCCCAATATAGAAGCACTAAACACAATACCTCAGTATAACAGCTTCGATGTATTAGACATCCCAATAACAGAACAGGAAGTAAAGACCTCCATAAAACAGCTTAAAAACAACAAATCAGCTGGCTGTGACGCGATTCCGGCGGAAATCTATAAGTGTGCAAGTAAAGAACTTATTGGTCATCTTAAGGCTCTCTTCGATGGCGTATGGAACAGCGGAGAGGTACCTCAGGACTTTCGCAACGCGAATATAGTGAATATATTTAAGAACAAAGGAAGTGCATCAGACTGCGGAAATTACCCGGGAATTTCACTATTGGCCATCGGCGGAAAAATTCTTGCAAAAATAATGTCAAACAGCCTGCACCCATATATAGAAAAAATCCTTCCAGAATCGCAAACGGGTTTTCGTACCAACCGCGGCATCGTCGATTCCATATTTTCCATCCGTCAACTACAGGAAAAAGTAAAAGAGCAGCAGTCTAAACTTTATGTTGCATTCATCGATCTAACAAAAGCCTTCGACTCTGTGAACAGAGATGCGCTTTGGGCAATTATGAAAAAGTTCGGAGTACCCAACAAATTTCTTACAGTGTGTAAAAGCGTCCATAACAACAAGTCAAGAGTGTCACATCATGGATCACTGAGCGACCCATTCCTAACAAATACAGGAGTTAGGCATGGATGTGTCTTAGCGCCTCTCCTATTCAACATATTCATGGCAGCACTCTCCATTATAGTGGACAGCAAACTGCAGGAGAGAGGATTGGGCATTAGATACAGATACGACGGCGGTCTGTTCAACATAAAAAGACTCAGGGCAAAAACACGTACAAAATTCATCACATAACTTCAATACGCTGACGACTGCGCTCTAGTTGCAAACACGGTACAACAATTACAAGAAATGTTGAAGACTGGGCATACGAGGCTTTGGGCCTTAAGCTAAACTTCGACAAAACTAAAATCATGTGCACTCCCCCTGAAGATCACAACAATGCTATAAAAATCGGAGAACTATTGGAATATGTGGCGGAATTCACCTTGGCAGTTTGATTTTTGAAAAGGCCAATATTGATTCTGAAATTCAGCACAGGATTAGTAGCACCTCAAGAGCATTCTGGAAATTAAAAGACAGAGTTTTCTACAATCATGACTTGAGTACAAAAACAAAACTTGCAGTGTACCGAGCAATTATAATCCCCACCATGTTATATGGGAGTGAAACCTGGGTGCCGTACCGCCGACACATGAACGCATTAAACAAGTTGCAACCGAGACACCTTAGACAACTCTTAAGAATCCGGTGGTTCCATCATGTCTCGAACGTATCGGTCCCTGAAAAAGCTAACTGCGAGAGTATTGGAGTCATGGTTACAAAATCCCGCTTAAGATGGGCTGGTCACGTATGCAGAATGCAAAAAAACCGCATACCAAAATCTCTGCTTTACGGTGAGCTTGTAGACGGTAAGAGGAGGCCGGGTGGACAACTGAAAAGGTACAAGTACATTTTCCACGAAAACTTAAAGGGGATTAACATGCAGAATGAGTGGGAAAAAGCAGCGCACAATAGAACTCAATGGAGAAGAGTTGTAAACTCAGTTAACAGCGACAAACAAAAAGTAAAGAGGCAACAAAGCAATGAGATTTTTGAATGTCCGAAGTGCGGTAGGCAGATAACATCACGTATCGGGCTTTTCAGCCACAGAAAAGCTCACGAAAGAAAACGCCTTGCGTGACCAGCTTCTTTATGTGTGTCGAATACTCGTCAGCGAGTAACGGCTGTATGTATGTATGTATGTAGTAGGAAAAATGGCGAAACGCCAGAATACCTCATCACTGAGTGCGCCGAAACGACAAACATTCGTCCTATAAACTTTGGTATTACTGATATTGGAGATGAAGAACTAACCTCTGTAAAACCGTCTCTGGTTTTTGTCAAAGCCCTGAGACTTTGTGATGAGTTATAATTCAAGAAAAGGAGATACAATAGATCTGTAATGTCGCGGTGATTAAGCCCCCTCCTACACATAAATTTTATAGAAAATCCAACGAACAAAAATATACAGGATTCGCACATAGAAAAAACTACAACTTTAGTATAAGACGGCCATTCATTCACCTTGTATATATAGACACTGAAAATCTTAAACAGGAACATGGACATTTTTTGGTACACTGTCACACTGTGTCATTCTGTATTTATAATGTATACAAGGGTGGTACAACCAAGATGAACTTGAAAAAACTCTGACTTCCAAACAATGTATATGTTACGGTTAAGGTCCGATGTCCGGTTAATGTCGACATTACCCGGTTAATCTCGAGAATAACACACAATAAATCCACCAAAAACATAACCTAACCCAAACATTAACATGTTAATGTCGACATTAATCGGACATCGAACTTTAACCGTAACATATGCACATACACATATAATAAGGCATATTTTAAAAATATAATTGATATACACAGTAGCTTAGAGAACCTGTAACAAACCTTTCTGTTGTTGTTTTGTTTGTCGTAACGATATTTCCATAAGTATTTTTTGTGTTAGTGTCAATAAATACCATAAAGAGTCACTATATTATTACTGTTCCCTGGTTAGTAATTATGATTATGTTAAGTAGAAGCAGGTAAAACTACATTAGACAAAAAAACATGTCAATTATATATTAATTAATCGCTTAGAAAATGTGTGTGTGTAGTAAAAAACTTAAATATAAAAAAACACAACCCTTTACATAGAATTCAAATATAATCAGTGTAACTTATTAATAAATTTTTGTACTTACTACACATAATAGATGACAATTTGCTTGTAAAAGGCGAGGCAATACTCGCATCTCCCAATTTTACTACTTGAGGCTGATCTTCTTCTTCCAATTCTTTCTTAAGTTTGTTAACCCTATTTTGCAGCCGGTCCCTCTGTTCAATAATTGGCCGCACCTGATTGGGTCTAGAGCTACGAGCCACCAGTCTTTCTCGCTCGTCTTTCTGACGCCGTTCGCGCTCCTTTTCCTTCTCCTTATCTTTATCTGCTTGGCCAGATGCGCGTTCGGGCGCGTGTGCCAATATCGCCACGCCCACATCTGCGTGCTTTAGCGCGCCTACGTCATTCGTACCGTCGCCGCACATCAGTGTCGTAAACCCTAAGCTTTTCAGCTGCGTGACGACGAATTCTTTTTGCTTTGGCGCAAAACGAGCGAAAATGGCGACGTGTGGTAGAATACCTCGCAGTAAAGTGGGATGATTCCGCTGAAGGTAAGTTAAGCCATCGCCCGTTATACATAGGTCGTATTTTGCAAGAATGTCGCGGTCTTTGGCATCAATTGGAATTCTTTCAGTCTGATGAACGTCCTCCCATACAAATTTCAGTGATTGGTCTGTTATAATAGAAGATTATTAATAGGTTATACAGGCCTGGACATTGTAAATCGGTGGTCTATATTTTAATGGGTAACATAGATCTGTGGTAAAGGTAGAACCCGATATGTCAAAAAATATATTGATTTTTGCCACCGAACAATTACCTTGTAAAGGACATAATCGAATTCTTATTCTATCAAATTACATAGTTCAGGAACGTCATGTTCATATCAGGTTTTGACATAAGGGTTTTTACAGTCAGAGACGCCAAGAAATGCAGAGTTGCTATTTTCAAGTTCGGTATGCCGGGGTGCGTCTCAAAAGCGGCTAACCCCTATAACTTTTTTTCAGATAAAAGAAAGAGATTTGGTATGTTAGTATATGACATAAATTAGGATTGATTGACGTATTCAATTATTTTCGGTCGACTTCTTTTCTTTCTTCGACTTCCTGTTTCACCGGAAAAGACTACAACTTATGATTTTTAAATGGCACCCTCGGTATTTAAAAAAAAACAACGCTTTATTGCATTATTACAAAAAGCCAAAACAGCTTCATCGACAAAGCATTCACAAAACAAAAAAGCACAAAAAACAAATATACAAATAATAAAAAAAAAGTCATACAATACAATTCAATTCAAAAAAAATTTACGTCATAAAATTACAAATAAAACATATATGGACATTGCAGAACACAGGCGTATCTAAAAAATTTTACAAAAGGAAAACTGTAAATGGATAAAATCATATTTTGTTTCTTTATTCGATAGAAAATGGCACTCTGAATAGAGTGACATATCATATGTCAACTTTTGGCTTTTTCGAATACGTTTTATTTGAAATTGCAATATGCGATTCATAACGACATTTTGACTCGAAATACCAAATTATGGTACCAAATTATTCGCAAAAAATGTTTTTTCCAAATATGCTAATGAGCCACCCTCGCTCCAATTGAAAAAAATCAGATATGATTAAAAATATGATTTCGCCATCTTTTAATCGGTCAGGACAAGACACTAAAAACATTAGACGATGAAATCTATTTTTCCAAGGCTCCTTGATTAAAAATTAGTGTTTTTAACACAGCCCTGGCACTCTAGATTGAAATTTTAAATACAATTTTGTTTTAAGCAAAAATGTCAAAAGTTGACATATGATATGTCATTATATTCAGAGTGTAATTTTGTATCGAATAAAGTAAAAAAATACAGAGAGTGTCAAAAAATCAAAAGTTGTAGTAGCAAAAAGAATTGAATACGTCAATCAATCCTAATTAATGTCATATACTAACATACCAAATCTCGTTTGTTTATTTGAAAAAAATAAAAAAGTTATAGAGGTGAGACACTTTTGACACGCACCCGGTATATTGTCGCCTTCCACACAAAGTGTCGTAACTGATATTTTGGACACCTTACAGTAGACTGAAAAAAGTCTTTCAGTGTGATCTAAAAATTAACTCTTGTTAGATATGCCATTTATATTGTCTATTGTCTGCTAACAGCATAAGAGCTTTTGTCGTTACAGCTACGATACTGTGGGGACTGTTAGATCACACTAAAAGACGTTTTTTTGCTTAAGGTACATTCAGGCTGAAAGCGTCCGCGTGTCGAAATGGAATCAATTCACTTAACTTAAATTAGACCGTTCACGCAGACAGCGTCGCGTTTGGCGTTGCGCTAGCATCCGCTGAGCGTCGGGGTTCGAGTTCAATGGGGCGGACGCGACGCTCGACGCTCTCAGCCTGAATGTACCTTTAACAGTAAATTTTTCAAAATGTGAGTTACGAGACTTTGTGTGGAAGGCGACCATATGATTGAAGATTAAGAAGAATTTTAAATTCAAATTGTAAACAATAAAAATAGAAATGTAAACTCAAAACATATTCGGTTCTTTAAAAAAATCTTTATACAATACCTACTGTTAGAAATCAAAAAGCATTCAACGCTATTTTGTGGTACCATAACTAATGTATAAATTAGACAAACGTAAGACAATATTCGGTATAACAAATTTTACTTGAATTTTGATTAGTTGCAGGAGGCGGTAAAATAAATGCTGCCTAGGGTACCAATTCACCTTAACGCGGTCCTGAACGTCGTAGTTAATTGACAATTATTTAATATACAATGTTAGCTCTAACCTTCAGTAAGTATGGCTATAGACTTGGACGTGAACTTCAGTTCGCCTGCCACGTGACAAGCCGTCAAAGGATTATCGCCGGTTATCATGACAACTTTATGCGATGCATTTTGAATTTCTCTAATAGCATGTTTTGAATCGCTCTTTAACGGACAGGAGATGATGACAAAACCGGCAAAATCAAGATTCTGTTCGACATCTTCTCGAGATAAGTCACGAACTTCCTGACTCGATAATTTTCCAAATGATTTATAACCCAGAGCCAAAACTCTAGCTCCTCGTCTGGATAGTTCCAGGTATACTTCGTCATACTTGGGAGGAAGCTAAAATAGATAGGTTGATACTACAATACGATCGAAATAAAACGACCTCAAAGACGGCCGAGGAATGACAACCGATAATAGAGTAAAAATTATTAGTAAAAATTATTTTTAAATCGCGTAGTTTAAAATTCAAGAACAATCATTTTTTGGAAATAAATTCGTGTCTGGAAACGGTCTATCCCTTTTTAATCTCTCTATGTTTAGTGTTAATTTTTGACAAGTTTTATGTTAATTTTTAGTAAATGACGTAATCTAGAGATTGACCTCTCCAATATTATCATTCCCCAGCTGTCTGTGCCGCCGTTTTTTTTTCAATCATACATTTTTCAATGTATGTATATTAACAGTTATATATTTCATATCAAATAAACTTTTAGTCACGTGATTAACCTTGACCGGCACAGCGTTGCACACGTTTACTTTTTTTTTAATCAAAATATTTTAGGAAACAAAAATAAATTAATTATAAATATTTAAATAGTTATTATTTGCATCAACAAAACTCACCTCCTTAACATCACTTACGGGACATAAAGGGTCATTACTACCGCTTTCCAGTTTGAAATATACTAATAAGGTTGCGATGAGTTTTTTGCAGTAGCTATTAAGCTATCTTGTACTTCGCACTAAAAGAGGTTCTAAAAAGAACAATGTTCGACGCTAGTAAACATTTTTAAGCTTAAAGTATCTTGACACTATTTATTTAAACCAAAAACTCGTGATACAAAACTAAAGTGTCAAAACGAATGACAATGTCAGGAAATAAATAAATAAATGTGTGGCAACAATGAATTTAAAAATCGCGCCCTCGATTACGTAACTAAAAGTTTAATTGGTATCAAATATACAATAAAAGCATAACAAGGTAATAAATATGTACCGTATGATCGAAAAAAAAACGGCGTCCAGTTGGCTAGGAAATGACGATGACATTTCCCATATAATTTTACATATAAAATAACAGCGATCTTCATTTCATAGCCATCGCTGACGCCGTTTTTTCTCGATCATATGTTATTTGCACCACTTGCAATAATTTATGGAATTTGAAAAAACTTATTGAAACATGAATTTTATTAAAGCGGTTAAAGCTTGATTTCATGCATCCGTTGTCCGACGATACGATGATACGATATTAATTTTACTGGTTGAATTTAAAGACTTCGATTGGTTAGAAACGGTTAACCGAACGATTAACCGTTTCGGTTAATCTTTCGGTTTAACGCGGATTTTTTATCCGAAGATATTTTCGTCAAACGTTTTTTATTTTAATATGGCAACACTGTCGCTTTCAGATCCACACCGTTTTCGATATGCCTTCGCTCGCCAAATTAGATAAGTGTTTTATGCGTTGTGTTTTACGCTCAAGTGTTTTATGCGTTGACCGTAGAACGTTTGGTGTCTCCACCGTACAGCACTTGAGACGTAAATTCTTACAATCAACGGTATAATATTGAGATATGGCAAATTTTCTATGCTAAAAAATGGGCATGTCATAAAGTTGATATCTCAAAATTGCCAAAAATCGAGATACGCTTTTTCGTTATAAAGCCGACGATATGTAAAATTATATGGGGAATGTCGTCAATTATATTTTCCAAGCCAACTGGACGCGGCTTTTTTTTCGATCATACGGTATTAATGGTAATAATAAGCCATTTATTTCTCCAAAAAGAAAAAAATATATATAAAAAAGGTAGACTTTTTTTAAGCATTTATTACCGTATGCCGCTATATATGTAGAGAAGACGCCATGGCCATGCTGTATTTTGACATTTCGAAAAGATTATGTTGTCAATAACAGAGACACTATATTTTTTAAAAATATAAATAAACAGGTAAAACAAGACATAAAATTTAAACGGATCTCTTGATACGTAACGCAGAAATTAGACAGTTAAAGCAACGCACAATACGTATACGTATCTCTCGACGCGTAACGCAGAAACCTACGTTACGTCTGCCGATGCGTTGTTGTGTAAACAAGAGTTAAAGCAAGTATTTTGACGTACGTAAAGGTGCGTATTCACTATCCGAACGAACGAACAAACGTTTGTTCGTTCGTTCGGTAGTAGTATGGACGGAACCATGACGGGACCGAATTATAGAACCGAACGAACAACACCTAACCCATTCGTTTGCGAATGCCTTTGATGTGCCGACTCGAAACGGATGGTCGAGCGAACGAACGACTGTATGTGTTCGGTTCCCCGTCCAAATATACTGAATTCCATTCGTTCGTTCGGATAATGAATACGCACCTTAGAGTACAAAAATTACCAAGACCCGTAAGGTTATAGCTAGCCTTCCTCTAGGTGAAATTGCTTTTCGGTAATTGGTATCACTTTTCATTATTTTTATGTCAATTAAATCTAATAAGGTATTAAAATCTGTAAGTGACATCCGACAAAAGTTCTTAAATTTTCCAGAATCTTCTGTTTCAACATTGTTTAGTAAATTGTTAAAACCATGAGAAACTCGATTTTTAAAAAGAGTTATGTTCCACCATCTCCTCTGCAGTCGTTTTCTCTTTTGACGTTTCAACAATTTATAAAATACAATGAGAGATGCACGAGCAATAATTTTTTCCGACATTATGAACATGAAGTGCCACACACCGATCAACGCCGAACATACAAATAATCGCTAGGTCTGGACGGAAGCTGATCATGTGCGCGAGAGCAGCAGAAATCAGGAGCGAATTTGAATAAATGTTTGCTCGCGCTCGTTACTGTTCGCTCATCTGGTCTGGACGGCCCTTAACGCAAATGGTACATTTGTAATTCTAAAAAATAATCGCTAGGTCTGGACGGAAGCTGATCATGTGCGCGAGAGCAGCAGAAATCAGGAGCGAATTTGAATAAATGTTTGCTCGCGCTCGTTACTGTTCGCTCATCTGGTCTGGACGGCCCTTAACGCAAATGGTACATTTGTAATTCTAAATTATTTTGCAAAACAATTTATTTAATTTTAAAACTGAAAATGGATATCTATTATTCCATTGATTCCACATTAAATTTATAAAAGAGTTTTACTTTTATAAATTTAATGTTGAATTCAAAATGAAGAAAATTATAAATGGCAATTATTTTATTACAGAAAGTAGTCCTTACAACTTAAAATGCTCTTAATATGCATTATTAGCATATGGATTTTGGCTAAGAACTAGCATTTAATTAAATAGATTCCAAAATGAGTTTATTATGATGCTTAATATTTTCATACTAAAGATGGGTTTATATGCATCCGTCCTATGTCGTTGGTCGTTGGCTTTGTGGAATTTTATGTAGGTCGACGGACGACGTATAACGGACGAATCTGTCATACGTCGTCTGTCGTCCCGTACGTCCGTACCCCCATTCTAATTATATTTAAGTATTGCTATCATTTTTGAAGAAAACCAATAAAATTGAACAAAATCAACGACCGACGACGCATAACGGATGCATGTAAACCCACACTAACGGTGAATTTATATGCATCCGTCATGCGTCGTCCGTTGTTCCGCCACTCCAATCATAGTTAAATTAGATCTGTCATTTTTGAAATAAACCAATAAAATTGCATAAAATCTACAGCGGACAACGCAACACGGATCCATGTAAACCCACCCTTATGTAGGTTTACATGCTGGGAGCCAGGTGTTGGAACCAGATGTGTTATGTTAAGATACGCAAAGATACGTACCACATAGGGTTTCCAAACCGAGATCCCGAAAATCTTGGAATATTTGAACGCCTAATCTTTCAATGATCATATTTTATTTATACTAAGCAGAATGACAATATCTAAATTTTATATTTCTCTATTCTCTAGTCTATTTTAATAAAGCTCTTTACTCATTTTCTTTTTGATATATGTAGCTGCATTTTTATTAAATATTTCTTTAGATTAAATTTCTCATTCTGAGAGTCAATTTCGGGATCCCGGGATTATAGGTTCTGATCCCGGAATTTCAAAACGGGATCCCGATCCCGAAAATTGGAAACCCTAGTACCACGCATATGCAAGCAAATTTCACTGCGTAAGCAAATATGTCAAACGTTACGTTAACCACAACGTAAGGACGCGTGTTGACATATACATCTTAGGTCATAGCTTTAACTGTCTAATAATAATTAATTAAAAATATAATGTTATCTTAAATATTACAATCTGTCATGGTACAATAGCATAGTTGAATTTATTATTCAATATGTTATCAGAAAATTAAGAATACAGTTGCTGTTTTGATTTACTTATTGTAAATAATACGGGAGGGAATTCAGAATTACTACTTCAAGATCTTGCCTACTCCTTTGTATTATAAGTATAATTTAACTAAAACTATCAAATTCGTTACCTGAAAATTAATAAATCAGAAAATACAAAAATAAAAAGTTGGGTTAAGTTCGAGTTTACAGATTGTCGGACTTCAAAAATCAATCAAGTATCAAGGCTATTATATTTTGTGCTGCCATATTCGACAAACGTAAATGTCAAAATAACGTTTAAATCTAAATAAACGTTCTAACGATAAAAATACTTACATCTGTAAACATAGTTCTTAAAATTTCAGGTGCTCCTTTAACTGAAGCTATATAAATGGTGTCTGTGGATCCATGAGGATTGTAACCAGCAACGACCGACATTCTCTTTAACTGAGATGAAAAATGGTGTCTCACAAATATTTTTAATCCAGGAGATTTACCTTTTCTAGGTAAAACACAATCTGCTTTTGTAACAACCCAGTCGATAGCTGTAATAGTTGCCTTTTCTAAAGGGTCTCCTACCAGTCCATCATCTAGCTGAGCTAGCGAATGGCAGGAAGCTAAAACATGAGTAGTCTCCAAAGGAACATTTTGTATCGTTACTACTTTAGAATCTTTTTCAGCCAAAGCTATTCCTTCAACCACCAGATTATCACTGGTCAATGTGCCTGTTTTATCGAAACAACAAATGTCAATCTTTCCTGCAAATGGAATTCTAAAAGGTTCTGTACAATATACTCCCAATTTTGCTAGAGCCAACAGAGAAGTATTAACTGCTAATGACAATTCAATTGGTAATTCGGGGGGAATCACCGATGTTAAAATTAAAGTACATTCCAGGAAAAGCTTGTAACGATTTCTTTCTGGATCTTCTATTCCTTTCTGCCAAACATAAATGGCAGCAGCTATTGCAAATATCAACAAAAATGAAATAAAACCAAATGTTTCCTTATTATTAGCAGTAATTCTTTTCACTCCAAACAAAATTGTTCGAAGCAATTTCCCTTGAGATGTATTAAAACCAGTTCTAAGTACATATGCCACACAACCATTGTCTTGAGGACGTAAACCACTGGTAGCTTTTACAGGAGGTGTATGTTGTACTACCCTAGTACCACCTAAAATAAGTTTTATTTAATCAAATAGCAAAATTAACTAATTAAGACTAACCGAATAATACATGCAATTTTCCATCAGCATCAGGATCTAATATTTTTTCAGGGTCACAAGTTTCAATTGCCTCTTTCATTTGTGGTACAGATTCACCAGTCAACATACTTTCATCAACAATACAGGAACCTCTTAATAATAGCACATCACAAGGTATAAGATTATCTTTCTGCAGCCTAGTTATTGAAATTATGTCTCCCGGAATAAGTTCATTTGTAAATATAGTTCTCCACCTTCTGTTACGATAAACCAAAATATTATATGGTTTATTTCCCATTTTTCGAATTTCTGCCATGTTTCTTAATTGTTGTTGCACCAATGTACATTCAAACAAGACTAACATAATTAGAGTAAATATAGAAAAATACCAGTATTTATCTAAGCACCACAATGCTACACAAAATATTTGAAAGACAAAAAATGGGGCTGTAGCTCTTTCAAGAAATAGTTCAGAGAATTCTGGTACAACCATTTCCAAATCATTTTTTCCATAAATAATACTGGCTTGTTTAACATCTTCTTCCTCTTGAAATCCTTTTGATGAATTATATTCCGAATAGGACTTATGTATAGGAAACTCAATATCTCTAAACAATTTTTTTTCAGTATCCCATATGTATTTTGTTTTTTGGAAAATAAAATATACCATATTATCATTATCTGGTGGCTGAAAATTATTATTATTTTAAAATACGAATTACATGTGTGATACGCATATAGTAGCTAGTACCTTAAGTTTCCTAAGCCACAGTATTTCTGAACTTCCATTATTTGGTGTAGGAACAACTTTGGTAATTGTTGCTTTAAACGGATCTTTCTCCTAAAAATTGTTATTCAAAAATAAAGGTGTATTTAAAGTAAATATTCACTGAAATAAATAAATTTCATATTTCTTAATTCAAAAAAATACTAACCTTTTTACACGTAAAAAAACAATTTATATGTACTGACCAATAACAGGCCAAGCACGATAGAATCTGCATACATCCTATTATAGCAAGACCAACAAATCCCCCTTCGTAATGATCCCAGAATCCCCATAATCCTATCCATAAATATATCCAGATTGGATACAATATTAAGAAAGGTAATAAATATAAATGAAAAATAAATGGCAGTCTTGTATAAAGTGAAACAGACTGAACCAAATCGTCTATCCTAGGTATTACACTCATAATCTTATGTTAAAAACATGTAATAAGAATTTTATTGTAAAGTCCTAAAAATTCAACAAAACCCATCCATACGGAAACTGACAGCAGTGACAGGTAGGTGTCATCCGATGACAACTGATGGTTTTGACATGATCTTGACATAGATTTTGACCATAGACAGAAGATCATAGATATGCCAAGCGACATGCCAAGCCAACAACAAAACATATTTTTTTGGACATGACCAATTTTATATATGATGTAGGGCTGGCCCATTGTATAGTAATATACGATAAAAGCCTTTTAAAAGCAAAGATATATAAATTATTTGGTTTACCATTTATTTATATACTTATACTAGCCAAACTACAAAATAAAATACATGTATTTGCAGGTATTTGTACGCAGTTGTTTCTGTCGAACCGGGGGTTAAGCCTTGGTGTCCTAATAGTTTTCTACAAAGAATACTTTACCACAAATCTACATAAATCCATTAAACCACCATTAAACCGTTATAAATAGGTCGTAAAATAGGTACATAAAATAAAAATATGCTCCTATAGATGGCTTTAAAAATCACCCTTACTCGTTTCGTTTTTTATGCATATCAAATTGTTTTTGAAATTTGTAAATATCATAAATAGATATACAAAACTATTTGTTTAATCTAAATATATGAACAAGTTTTTACTGGCAATTGGGTATATGATGATATGATACTTTGAACATATGATATATCTATGACATTCCTACGCATGGATTTTGAACGCTACTGGCCACTGGCCACTGATTCATACTTTCTGTGGTTGTGTTGTAATCACAGGTTGTAATCAAAAAGAAAATCTGATGTTGTGATTTCAGGTTAGGATAGCTTATGAAAATTGTAAACAATATTTTCTATGATTACAGAATAGATTTTATATTTTTAAATATGAGTTCCGCAAGCAAAGTATATATTTTTTACATTATTCATTTCTATCGAACATATATGTATCTTTCTAAATTGTAGGTTGGGGAAATATTTACGGCTGCAGGACAGGCTTTTAACAGACTCGGCGACTTAACTATGCAACTTCATCCAAATTCGGAGTCACCTACTGGGTAATTATTATTATATTTAAAGTAACTATTACACAAACATTTGTTGTATAACGGCAAAAATATTTTATTTAGAAAATGGACAGATGAAGAAATTGAAATGCTCCGACAAGTTGTAAAACAATTTTCAGATGGCCTTAATCAAATCAGTGAGCACATAAAACGGCGTACGGTGTAAGTTTATTCATTTTCTATAATGATGTCCATTTTCTAATTGATAAAATCATCTCTATTAACAATTAAGATCACAAATTAGGACTGCTCTGAAGAAGAAGGCCTTTGAAGATGCTGGTTTACCAGTTAGACAACTTAGTACACAGCAGCACAGCAATTTACAACAGTCTATGATAAAACAAGAAGTCACATTAAATATGTTAAATGCAGCAGAATCAGAAGTAGATGTGGAAGGTCTTCATGAAGAAGTTAAATTGGAGTTTGATGGTAGCAACGAAGAGGTGTCCACATAAGAAATCTGTTTTATTTAAGAATGTATTTTATATTTATCATTAAGTATATTTTTTTCAATAACATACTGTATTAAATAAACGCCTGTTGTGTTTAAAAATCATCTATATTGACAACCATAAGTAATACTTTGATTATTAAAAAAAATAAAGTTTATGTGCTCAAATATCTATTTTTTTTAAAGAGGGACTTTACTTTCCACTGTATAATTTCAATAATACATGTTTCGCTGTACTACAGCTTCTCTAGGTGACAGCTAAACTCATATTTTTTGCAATGCTTAGTGGTGTTACTGGTATATTACATAATAATAATATTTAAGATTGTACAATATACTTATGGATAGTTTGTTGAAAGGCAGAGCTGCAAGCTCACAGAAAACTTTAGTCTTTTTTTGATTTAAATCATTTTAATGAAAAATCATTTGATTTTAAAATCATAAGATTTGAAAGCTGACTTAAGACTTAAAATTAAGTCATTTTCAAAATGGTTTTTTATTTAAAAATTACTTCTAAATAGAAGGTGGCTTACATCATCAAAAAAGACTTAATCTTTTCAAAGATCTAAGTTTTTTTAGAAAAGATTTATGTCTAAGATTAAGAGTTTTTATATTCATTTATGAACATTTTTTAGCAGCGGCATGTAGTGTGTTTATGTTCATGACGCTTAGGTATATTTTTTAGTGTTTATTGCTTATAGTTATTCTGTAAATAAATCCCGTTTAAAGTGATTTTATTCTCATCTCAACCTATCGGTAATACAAGAAATTATAACATTAAAAAAAATTAAATAATACTAACATTTAAAAAATAGGTAGTTATTAAATTGAATTCTGGTTGTCCCTTGACTGGCGGGTAATTTTACTAAGTATTTTAAGCCATTTTACTGACTTACCTTTAAGTCAAAAACATACGACTTTGAGTCATAAAAAGGATTTAAATAACGTTACATTGATTTAAGTCTACAAAAATTACTTGACTTAAAATAAAATGATTAAGTCAAAGATTTAAATTATTTGAATTTCATTAATTTAATATTAAAATTTAAACCATTTTGATTTTAAAAATTACTTAAGACATAAGATTTAAGTATTTTTAAAACTGATTCGTTGCAGCTCTGTTGAAAGGTTACTTTTATCCTTGATTATAGAAGGTTTTTATGAAATACTCTTGTTGATATTTAAAAAAATCTAATATTTCAACTACATCTCTTCATTTTTCAATATAAGAAATAACGTGGTGTTCTTTAATATGAATGCCATGTTTATCAGAATATACCGTATGATCGCAAAAAAAACGGCGTCCAATTCGCTAGGAAATGACGAACATTCCTCATATAATTTTACAAGCCGATTTGGTCATCGAAACTGCGTCGTTTGGATTTTAACGTGTAAGACGAAGTGATGTAGACAGCTTAATGGAAAATCAAATGTATTAAAAAGAGATGAAAGTTGGATTGATACATTTCTTCTATGCGGTATTGCCGGATTTTGCATCAAAATTTCAAACCGCACAAGTAGGCCTTAACAAAAAATCTTGCATCCAGAGTTGAAACTTTATTTTTCACTATTAGTTACTCATTTTACTACAGCTGTAATAGATTTTAATATATTGTACAATATTTAGCTTAGATATACAGGGTGGCGCACCTCATTCGCCTCGGTGGATTATACGAAGACGGAAAGATGTAGAAACAAAATATTTTATGGGTATATGTGGGAAGGCAATGTGCATAATTTAAAATTATTTTGAAATGTACAGGGGTGTCAGAACTAAGATCCATACCAAAGTTATATTTTTTCTTATGGAACACCCGGTATTTTATTTAATTTTTAGATTCTTGGACATAAAATAAGGCATTTATTATAAGGGTTTAATATGTTTAAAAGCTTTGGTTTTTGAGATATTTAAATATGCGTGTTATAATAAAAATGTTTGTCAACACCTTGTGCATTACTTTTCAGAATTAATTTTTGTGCTGATATTCAAGCCAGAGAAATAAACTTTACTAAAAAATTTGATTGCTTCCTTAAATGTATACAGGCGCATCAAAAATTGCTGATCTATTTTAAATATTTATTTTACATAAAAACTTCGTCATTTCACATGCAACACTATGTATTTTTTTAAATAAGTCGAAGCAGATTTAAACGCTCTTTCAAACTATATTAGGGTTTCCTATACCTATCTGGCTCAGATTTTGAACAAAAAGCGATTTTTCAATAAAATTGTAATCAAGATGGCTGATGTCGCCATGGCAATTTTCTAGTGACACTCAGTAGCTATTAGAGAACAACGGCACAGCCTACAAACACGTAAACGTTTACGTACGCATGCGCATTTATTATATTTTTACACGTAAAATATTGTTAACGTCTACGTATATGGGCCAGCAGCGGCCGATTCGACCGTAGGCCGTTGTTCTCTATTTACAAAATCGACATTAGTTTATGAGTATGGTAATTTATGGACTTAATTTAAATTTATAACAGGTTATTTCTAATTAATTTACCTACAATAAGGTTAATAAGTATAAGTAAGTATTTATTATATTATAAAGAAAAATTAAGCAGTATCTGCTGGAGGAAGGAATGGATATGTTATCAGTGATTTTATTTTGTGAGAACAATTGCTTGTTGGCCTGAAGGGTTTATGCTTAAAGATATCCATATAGAAATTTTCTTGACAAGAGTTTTTTTTTTAAATACTACTATTTCCAAATAGTGCGGTATGTGAAAAACCTATTAGGCAGAAACCTGTAGTTGGAAGTGAAGAAAATGAATTTGCCTTAATTGGTTCTTTTATAGAAAACCCAATATATAGTATTTTTAATACCTATTTAGAGGTACCTACCAGTCGTTTTAGTAACTTAACGTATGCGACTTCTTGAACCATCTGAACCCGCATGAAAAGCTGGGACTTTTAGTGCTTCGTACGCTTTTTGAATTGCCTTAAATCGAGATCCTAAATCGTTTTGAAAATAGTTTACTACATTAAGCATAAGTTTTTTGGATTCATCAGAATATCGCATTTTTACATCTTATTTTGCGTTATGACATTAACATGAAATCAAAATTTGACGTAACTTCAAAAACGTGACATCTAACAAATTAGTTATCGACGTTCATTTTTGTTGGTAATTTTTTGTTTCAACTGATTTATTAATAATAAATAAGGATGGTGTTATTCTAAATGGGTATTAAAAATACTATATCTCATTCATTGTAATCTAAATCAAAGAACTACTTCTTTATTTTTCTTGATAAATAAAAAAATACTTATTAAACTGTTATACATTTAAATAAAGTCTATCAGGTAATAGCGACACCAGCCATCTTGATTGCCATTTTATCGAAAAATCGCTTTTTATTCAAAATCTGAGCCAGATAGGTATAGGACACCCAGATATAGTTAGAAAGAGCATTTAAATCTGCTTCAACTTTTTTAAAAAAATACATAGTGTTGTATTTGAAATAACGAAGTTTTTATGTAAAATAAATATTTAGAATAGCCCAGCAATTTTTGATACCCCTGTATACTTTTAAGAAAGCAATAACATTTTTTAGTAAAGTTTATTTCTCTATTTAAAGTCAGCACAAGAATTAACTCTGAAAAGTAATGTACCGGGTGTTGACAAACTTTTTTATTATAGCATGCATATTTAAATATCTGATACACCAAAGCATTTAAACATATTAAACTCTTATAATAAATGCTTTACTTCATGTCCAAGAATCCAAAAATTAAATAAAATACATGGTGTTCCATTAGGAAAAATATAACTTTGGTATGGATCTTAGTTCTGACAGAATCTGTACATTTGAAAATAATTTTAAATTATGCATATTGCCTCTCTACATATACCTATAAAAAATTTGGTTACTATATATACGTCTATAAGCTGTGCCACCCTGTATTATCTTTATTTCAGTAGTATACATGAAAGTTTTTAAAATTGCTTATATTTTCTACACACATTTTCCTACAAATGTAAAAAACCGGCAACACTGTATGCTCCTCTCTTGATTTTGTCTCTCTATCTGTCAACCGGTCATTTATATTATTCTCTGTCACACGCATTAAAATCCAGACCACATAGTTTGGATGACCAGCAGGATATAAACGACAGCGATCTTCATAGCGTAGCCATCGCTGACGCCGCTTTTTTCGATCATACTGTATGTCTCATTGTCTTTGTGTTCCAATGAAACAACATAGGATATCATTCCCATTACCGTTCACAAACTAATATGATCTTTTTAAAAGACGTTTGTTTACTTATTTATTTTCAAGGTGATCCATAGTTATTTTTTGTTTCGAGATAAAGCTAGTTTTATATTTTCATAAGTTAGGCCAATCAAATTAGAGGGGTCACTTGGGAAAAAGTATTGGAAAGCTAAATATTACTTTGATTGGCTCATATGGCATGTAAGAGATGCGTTCTAAGGTTCGCACGGTTGGCTCGACGGCCGGCAAAATTCTTGTTTTTTTAGATTTTCTATAATTCTGAAACGTTGCGTTTTAGTACGTTTTAGTAGTTGCGTATCACATTCATTCAGAGTATAGCTAAAATCGAAAATTCAGGAATGGAGAAATTTACCCACTTTGCTGAAACAGTATTAGGTCAAATTAATTAAATTCAGAATGATTCCTAAATAAATTTTATATTTTTAAATAAACTTAAAAACTTATGGAATGGGTATCTTGTTCTTGCATATTATTGACAAAATTATGTTGTTCCGGTTTTATAGATGGTTCACAACTAGAGTCATTTAAAAAGACAGTATATCCTGAACGTTTATGAGTCTTTTTGTGACGTCGCAATGCTGTGTTCTGTCTGAACGACTGTTCACATATATCACAAGCAAAAGGCTTCTCTCCAGTGTGAATTCGCAAGTGAGCATTCATATCAAATGCTTGTGTGAAAGATTTTTTACAAAACTTGCACACATGGGGTTTAACTCCGGTGTGAGTACGACGATGACGAGATAATATGCCAGATCTTGAAAACTTCAAATTACAAACTTCACATTTATAGGGTTTTTCGCCAGAGTGAATTCTTTTGTGTTTGGTTAAAGATGAGGAAGTGCTAAATCCAGCACCACAAGTGTTGCAAACAAACGGCTTCACTCCTAGAATTTGATCAACAATAATTTTTTATCTAATAAATGTATTAATCCAATTTAACCTGTATGCTTCCTGGAATGAGCTCTTAATTCGCCTTTACTTGCAAAAGCATTATTACATATACTACATATATAAGGTTTGACGCCACTATGTCGTACTTGATGTTGCCTTAAGTTTCCTGTAATATTTATGATAGATTAATCGCTATTTAAATATATAGAAATTATTTGTACCTAGCTGATTAAATCCTTTCCCACAAGTAGGACATAAAAACGGTTTCTCCCCATTATGTGTCCTAATATGATCATTTAAATTTGAAATTTGATTGAATGCTAAAATAATTTTTCAAATTCGTAATTTATATACCATATAGGAAATATATTACAGGGTCAGGCAATAGTGCGTCGGGCATGTGTAGCTCCTAGAATAAAAACTTGGGAATTTTGTTTAAGTGCTAAAAAACCTAAAGTATGTACTAAGAAGTATTTCAGGAAAATATTTTACCTTCTACAGGGTGGCCAAAAAAGTGTCAGTAGGTCGGGACGATTTTTTTAAATGAAACACCCTGTATATTATTGCATTTTTGGATTCCTTTCAGGTCACTTTACATAATCCTAAGATATGAGTAAATATATTTCGATAGTTTCAGAGATATTAATAAATAAATAAAAATTATATATTTTCCAGCATTTCTTAAAAAAATATTACAAATACAAGAACTCGCCTGAAATCAAAAGTATATTAGGTATATTTACTTTAGATGGTCTAGACTTACTTTGCTATAAATATCGTAATGTTAATATAGGGTATTCAAAATTTTACGCCAAACTTTCTAAAATATTACCTAAATAATTTTTCATCGCTTTTTTTATATGAAACATCATTTTATCATAGTACATCATTTTTCATTATAGTACATCATTTTTTTATTAGATAGAGAATTAAAAAATGAACATTTTTTGTATTTAGAGCTCGAACACACTGACGACCAGGTCGCACCGGCCAGACCGCTGCTACCTCTAAAACCATTAAATCAAATGATACAGCGCACACTAACGTCCTGGCCGTCCGTTGCGTTGGTCGTTGCGACCAGTAGACTGCACTAAAATACTATTATTTTCTGCCGCTTGTTGCCGGTTTTCTTCCAAATTAATAATTTTTCACATGAAATCTCTCAAATTCAACGCACAACATTTTATTTTCTATGAGATATAGTGTTTTAGTGTAGTTTTTGCACACGTGCAGATAATCCAAAGGAATAGTATACAGACTGGATCAAAGGGAAAACTTACTTAAATCTAGTCCCTTTTTTTATCAAGGGTCGATTCTATTAAAAATTCAAAACCTTTTTATATGACATACTCTATTTATGGTTGTATGATACCTGTTATTTTACCTTCGAGTTTCGATGTTAAAAAATAAAAAAATCATATTTAAACTTTTTCTACAACCATTTGTTTTTTTTATTAAATTAGTTTTTTAGTTGTATTAACTGTATTTTAAATATTATATTTAATTTAACGTTTTTCAAACAGGGTCCATTGGACTATATTTCTACTAGGTACATTATTTAAAAAAAAGAGTAAAAGTAACTTAAATATTCATAAAAATAGAAGTATTTACTGTTGTAGATTCTCAGTAACAATAAAAAAGAGGAATTTAGATTGTAAACATTGAAATAACTGGAAGCTAAACTTTCTATCTGATTATATTTAGAGCCAGTGTCTGACGACCTTTTTTTACGATGACCCTAATATATTTACTTCTAAAGTCGATAAGAGCCATCAGTAGAAGTCCATATCAGTAGAAAAAAGAAACAGAATATCTCCCTTTTTGTCAGTCGCGCGTACACAATGCTTTTTGTTCGGCCTATTTGTTCTGCTTGTTCGTGCGCGCTCGGTTCGTTCGGGCTAAAATGCTCAAGCCTGAAACGCACCTTTAGGAACAATACTGTTTTTGTCCTTTATTGATATGATATAATGCTGAAAATCTCACGAGTTACATGTCTCACTCTACACATATTAAATTACATAGACGTAGGATGTAGAATATTCTGTTATGAAACGACTGATGAAATAACAGGTATCGCGGATTTGAAAAACATAGAAATAACGTTATCGCGTTGTCGGGGTTGGAGATTTTACTTACTCCATACCACACCAGTTATGTATTTATTAACAAAAATTATTTCCAGGTCGTTGCGACCTGGTCGTCAGTGAGTTCAAGCACTTAGAGTATTTCGAAATTTTTAAAGGCATCGCAGATACTCGCGGTATTATTTCATATGGATCTTTCAACAGTAAAATACGAGATAAAAATCATTGGGTGGCTTTAAGATAAATTTACTCAGGAAAATGCTACATGAGATATAAAACCGCGAATATCTGTGAAACCGTTATAAATTTTGAAATACTCTAAATAGAAAAAAAATCATTTTTTAATTCTCCATCTATTACAAAAATATTATACAGGGTTTTTAGTTACGAAGAAAAATTATTTTATATTTTAAAAAGTTTGGCGAAGTTTTTTGAACATCCTGTATGATTTAAAATCCCGATATATGTAAATAATACCTAATATAAGTTTTGATTTCAGGACAGATGTTGTGTTCTTAATAATTTTTTTTAACAAAGGCTGAAAAATATGTATTTTTTATTTATTTATTAATATCTCTGCATGTGTATATTTAAAGTATGGGAAAATATTTTCTCAAATGCAATAATATACAGGGTGTTAGGTTAGGTTAACCATTTATAAAAAATCATCCGGATTCACTCACACTTTTTGAGCCACCCTGTAGAAGTTAAAATAATTTCCTAAAATACATCCTAGTACGTACTTTAGGTTTGCACTTAAATTCCCAAGTTTTTTATTCTAAGAGCTATAGATGCCCGACGCACTATTGCATAACCTTATATCTCAATTTTTACTTAAAGTATAGTCTTTGAATAAGAAGACTAAGGAAGAAGCATATCAAAAATCTTAGGTACACCGCGATGGGCCTCAAATATGGCCGACTTAAATTCCGGTTTATCAGTGCCGTTCTAATTTTATTTAAAAAATGTAAAACTATGATGTAGGGTAGACGTGGGGTAGACTCAATAATTTGTTATTTTATTTTACGTTGTGATTAAATGTTGGTAGTTATTAAAATTGTTATAAAAATATATAATTCTAATAAAAATAGATAAGTTATAATAAGTATTTATTATCACAAACATCCGATACGCTACTGAAGCAGGTAAGTCAAATTAACGTATCAAAATTCTTTGACATCTGATCTTTGACAAGTAGTAAATAAAGTTTTTAAAATGCAAGAAAATATATAATTTAGTTAATTTAAGTGAATTTTATAAATGATCGGTTTACTACACGTATGTATATTATATAGTCACTTACTAACGAAAAGTTGTTCCATTATTTCACTCAATTTTTGCCGAGATCTACCGCACGCTACACAACCAACTATTTTAGAGTCTTTTTCGATAAATCGCGATAGTGTCACTGTTAATTTAAGTTCTGCCACTATTTCCATCTAGATTTGCTACCTTTATACAACTATCAGTAGTAGAATAAATAATAAATAACATAAAATAAGCTCCGTAAAGACTCACAAATCCACAAAATTTCAAATCAAATTCAAATGTGTCAAATGAATCGTCAAAGATCCCCACCCTAGAGAGCTTTTTCCGCCCACCATGCATGAATACATGGATAGCATTATGCTCCTTCCTTAGTCTTCTTATTCAAAGAGTATAGTAGGTATATCAATATTTTGAATCAATTTATACCTTTTAAACATATTTCACAAACATGGGGCTTCCTCTTTGATGATTTTTTCTTATTATTACTGTTCTTTTTCTTACTGTTAGATTTAAGTTCTCGTTTACTCGAACTTGTTTTACTTGAAACACTGGATAAATGTTTTGATTGGTTAATGTTTAATACATCATTGGGATATTTTAGAGGCACTGGAGTTTCCGTAGGTCTAAAAATATCATTTAAAATAATAGCGTTTAAACATTTCTAGGATAATATTACGTTTTGGGCCTAGTATGCTCAAATTTAATATGTTTTTTAAAAATCTCAATGCTCTCTATCGGTTTTCCGCAAAACTTACAAATAAAGCTATTGACTTCGTTCTTATTCAAAGTGTGTAAATGTTCCTTTAAATGTTTGTCGAAATTAATTTCAGCAACAAATATGCTTTCACATAAACTACATGAAAATAGTGGTGGACAGTTTTCTGGATTTAATACCACAATTCCAGATCTATAATTATTAGTATTTAATGAGTTGTAATGCCCTTCCAAGTGCTTTTCCAAATCTGCCTCGTTTACAAAATCACACTTACACAAATTACATGAGAAATTGCCAATAAGCAGTGCACTTTTAACGATGGTAATATTTGATTTTTCATTATTAGAAGGTTTGTTTTGTATTTCTAGAGTAGCATCTAATGGATCACATTCAAGTTGTGTAGTCGCTAGCTCTGAATTTTGTATAGGATATAAATATGTTACCAAATCTTCATTTCCCGTTTCACTATTATCATCACTTAAATTCACTGCAGTATCAAAATCATTGTCATTGAAATGTTGTGCACTATAATCTTTAGAATGACATTTAGTTACATTATTTTCTAAATGCTGCAAAATTCTTTGTCGAAGGAACTTGTCACTCTCTTCACAACGCTTCTTAAAGACATATACTTTTAGTGTTTCAGTTACACATGAATAACAAATTTGCTCTGGTAAACCATCCCCTAGAGTAATCTAAAACATTCATTATTTATTCAGAATTTCAGTCTCAAATATCGGGTCAAGTTTCATTTAGACGAAATCTGTTAAAAAAGAAAATAATTTTTTTGTCATTTAGGTAACCTCAGGGAGTATATTACCACAGAATATCTAGCTACGCAACAGAAAAATACTCGAAATGAAAGAGCTAAAATTGCACAAATAAAATACTAGATGGCGCGACAATATCATAATCAGAATATAATTGGAAATTTTCAACTTTCGGTTTTGGATCGACGTAGATCGACGGCACGTTTTTCTGGTGTATAATAATTTCTTTCTATTCTTCGTTTCTTGGCAGATACACTTATATTAATTATTCGTTTGGCTTTTTAAAATTAGAATAAATTAATAAAAAAATAAAAAATAAATTAGAAAACATATGCTCTCAAAATACATTTTTAATATACACTACTTTATTATGTTAACTAAGAAAATAACTTTAATTACCTTTAAAATTAATAATATACAGGGCGATTGATAGTGATATTTATTAATGCTGAAACGTTAGTAATGAAATATACGTTTAATAATAATGGAAATGATTTATTAAAATGCAGTACAAAAAATGTTAATTGACTAAAAAAATACTATAATAACAATTTTTTTCTGTTTTCCATGTTATTTATGTATACCTAGGTAGATTTTAAAAGCGGCGTCTAGTTGGCTGGGAAAAGACGATCGATGACATTTCCCATATAAATTTACACATAAAATGACAGCGATTTTCATTTCATAGCCGTTTTTTCCCGATCATACGGTATGAACACAATCGAACGTCAGGAAGTGGTGTCATAATAGTAGAACAATACTTATTATATTGTCGCCGAATTACAATCAAAATTCAGGATTCAGTTAGAATCAAACGTCAGGAAGTGATTTTAATTCAGCTCGTAAGATTTAACTCCAACTAACATGGCAAGTTAAATACTTAAACGTTTCAAAAAAGAGCTCTTAATATGTTTAAATGATGTAGAAAATGTGAAGCTAGGCTTTATCAGGAAATATTACAATATAAATTACACAATGGCAACACTGCATAAAATTCTTTTAAATTTCGTTTGTAGAAAACTGTTTACTTTTAAATTTATCGCCCTCTGTTATGTAGTAGTGAAACTACCGCATCAAAATATCTGATTTGGAGACAGGCTTTAAAAGCCTGTCTCCTTTTGAGACCTACGATTTTTTACATGTAACGAGGCTTCTGTTGCGTAGCTAGATATTCTGTGATATTACTGAAAAAAATTTGCCGCGGAAATGCGTCACCATTTTTTGAATGCGGTTTAAAAGTAACGAAATGACATACATGAAAAATTAACGTTATTTTATATTTAAAGGACGATCCACACTTGCTATATAAAGGACGGTCCACACTTGCTATATAATACTGCTATATAGCAAAGTTATATAACATGTTACATATTTTTTAGTTATATTTAGCAAATTTCGATGCTATATAACTTGCTAGATGTTATCCATTTGTAGTCGGTAAAGATCAAAAGATGTTGTGCAACATTGTTATTGTAACATGAAACAACGCGTCCACACTTGCTAAATTTCTAGTTTAGCCGCTCATATTTTCAGGGACGTGCGCGACAGAATCTTAGTGTGGTGAGCTGATATTGGTTTGTTTATTTACTGGTCAATAATACCGTATGATCGAAATAAAAACTGCGTCCCGTCGGCCTCCCGTCCAGTTGGCTTGGACATGACGATCGATGACATTCCCCATATAAAATGATTTCATAGTATGTATTTGGAAACAGAAAAAGTTGAGAAAAAATGCGTAATCTAATAAGCCAGTTCCAGCGGGAACAAAAGAAATGCAAATCAGGAACTGCATGGTTTAGATGAAGTGGATAATTCAAAATGGTTTGCTTTTGCTTTTACAGTACCTCTGTCCGTTCTGTAGCTACGGGGTATCCGTGAGAGGAAACGATATTCTCTCGATGTTTTTCGTAAAAAATAGACGACGCGTCCCATCAATAAAAATTCGACAAATTTGCAAGTAGCCAATAAAATGAGTGGGCGGAGCGATTTGCGGTGACGCACTCGTCAAATCGACGTATAGAATATATTGCTGTTTATTTAAATGTTTTTTGTCCGCATTCCTTTCATAGACACAGATCTAGCAGATGAGACGTACTGTAAATTATTAATGTTTTTAAAAGACAGAAACACACCACGAGAAACAGCCGAGGCAAGTATTGAAAAGATAAGCTAATTGAGTTCAACTGTATCTAGATCTTGCTGGTAGGCTATGGCGGACTCAAAACCGCTTTTTTTCTCGACTTTCTTTCCCTTAGTTCAAAAATAATTACGCACGCCGCTGCTGCGAGCTGAACCTCTTTCTCGCCAAAACCATTCATGACTACGAAAACAGACTACATTCTAAATGTGGACCACATTTAGTAACATGTTATATAACATTGCTATTTAACAAGCTACATGTAACATGTTAAAAAACCGGGAGCCGTCCACATTATAGTTTTCGTAAACATGAATCGTTTTGGCAAGAAAGAGGTTCAGCTTGCATCAGCGGCGTGCGTAATTTTTTTTGAAGAAAGAGAAAGAAAGTCGAGAAAAAAACGGTCTAATATATGAAACTAAATCTCGCTCCAATTTGCTATGCTGTCTATGCTAGTCATGTTACTACGTTATAGTAGGTATCTACGGTTAGTGTGCCTGATATGCATTTTTATAATCTAAAAATAAATAGCCTACGATCTAGATAAGCCCTAAGATCTAGATATAGTTGAAGTAGCAAATTTCGCTGCTATATAACTTGCCAGATGTCATCCATTTGTAGTCGGTAAAGATCAAAAGATGTTGCTCAACACTGCTATTGTAACATGAAACAATGCGTCCAGACTTGCTAAATTGTTAGTTTAGCCGCTCATATTTTCAGGGACGTGCGCGACAGAATCTTAGTATGGTGAGCTGATATTGGGTTTGTTTATTTACTGGTCAATAATACCGTATAATCGAAAAAAAAAACTGCGTCCAGTCGGCCTCCCGTCCAGTTGGCTTGGACATGACGATCGATGACATTCCCAATATAATTTTTCATATAAAATGACAGCGATCTTCATTTCATACCCATCGCTGAGGCCATTTTTTTCGATTGTATGGTTCTTATACATAGAGAAAGATAGTAAAAAGCTTGAACTTATAGTAAAGTAAAACCTTTTATTACTTTCTCTGTGTTCGTATATTGTTAATGGAGTAGAGCCAAGAGCAGACTTGTCAAATGATTAAGTTGTATAGAGATCATACAGTGTTATGGCATATCAGTAGTCCCTTATTTAAAGTGAAATAAAAAAAAGCATGATGCATGGTTAAAAATTGCAAAAAGTATGTATTTGGAAAGAGAAAAAGTTGAGAAAAAAATGCGTTATCTAATAGGGCAGTTCCAGAGGGAACAAAAGAAATGCAAATCAGGTACTGGTTTAGACGAAGTGGATAATTCAAAATGGTTTGCTCTTAAGTTATTAATGTTTTTAAAAGACAGAAACACACCACGAGAAACAGCCGAGGCAGGTATTGAAAAGGAAAGCTAATTGAGTTCAACTATATATAGATCTATCTTGTAGGCTATGGCGGACTCAAAACTGCTTTTTTTCTCGACTTTCTTTTTCTTTCTTCAAAAATAATTACGCACGCCGCTGCTGCTAGCAGAAGCTCTTTCTCGCCAAAACGATTCATGATTACGAAAATTATAATGTGGACGGCACCCGGTTTTTTAGCATGTGATATGTAGCTTGTTAAATAGCAATGTTATATAACATGTTGCTAAATGTGGACCCTCCTTTAGACATCTTTGTAACTACTAATACGAAAATGAAAATGCGCTGTTGCCATTTTTTTTGAATATGGTTTAGAAGTAACGAAATGAGATATATAAAAAATTATTATTTTATATTGTTGACTTATTTTTAAGTACCAATACAAAACTGAAAATCCGCGGAAATGCGTTGTTTTACCATTATGCAGTGATCTTCTTCCCGACCTTTGACAGAGATCAATGAATAATATCTATTCTTATCAAATTAATATCGCTATGGTCAATAAATGCGAAGATTTAAAAAAAAATTGTCAATAAAGCATAAAAACGACAACTAAACCAAACGAAACCCTAAAAAAACAACCAAACCAAAACAACTAAAAAACCAAACCGAAAGCCGAGAGTATGTAAAAAGTTGAGAATACTATGGTAAACTTTTTATTCAAAGATGGTAAACTTCGAAATATTGAAGATTTTCCATTACACCGCCCTTATGATAAATTTCCGCGGAAAAAGTTATATACAAAAGTTATAGCAAATTATTAATCAAACAAAAATATGTAGTTTTTATCTTCCTATCACATTTCGGCGCTTCTAAACCCGGAAAAATCAATGAAAATTATTGTGATAAAAATATATTTTCTAATAAAAATTAGTTCACATCGTTATATTAAATGTTTTTACGTCATTCTATAATGAAAAACTATTAAAAACACTGTAAAGTTTTAAATTTTAGTTAATAATAGAAAAATTAAAAATTCGAGTTTTCTCAAAACAAAGAATTTCCGCGGCAAAGATCAAATTATGTAATGCTAGTTTTCTTGTATAGAATCATCCTGTAAACCGATATTCTATGTAACTGATTTCGGCTAAACGAAACTTGAGCCCAAATGTAATTCAGCCTTACCTGTATGTTACTGAAAGAACAGATCATTTCAGAAATATGTTTTTTATCACACAAAAGGTCAGTATTTATTGAAGTGAAAATTGTTTGAAACTCTCCAGTAACTTTTAGACAGACTCTACATATTGGCTGCTTACCATCCCATTCCATTTTTATTTTGGAACTCAAAATCACATCAGATCCAAAGGGTATGTTGAATAATTTACCATTTATAAGCTGACATAGCCGTGTCCATACATTTGTCTATTGAAACTAGAATTAAAATACAAGCTTTCTATAAACAAAATTCTTGTTTGATGATATTATATACCGGGTGGTGCATTGGTGGTTGCAAACATAGGAAATCCTTTGCAAATTTTGAACTGTCCAAATATTGGCCTCCTTGTCGATTTTACAGCAAAGTCATAAATAGATTTATTAAAGGTTTATCTATCTTCCTTCGCACGCTGAATACACATATCAAATTTAAAAATTTTGGACAAGCCATTTTTAATTAATTTAAGAAAAACTACATTTTTTTTAAATAACAACTGATGAAGTAACAATGTGAATCCAGCAAATATCAACATACTTTAAGCTGCCTTAAGTTGTAAATCTATGATTGAATGCAATTTGCTGTGCTGTCTATGCTAGTCACGCTACTATGCTATAGTAGGTATCTACAGTTATGTGCCTGATATGCATTTTTATAATTAATTATTAATTTTTACATACCGGACGAATGTGATGCAGTGTTAAGTCAGTTTAATATAGATATTTTCCATACAAATGTAAAATAAATAAATAAGATCCTAAATCATACCTCCTTCATCACAGTGAACTGAGATATCTGCACATTTTTGTTTTTTTACTTTGTATATTTTAGTTTCAATTCAACCAATTTTTTTTTACTTATTGCATTCATTGTACAGTAGTTTTGGTTTTGTTAAGTTAATTAATTTAGATTTAAGTCCCTTAATAAATAATTTAAAAGTTGTTCAAATTAGACAAAAGCTTAAGATTTAGGAAATATAATTTGACAATGACAAAATCTTTGGAAAAAATTATAAGTTGACAACTTAAGGTACGATGGCATTTGCCTGGTTTTGCATAGTTACTTGTTCAGTTTTAATTAAAAAATAGACGCAGTAATTAGTTAAAAAAGGCTTATTCAAAATAGTTAAAAGTTGGCACGAGTATTCAAGCATACCCAGACCTTCAAAAAATCTATTACGCTATAAAATCAATAGGTGAGCCAATATTTGGATAGTTCAAAATTTGCATGGGATTTCCTGTTTCTAAAGCCGATGCACCACCCACTATATCTATTAGGATGATTATATTACAACAAAAGTATATAATAAAGTATATTTATTGTCACAGCCACCATACAGCTACACAATCTTGATTATGGAAAAAAGTTATTTACATCCATTTCATATTGATCCATATACCTATATTGATAAAACTATAACTGTACTTATAATTATACTAATTATACTTACCAAAGACCTTTTTTTTAAAGACTTGTAGCTAGGAGCAGATAGAAAAGTTTGTAGCCTATTCTAGATTCTAGATGGGCATAATATCATTTTTAAACAATGATAATATATTATAATATAATACGAGTATAGGAATATACATAGAATTGAATTTCTTTTAATGGACACCAGAGAATAGGTAGATAGACACAATATTCTTAATTTTTTATCTATTTTTTAAATTTAAAATAATAATATAATCAAAATCTATACCAGAGGCAAAACCAGAGGTCTATACCATTATACCAAAGCGAATCATATACAATCCCAAATAAAATCATATATAAGTTATAGTCCATACGCCAATCCGTCGTTCCCATGGATCTGGTATGGATGCACCCACAGAAAGAATATCTGCTTATATTCTGTGGTCTACTTGGTCGTTGTCTTCTGTATGACAGCATGAGACATGAGATGTAAAATATATCTTCTGTGATATCTTCCTTTGATTTGATTGCTTTTTCCTTGGCGCCATGAATTTTTAGTCACGTTTTATATATTTCTTCTTCCATAATTTCTTCTTAAAAATGAGTGCTGAAAAAGACGAAGACTTTTTAAATCATGAAGAGGAGGAAGACGTCGAAGAGTTGTTCACTTGTAAATATTGCGAATTTCAAACTAAAAATATTGATGAATTAGATGAGCATATTATTATTCACGATGAGGCTGTACTTGAAGAAAATATCGAAGACGAGAGTGGACAAGAAGATAATGTCCAAGTTCAAGCCCAAACCACAAACGCCAAATTAGAAAATTCAAAGGCAAACATAAAAAAGGAAGTTGAATTTTCTGTGAAGGTGATTATACAACTTAATTTTAAATTAGTTATTCAGATATTTATTATTCTAGCCTCTGAGAGTAAGACCTAATACATTTCTTGGTATTAGTAAAAGTCCAGTAAGCAGAACAGTTTTTGTTTGTCCTTATTGTTCTTTACAAACAACTAGAAAAGGTGAAATGAATAAACATTTGGAGACTCATACATTACCTGTAGAAGTACCAATATATAGCTGTTCTGAATGTTCTTATGCTACGAGAAGAAAGTGCGATATGCCTAAGCATTTACTTACACATTGCAAGGATGGAAATGGTAACACTAAATTTAAAAATATTAATAGAAATATGAGTAAAGTCCAATACTGTCATAATTCTGTTATTATCACAGACTTTGGTAATTATTGGGAAAACTGTAAATCGTCCGATTTTTACCAAAATTGGTATACACCCTATTTTGAGGTCCTAGATTAAGAATCTGAACTTTTTTCCTGGCGGTCTCTTTCCGTTTTTCAGAAAAACGGAAAATAATTTCAACATTTAATTTTTCTTTATTTCGGCCCTATAAAGTAATAATTTTACTATATTTTCATTATATTATAGTTTATCTAAAAGCCACATTTTGGTTTCAACTATGCGGAGGGGGTTAATCTTTGTTGTATTAAAAAAAGATTAACCCCCTCTGCAAAGGAGTTATATAAAGACTACTTATAACCACGAAGTTGCACGAAAGAGTTTTGATTGCATTGGTTTCAACTTCTTTGCTGCGGAGGGTTTAATCTTTTTTGATATAATATAACAAAAAAAAGATTAACCCCACCGCATAGAAGATGTAACCAATGCAATCAAACTCTGTCTAACTTTAATAATAGTTAGATCACGTTAGTAAAATAGCAGTTATGGGAAGGAGCCGTTCCTCCGGCAACCGCCTTTTGTAATCCCAGAATGAGCGAAAAAAACGCACTAAATTTAGGTTTAGCGTTGGCAACGTTGCTTTAAATGTCAGAAACACATAACCCAACATTTTCAGATTGTTTACAAATTTATTTTAGCAAATATTTCTCTATTATGCATAGAATTGGTTAAAAAAATAACAGAAAATAGCAAAAACCTCATTGTTTATCGAATACCTAACAAAATATGTGCTAGAAAACCTTAAAAATATGAGAAATTAAGAAAAATTCGATGGCGAAATAATTTTTCGTTTTTCTGAAAAACGGTAAGAGACCGCCAGAGAAAAAAAAATCAGATTTGTAATCTACGACCTCAAAATAGGGTGGATACCAATTTTGGTGAAAATCGGACGATTTCCAGTTTTTCCAATAATTACCCAGACTTTTGCTGCAGAAGTTATTATTACATTTACATTTAAACATAGTTGATTAATTTTTGATCAGGGCATGCCGATAGCATCTTGTGCCGCGGTATTTGCATATTTGTTTTCAGTGAAACAGTGGAACTAAGTAGGTAATGCCTAACTATAGTCTAGTTACAAAAGCAGCTGTGGCTCCATTGCTAAGATGGTCGCTTTTGGATCGAGATGTACTGAGTTCGGATCCTACAAATATAGAATTTTTTTCATTTTTTTTACATTGGTGTGGAGGTTGTCGAGGTGTAGCGAAAGGTTGGTCTAGGTGACTGCATTGGTTAATCTCTGGGGTTATTTTTTTTTGTTTAGATTGCATTTGAAATGCAACCGAGTATCATTTGGGTTTTTGCGTATGCGCATTTTTCAAATACCGCGGCGCAAGATGCTGTCTGCACGCCTTAAGCCCCGTTCTCAGAACTTTGTATTGTCGCCAGCGACACGTCAAATTAACCAATGAGATTTGTTACAAAAGTCAAACAGCTTTCAATTTTGAATTTTGTGCAAATTTTATTGGTTCTTTTGACGTGTCGCTCGACAATACGAAGTTCTGAGAACGGGGCTTTAGCGATTTTTGAAGTCTGACAATCTGTAAACTTATAAACTCAATCTTAACCTAATTTTTTATTTCTTTGTCCGCGTAAATAAAGTGGGCCCCATCCAGATTAGCCTTAGCGGCAAAAAGGGAACATCATAGTTCAGGAGGCAATGATTTTTTTTTGTACTTATTTTCCCAGTGGGTTTATATAAATAGTATGTTTGAATAGTGACATTATATGATAAATTGTAAGTCTGAAATAAGAAAAAGAAAAAAGTCCACTTATTATCCCAGTCATAAATATTTGGCATTTATTAAAGTGAATCAGTTTACGTGCATTGGAATGAAACACCTATAAAAAGTCTAAGCTTAAACAGAGATGGACAACTTCCCCGTTTCCACTTCCAAAACGACTGTCGAGTTAGACAAACTCCAATAAGATAACAAATTTTGGAAATGACGCCGCCTCCCATCCACCTGCCCTTTATCGCCGTTAATATTATCTCTCTTTTTGCGCCTCCGCGTCGCGCCAGCGCGTCAGTCCATCACAGTGTTGCCGGATTTACCGATTTCCGTCAGTAAGCTAACGATCTACCAATTTAAATAAAAATCCAACGATTTGTTCAACTGCGTCTTTAGTCTTTACAATTGAAGCACTTTTAAAAATCTGACACATTTGGACTAAAAATTAAGCGACCATCGCGTCGTAAACCGTATAATCTGACATTCGCAAATATTATAGTTTATTAACTTTTGTTTAGAAATTATAGGTCATCGTTCTATCTGGTCGCAGTATTACGGAGACATTCTCAAAAATCTTTATTATCCCTTATTATGTGTTGTATTGCCGGCATTTCCGAAGATGGTATCTCTAGAAAATATTTTGTCTCATTCATCTACTAAAGTTGAACCCGCATTTGTCTCCAAAAAAAAAATAAACAAAGAACAAGTTAATAACGAGTTAAAGAACAAATAAGTTAAGAAACAAACTAAACACAGATAAATATTTTTGTGCTTCTTCTGTCTAAAAAATATTTTAATAAAAAGAAAAGCTTGTCCATTGACATGAAATTAATTCTACATATGAGCGAACAAATTTGTACAAAGGTAAAAAGTGACTGGTACCCCTACTTATTAGTTTTAAATGTTTTTATTAATATATTAATATTATTTAAGTTAATAAGATTTTTTGATATTAAATAATATTATACCTGGTTATTTCTAATTCTTGTTATATTTCTTTTGTTTATATTTTATTTGCGTGTTCAATTCTATAAACACATAGAAATGCTAATTTTGTACTTAAATATTTTATTTTATTTTGTTTGTGCAGTTTATTATACTTTTGATTTTGTTTGATTATTTGATGAAATATCGATATTTGTTAGTAAAAGAAAGTCGTGAAAAATTATCTAATTATTTTATTTAATAAAGCTTTTAAAAGATCATCAAATAGGTAAGAAATAAATTTACTATCTAACAAATCTAGCAACCTTGAGGCCACTCTACCAAATTTTTTTCCCGATTTTTTTCTTTCGTCGAAGTTCCTCCGCCGACGCACGGCAGCCGCTTTTAGCCCCGCCCCCTCTCCCAGATGCGATCTTCTCACTCATCGTGTCACTTCTAGAAGGGAAAACAGAGTTATCTGTCTTTGTTACACTGCGGGTTGGACTGCAACCGTGTCATCTTTTTTTATCGTATTGAAAATTTATTGCTAATAATAATTTGCCAAACCCGTATGTAAAAGTGAAAAATCTACTGAGAGGCCCTTTAGGAATAGACCCCAGTTAGAGGGTGGATGGGAGATATGACATTATATGGCTGATGAATGCGGTTGGGAGTTTCCGTAAATAAAGTAATTCCTTTGCATATTAGCACTGGCAGTAAAGAGACTTCAAAATAGCTTATTTTTTACTTATACTTAAAAATACACCAATTTTCTTTTCATAATAAATTTTTGTTTAATTTTTTTAGTTACGATGTATCCATGTCCTCACTGTTCTTATTCGACTAAAAGGAAAGGAGATTTGCCTAAACATTTACTTGGTCACCAGAGTTATGGAGATAATCAATTTACCTGTCATCTATGTCCATACGTAACCAGACGGAAAGGCGATTTAAAAAAACATGTAATGTCTCATGAGGCAGAACCTTACATTAAAGATGGATCAATTTATAATTGCACTGAATGTGGTTATACTTCAAAGAGGTTAGTACAGTTTACTGATAGATTTTTAAAATGTTTAAGATTTTTTTTGTTGTTTTTAATTTTATATTGACAAAGTAAATATACACAGACAATAGTAACGTGAACACAACTGAAAATAAAAGCAAGGTTTTAGTGTAAAAATTACGAAAAAATGTTAGTGTCTTCTTCAAAAGCCAATATCTTCAAAAATGATAAAGCTATTGAGATGAATCATAAAATAAACTAGCGAAAAGAGATGCACCTAGATGATAAAATTATTTTCAAATTCATTGCTTTTTTAACATATCCCACAGGGTGTTGTTTTTAACATATCCCACACAACCAAACCAAACTTTCACCAAAACAACATGTTATGTTCCCTCATCTCATATAATTGACAGATGGGAATTTTCATTTTTAATTTAGAAAGAGATATGAAAAAGTCAAATAATTTAGCTACAAATTGCTGAAAAGATCATCAAAATCGGTCGACTAAAACGCAATATATTAAACTTTAAAATCCAGCAAAAATTTAAGGTGCCCGTTTTTCGTGCCTGTGAGTAACATAATAAATAACGTAAGCTAAAAAATCAACATCTTCAACAACAAATCAATATACCGAGGTCAACATAAGTCAGGCAACCATTCATCAGGTTATTCATTCTGAAAACGCGTCTATTCACGTCAAGAAACTCTTATATAATTTTATTATATACCTAAAAACTGCAAGAAATTTATTTTCCATTATATATTTTGGCCTTTATTTACTATCGATAGTTGTGCCTCGGTGGTACGAAAGTACTACCATTGCACACAGGCCGCTATCTCGCGATGCGGGACTTAATATCTTACCGCTAGTTTACGACAAGTCGTGTTTATATACTCTGCGCTGTGCTCGACATATTGTGGAAACGACCCAAGCTCACCTGATGATGGGGTAGGGCCCCGAAACCGGTAGTGAGAGCAGGTTGATCCACATTATGTCGAGTTTTTGAGTTATGAACTTAAAAAAAACATTCAAAAGGTCTTTTCAAGCACTTTAAAAACGGTCATAATCATTTTCTTCGAAAAATGTGTTTTTCGCCATTATTTTACGGTAAAAGGTTGCAATTTAGTTTTCGAAAAATAAGAAATCACACAGAGTGATAACTCGGCTATTATTACACCTACGGTAATCAGCAAAAAATGAATCGTTTAGTTATTCCAAATGCTTCATTTTTGCTTTATGTGAGTTTTGCGATAAAACGCAAGGTTTTCGTGTGATTTATAAAAAATGGCAGAAAAATATGCAGTTTTTAGATGAAAAATCAATCATGAACAAAAATCAAATCAATGAAAAATTTCAATCCTAAATAACTAGGAAAATATTAATTTTCTGAAAAAATGTTATAGAATTCATCCCTTTATTGATTTTTTCTATTAAAATGGTTGATTTATTTTTCACCCCCGAGAAGGGGTGGCAGTCGCCCCCAGGGTGAAAGCACACATCGCTACTATGTAACTTTTGCTTCTTACATATATCTGTATTCACTGTTAAAATTTCACGTCAATCGGTGCAGGTGTTCAGAATTCGGACCCCAAAACCCTCGCTTACTGGTCTAATAACATGTTTTTCTTTCAGATTAAACGATCTCCACAAACACGTTGTTCTACATCGCGATAAATTTGAAACTGACTTTTTTAAATGCACTAAATGCGATTACTCCACTTCTGTTAGTAACCATTTTGCCAAGCACGTGTTGACCAGCTGTCAGTCTCAGGAAAGAAGTAATACAGTCTCGAACAGGAGTCAGAGTTATATTGTATTAGAGGGGGCAGACATGGGTATCTATAAGCTCAATAAGAAAGGAGTGGTTAAGAGGAAAAGAGAAAAGGCAGCAGCTGTCGCAGATTCAGACGAAGAGGAGCAGGAGGATTTTTTGGTTGATAGAAACTATAAGAAACGTAGTAAGGTGGTTGTTTTGGGCGGATATGAAGAACCTGAACAATCGTCTTAGTGAAATGTCACTTTAAAAAAATTGCACTTTCTTTAGTTACCATGGATGTAAAATGTAGTGTATTAAAATTAATTATTATCGAGTATCATTATCATGGTGTATATATTATAGCATACAAAAGTAAAGCTTAAAAATTAAATATTTCTCAAAGAGAAACAGATTTTAAGTAGTTTCATTTTCTTATTTCTAAGAAATTAATTATTAATAAATTATAACGAACTAAGAAATATTAGCTGAAAAACGTAAAATATGGGGTCAAATAAAGATTAATCAAATTTAGTAACGGAATTATAATTCTTTTTAATTTAGAATAATTTATTGCATTTTGTTTCTTTTTTAATATTGCCTCAAAGCAAAAATTAAATCTTGTCAAAAAATAATCCCTGGTATCGTATAAAATAAAAGATTATTTCATAATGAATTGCGTTTCGGTTTATTCTAAGCCATATATCTTCATATTTGCCATATTTCAAACCGAAACGTAAATCATTATAGAGGGTGGTCCGAACTGTATTCCGGAAACTTCGGCAGCATATTCTGCAGGTAAAAATAAGTAAAAATGTTCTTATAAATGTATGTCCTAAAATGCTTTGTTTCAGAGATACAGGGTGTAGAAGTTTCAATTTTATTTCGATTTTTTCCAAATAATTTCTCAAGTAACATCAATATTTGGATGAAAATTGGTGTCTGCATTGAGTTTTTTGACATTGAAAAATTTGATTTTGATGTCAATATGACTCCTATTTGTAAGGGGCGCCACCTACATGTGTACCGAGTGAAAAAATATACATTTCTACGTAAAAAATATGTCTTGGTAAAAATCGCTACGAGCAACCGTTATTAAGATATTTAGAATGGAAACAGTTAATACATGTCATTATTGACAAAAAAAATATGGTGAGTAGATAATTATTTGACTGAAATTATAAATTTGGGAACTTTGTTTTTTAAATTAATCATAAATTTTTCTTCGAACAACGCCCTACTTACGCTCTCCTTTACACGTTAACATTTTTTTGGCAATGTTATTAACATTTTAAATTGTCACAACACAACACGACGCCGACGCCTAGTTCGAATTCTTTTTCACTTATTTTTTACTACCTGAAACAGTGTTATATCACACAAACCAACAAACCTCCTACCTAAGTGTTTTATAGTCTCAATAATTGTACTAGCAAAAAACTGAAATACTTAAATATTGTGACAAAGCCACGATTTCAATATTATTTTAATGCGATCAACATGAACTGTAACCGGGACGGCGTGAAACACATAGCGAAAATTTCTGATTTCTGCCGTATACAGCGCTGCGGTCAGAATTTTTTGAAATCAACTGAAATGCACCAAGTCTATTGACACACACTGCTCATTCAGGCCGGTTCGAGGTCGGATGAGATCGGATATCTCACGAATAAGAGTCGATTTAGACACTCGCCCAAGTAGGCCCCGTCCTGACTAGCATTAGCAGCAAAATGGAAACGTTTAACTTGAAATACTTACTTTTTTTATTCAATAATTCAGATTAATCGAGTCAGTTAATATCGAGTGTGTTGCAATAATCTTTCGTGAATCCGACTTTACAGGGTGTTTCATAAAACATGTGCCATCTCTCGTGGCGATATTCTTCATGTAAAAATAAGATTTATTTTTTATATCAACATAGGTCCGATTCTGCTTTGTTTCGTAGCTACAGAGTGTTAAATCTTAATAATCTTTCGATTTATTATAATTTTCTTCTTAAAGTACTATTAGTGATTCGAATGAACTTTTGAGGGTAAAAGTTACTATAAATGCTACATATTTTAATGCTAAAAAAGTGTCGATAAATACATCAGGGACGTGCATATGGGTCATCACTGGAATCTTTTTCAAACAAAAACATGTGCGCCACTGACTTTTTTTCTTTTGATATCAAAATTGTGTAGGCCGTTTATTGCCATTTAAAAGTTATCTCTTGATATTTTGTCGAATTCGGCCTCCTTGATGAGATAAACGCAATTTTATTAATCACAATTAATAAAATTAGATTTTACCTAATTTATCATTAAATATTCCTAATACTAGTTATTATTACTATTACTGCAACCTACAGCAATTTCAAATACAAAAATAAATGTATTTAAGATAATTACAAAAAAACTAATTTTAAAAATTTTTAACATCCTGTAACTCTACAACTATGCATTTCCATACCCATGTTTATGGGAACTGTTTTCATTTTTTTGGTGAGGAATCAATTAGTACTTATTTAAAACTTTCGCGAGTTAATGATATTAAATTTTTTAAAGGTTGCTATTGACTTGGATCAAGGCAAATTAATAAAATTGCGTTTATCTCATCTAGGAGGCCGAAATCGGCAGAATATCAAGACACAACTTCAAAACAAAAAAACAAAATCGGCATTAAACTGCTTACATTATCTCGCTAACAAGTGAAAAAAAGTCAGTGGCGTACATGCTATTTTTACAAAAATATTCCAGTGATAACCCATATGCACGTCCCTGGTGAATATGTCTACACTTTTTTAGCTTTAAAATATGTCGCCTTTACTTTTAACCTCAAAATTTCATTAGAAACGCTAAAAGTACTCGCAAGAAAATTATAATAAATCGAAAAAATATTAAGACTTTAACGCCCTGTAGATACGAAACAAAGCAGAATCGGACCTATGTTGATATGAAAAATAAATCTTATTTTTACGTGAGGAATCAACCCCATAAGAGATGGCACATGTTTTTTGAAACACCTTGTATGTATTAAAATAAGAGGTTAAAGCCGGGACCCCATTAGCCAACACCTGACGTGATGCCACGCTATCCCACATGTTGCGACGTGGGAATGGGTATACACATTAGATAACACGTGTTAACACGCCTGAAATTTTTATTGGAGTTAAAAAAGTTATCAGTAGGGTTACGAAAATACTAGAAGTATCGATACCCATACCGATATTAGATTATAATCATAATACCAGTACACCAATATATTCAGAATCGAATATCGATATTATTAAATCAATCTTTTGGGGATCAATCTTTTGTTGCCGATTTTTTCTGGATCTATCTTGTTATATCCGATGTTGAATCGATTCAAAATATCGATTTATTTTATTTTTGGGGCATCTCTACTTCAACTACAAAAGTAGATAGCTGCGGGACTGCCTCTCTAGTCCAGGGGACTAGAGGCAAGCGAGGGGAACAACACGCCGTGACACACGTCGGTGAGTTCTGGGACCGACGAATCAACTATCACACGTGTCATAGCGGGTTATACCCGTCGGATGGCGTCGCGTGTTGCCTAGTGTGTACGCAATACATGTAATTAAATGGAAAAACATATGCACAGATCTTCATGACATGGGGTAGCATGGCATCACGTGGCGTAGCGTGTTGGCTAATGGGATCCGGGTTTTATGGTTGCAAACATATCAGAAACAAATTTGGAGGTTGAAAAATAAAGATAAAACTCTTAAGAAATAAGTATATTTCTATATAAACATTTAAAAATTAGCTTAATTCTAGTTGATTAGTTAATTCTAGTTGCCATCTAAAATAAAATAAATAGGCATAGTAAAAATACCACAATAAAATTTTATGAGAACATTGATTTCTAATATATAAAAATGTATCAAATTTACAGATTAGTTGTATAAAAATATACACATAAAACCACCAAAATAAGTAGAAAAGATAAGAACTTTTATATAATATACTCGTATAAAAATACAATTGTTATAAATAAAATTTTATGTCGATTTTATAAAACGATGTAAAGCTGTGCTATGTTTTGAGTACTCAACAATTGGCTTCTGGAGGTGGTAACGGTGCATTTTCTTCATATATCATCATCAGTGAACTATAAGAACGTCTTTTTTTTGTTCCCTAGAAAAAAATCTTTTATTAATTACATATTTTCATAGGTTTGTAAAAATTATATATTAATAAATAATGATCTGTACACTTAAATTTTAGTTATATAACATTAGACAAAGTATAATGCTACATAATAGTTAAGGACGCTAGAAATCTCGGCATATATTTTGACTCTAATTTAAAATTTGATATACATGTAAAAAATAAATTGAAAATTGCATATATGCGACTAAAAGGTTTGGTTTATTTTAAGAAACATCTTCCTCAGAATACAAAATATTATCTGTGCAATTCGCTAATTTTGTCCTTGTTTGATTACGGAGATCTGGTATACGGCTCTTCATTGACTCAAATGGTTGCCAGATCCATTCAAAAACTTCAAAATTCCTGCATGAGATTTTCGTATATCTCATTTCGTACACATGTTACGCCATATTTAAATCAATTTAATATTCTGTCTATCGTAAATAGGCGAAAACTTCATATGTTACCATTTATCTACCGTATCTTACAAACTGGCCAACCGCCTTATTTAAAATCATTGTTTATACCTTTTGACCACACTCATGTAACAAGAAACTTACATCGTTTCAGAATACCTCAACATAGAACGGATGGCTTTCAGAAATCGTTTTCTTTTCTTGCGCCGCAATTATGGAATTCTCTTCCAATCAGTGTTAAATGCTATAAATCACATTATTTTAATAAATATGTTAAGAATAATTTGCTGGTTTTACAATCGAATATAATAGAGAACGTATTTCTAAATTTTTCTTTTATCTTTTGTTATTTTGGCAAACTGTGGTGAACGGGCCTTTAATTTGATACGGTTTTGACTGGCTCACTGCTCAGCTTTACAATTTTGGAAAATATTTGTGTATGTGTTGAAATTGTATTTATATACTTTTTAACTTGCTAAATTGTCTTGCAGACGCTTTGTTCTGTGCGTTCGGGGTTTCTTTTTGCTTTGCCGGTGGTCCTCTGTTTTTTCTTACGGGTTTGTTTGTTGTTGGTATATTATTGTATTGAAAATGAAATTCTGTTTAGTTATTTTTTACAGGGAGTGTGCCACACTGATGCCTTTGGCAATCAGTGAATCGGTTTTATAATCGCGGTGCACTCCTTATTAGGTTATTAGGCTATTAGTCAGCCAAAGTATGGTTTGTATTTTATATATTTTTTATATTGGGGCCTAATAAAAAGATTTGATTTGATTTGATTTGATAATAATATCCTAAAATGTAATAATATACAGGGCGAGTCTTAAATAAACAAATATTTTCAGGGCTGGTAGATCTCTACCACTCTGACTAGTTTAAAAAAACGTTCTTGCCTTTTTGTGTAATGTTTTTACAGTTTTGAAAAAGAAATAATATTTAAAAAGCTGTTTTTTTTATAAATTACCGATAATTTTACATCACTAGGCTAACTGTGCTAATAACTTGCCGATGTTTAGGTGAGAATCGGTCTTAAATGGACGATTTAAGTATGAATATCTATACAGGGTGCTACAAATTCGAGGTACGAGCATTGGTATCTCAGTAACCGTATAATAGATACGAACATGGTTAAATTGGGGCAAAGTTGAGCTTTGTGATGTTCACCAAGATGCCATCAAAAAAGTTTTAAAAATTTCAAGGATGAGTTTTTTTGGAAAAAACGGATTTTTATGAAAATCAATTTTATTTTTTCCTGTCATTATTTTTTAGAAAATCAAAAAACTAATTGCACTTTCTCATAGCCACTTTATTATGGCTATCTGCTAGTATTTTTAGATTTTCAATTTAGCTGATAATTTATGTGATACAGAGGCCAACTTAATATTTTTTAAATACGGACCTGCATTTTTTTATTTCAGATTTTGAAAGAACTCGGTCTACTGAGGTACAATGATATGCCACACTTTATACTTTTTTTTTGTTTTGGGTACCTGAACAACAACAAAACTATTCAATAATTATTTAAAATAATTTCAAGCCCGACTTTGGTTTTTTAAATTATTTAATCTAATTATATTCATCGCAACAATATTGATCAGCGCTAATTAACATTGAATAAGGAAAATTGAGCCAATTGGAAGATTCAAATAAATAATATCCAGGTCAGCAATTTCAATAAGATATTATTTTTAAACTTTTACTGTGAATTTGATATCTCAGTGTGTGATCTAATAATATGCATAATATTAATCGTAGTTATTTTTAATAGTAGTAGTTTCTAATGCTCTACATGTTCGAAAGGATTACCCTTTTGCACAAATTTATTTTTCGTTCAATTTTTATTTATAGCTCTTTGAACTTTCTTCTTATACTTCCAAGAATGTATTTTTGTACTCTTTATTGTAAATAGTGAGATGTATTGATTTCACTTTTAAAAATGATGTCAAGTAATGTCCTCCTCGCCCCTTGGCGACAGGTCTAAAGGAACCCTCGCTGGGCATTATACTGCCCTACCATTGCCAATCCATCTTCCGGGGAAATTATTTTTTATATTATTTTTATTATTGCATTTGATTTTCTGTATTCAATGTTTTACGCCACGTCATTGTTAAGTTTGAAAGCTTATTAATATTGTAACGATGAATAGATTAAATATTAAAAAAAACAGGGGCGGACTTGAAATTAGTTTAAATAAATTGTGTGTTTTAAATGTCCAAAACAAAAAAAAATTAAGTGTGGCATATCGTTGTACTCAGGAGATCGAGTTCTTTCAAAACCTGAAATAAAAAGTGCAGGTCCATATTTAAAAAATTAAAGTTGGCCTCTGTATCTCATAAATTATCAGTCAGTTAATTTGGAAATTTAAAAATACTATCAGATAGCCCTAATAAAGTGGCTAGTGGAGAAAGTGCAATTAGTTTTTGATTTTTAAAAGTAACGACAGGAGAAAATAAAATTGATTTTCAAAAAAATCCGTTTTTTCCAAAAAACTCAGCAATCCTTGATATTTTTAAAACTTTGTGAACATTCCGTCATCTTTGTGAACATTCCAAAGCGGAACTTCGCCCCAATTTAACCATGTTCGTATCTATTACGGTTACCGAGATACCAATGCTCGTACCTCGAATTTGTAGCACCCTGTATATATTATCTTTATATTATTATTATAATTTTTCATTAATGTAAGGTTAAGTACTTACTTCAGCGCCATTCGCAGATGTGTCATCGCCACTACTGCTGCTCGACATAAACCCTTCCTCTAGTGTTAGTGCTTTAGATAAACCTTCCAATTCCATTTCTATATAAAGTTGATGCAGTTGATCGTTGACCATCATTGGCTAAAAAAATAAATTCAATTGAACCCCTAATTTTATTTAGAAATGTTAAGAAACGATGAAATAAGCTTAAATATTTTATATAATACTAACCTGATTGACATTTTTAGGACATTTAAATCGATTTTTTAAGTATATCTTCTAGATCTTTGACGGATACTTGGTATCGATAAATTAGTTCTGGAGACATGGATACAGATTCCAACCATGGCGGTTCTTTTTTCCTCATAGGGTATGATTTTTGGTGTTGTCGTAATATGTCCTTTAAGGAAAACTAGTATTTGAATATTTTAATCGTCAATACTGAAGGAACAAAAAGTTTATCAATGTCTTGTTTATGTCCACAGTTAAAAACATCTGATTTTATTCATTTTTTAAAAATGGCGCATCTCATAATATATGACACGGAGGGTCAAAGGAGAACGATCTTGGTGGGATATGTTAAAGACAGTGTTTACACCACTCGACCAACTATTGTCGACAATATGAGGGAAATGATTGTGGCTGCTTTTCGAAGTAGAATCCCACATATCCTCTGAACACTAAAAATCTTTTGATTTTATGTCATCTAGGTAATTTTGTCACACAATACGTGTATATTTAGTTTTAATTCTGTAATAAAGTAAAAATATATTTTAAACGTGTATATTTTATTACCGTTGAATATTACAATCAATATCCTTTTATTTTTGTTAAATTAACAAGAGTATATTGCAGCTACCTAGATTTTATCAAATAATAAATATCTACGGACGTAAAATTCCGAGTGTTCCGAGAAATGACGAAGCGTTCCATTAGAAAAAAAAACAACTTTGATGTGTAACTTATTTTGGGAACACGCTGTAGAACTTCTAGTATATATTTTTTATAAAATGATTTCATTTAACCTACATATACTCCCTAAAGTTCATTTCGATATAAACTATCGTTCCTCTGCCTAAGCCTCTGCGTCGCGTCGTATGGGAGGCGCCACCATCAATAATTTAAAACTTAAATTTCATTCAGATTTTATTTCTTTAATGATAATTTATGAATAAATAATTTAATGGAGTTATTATATAAAACATACACAGGGTGAGCGAAAAAAAAATCGGGATGACGTTTAAAAAATATTAGGCGATTTTCATATAAAAATTTTTAATTTGACGTTTCTCTAAAATGTTATTTATACAGGGTGAACCAAAATCACAATATAACTTGTCTTTTTTTCTTGTAAACTGGTTTATGCAGAAAAATTTGTAGAGGCAAAAAAGTTCCTAAATTGACTTTTAACTAGAAACATTTTTATTTCAAAATTAGACAGGAGTAAAATTTATAGTGAAACATTGAAAAAGGACTAGCTGTTTGAACACTCTATATGATAACAAAATATTTATAGCTGTAAGTATTATTCCACACAAAAACACGACTTGATAAATAACATCAATAATAAATAACTTACTTGATCCATACATCAGATTTCAATTTTTTAACTTGAACCGTTTTTGAAATACTTATTTTGAACTTTTTTCCTTACTTTTTTGAACTATTTTAAAAACTGATCTTGGTTCACATTATACCGGGTGCGTCTCAAAACCCCTATAACTTTTTATTTTTCAGATAAAAAACGAGATTTAGTATGTTAGTATATGACATAAATTGAAATTGATTGACGTATTCAATTGTTTTTGGTCACTTCCTGTTTCACCGGAAATGACTACAACTTTTGAATTTTAAATAGCACCCTCATTTTTTGTTTACTTTATTCGATAGAAAATGACACCCTGAATAGAATGACATATCATATGTCAACTTTTGACATTTTCTCATACGGTTTATTTAAAATTGTAAAATGCAGTTCATAACGACAATTCGACTCGAAATGGCAAGTGTGTGGTACCAAATTATTCGTAAAAAAATGCTTTTTCCAAATAAGCTAATGAGCCACTCTCGTTCCATTTGAAAAAATTAAGATATGATTAAAAATACGATTTGAGCATCTTTAAACCGACCAGGACAATACACGAAAAACATTAGACACTGAAATCTATTTTTCCAAGGCTTCTTGATTAAAAATTAGTGTTTTTAACATAGCCATGGAACTCTAGATTGAAATTTAAAATACGATTTGTTTTAAAGCGAAAATGTCAAAAGTTGACATATGATATGTCATTCTATTCCCAATGTCATTAAATGAACAAAGTAAAAAAATACCGAGGGTGCCATTTAAAAATCAAAAGTTGTAGTAATTTCCGGTGAAACAGGAAGTGACCAGAAACAATTGAATACGTCAATCAATTCTATTTTACGTCATATACTAACATCCAAATCTCGTTTTTATGTGAAAAAAATAAAGTTATAAAGTGAGCCTCTTTTGAGACGCACCCGGTATAAGCAAATAAGTTTTTAGGGAAACGTAAAAAGAAAAAGTTTGTTTCATATACAGAATTTTTCTGTTACTAAAAAGCAATCACGGCCAGAATTTTTAGCATTTATTTAGCATTTATTCTATACACCCTGTATATGCTCCAAAGGCACGGGAAGTTAAAATTACTTTTTGTTGCTATTTTTATATTTTTACAGTTTGGAAATTTTATGCCAAATTTGAAACAGAAATGATAATGAAATATGATTGAAAAAAAGCTTCAAACGGCTGGGGAATGACAATACATGATAATTTTGTCGAGGTCAATCTCTAGACGTCATTTACTAAAAATTGATATAAAACTTAAAATTCACTAATTATAGAAAGGTTAAAAAAGGATAGAACGTTTCCAGACACACAAATCTATTTCCAAAAAAATATTTTTTCTCGAATTTGAAACTACACTATTTTAAAAATCACTTTTCTCAATATAAAAATAAATTACAACATTATTAAGAACAACTGGCAGTAAGCGCCATTAAAAATTAAAGAAGAGTTCGGGCCGTAGTAGTAATGACGTCTAGGGCTTGATCTTGCCAAAATTATTATTTTTTTTCCATCGTATGGTACTAGATTCTAGATAGAGTTTTCTCCTCAATAAAGACAATAAAACGATACGATACTGTATATGGAGTAGAACATGGTAGATAGAGAGTTATACCAGAGTCTATAACTACGTCTGTTTTTACATATACTCACATCGTCAATTTGACTAGTCCTGTTCTGTGATGTGGTATCGTCATTTGATCCAGACAGTGTCAGTTTTCAGAAACGAGGAGTACGAGGAAGAGTAACAACTGCTCTCTTCATCAAGTTGTTATTTTTTCTGTAGCTAATTCTAGTTTAGGTTTAGGAATTTCCTGCATCTGAAAATAAATAAGATAGACATGCTTTATATAGGAAATAAATAAAATATGTAGGAACAATCATTTTAAACTTGGACAGTCAAAATAATCTTTAGTAGTTTTATTTAATTTGACGAGTAAAAAACATTTAATTCTAATTTAAAAGCCAAATTTACAAGGCGATATTTTTAGGTACATTTCCTTCCAATTTTGGATTTGCACCTCTTGTTAGTTTTCTTTAGTATCGCCATGTAAGCAAAAAGGAAGATGTACACGTATAAGTTATTAAGTCTAATGGATAAACATGTTTAAAGATATCGTTCTCATTATGGAAGATACTTTTTGTATTATATTTTGGTAATATTTAAAATGTGCATTATTTGATGATAATAGCCTTATATACAAGGGTAATGCGCTATATATATATATATATATATATATATATATATATATATATATACTATATATATATATATATATATATATATATATATATATATATATATACAAGGTTAGTGAGCTAAGACGACGACCATTCGTGCCTTGAACTTTGGTACGGCTAATGTCAAGGATGGAGAGCTGGCCTCTGTGGAGCCGTCTCAGATATTGGCTTTTGTTAAAGCCTTGAGACTATGATGAGTTATAACTCGTTATTACTCAAGAAAGGGGAACACATAACAGATCTTTAAGGTCGCGGTGACTAACTCCCCTCCTAAATATTCTACATTCTATATTCTACAAGGGTAATAGGTAGGTATGTAAATGTAAAATTTAAAATTAATCCAAAGTTTAAAATTTAGTTTAAACTAACAATTTTATCCTTTAATATTTTATGGTATATAGCTAACTATATGTGAAACTGAAACATGAATCTTTGAACTGAAAGAAAAACTGAATCATGTAACATTTTTTGGGATATTTTTTACTTTTTCTAGTTTTAAAATTTTATTTGTCCTTCTTTTACTCGCATAACTACTATTTTTGGAGATAAGATTGTACTCAAATATTCCAATCAATGCAATTGTGACTGGGTGTTTCCCCAGGAACTTAATTTAAACTTAGCTTTTATTATTTTATGTCGATTTTTAGGTTTGTTTCAGTCATTATGGTTTCAGTAGTTATATTTTGAAACATTTGAAATACATATAATAAAAATCCTTGATTTATTACAGAAATGGATTATTATTAACTGGGAACGATTTTTAGAATTGATTGCTATAATTTCAGTACGTGTAAATCAACCTTTCAAAGCTAATTCTACAGAAACTTTTCGCGACATACTGACCTGGTAATTAATCCTAAACTCGTGGTCTGGGTTTAAACGTGTAAGATAATAATGGAAATATATTCTATGTTTTAATCAAATATGTCACAACGAGACAAAAAAAGTGGTCTGATACATTTCGTCTATGAGGTATTGTTGACAGATTTCGGTGACTTTAAATTACTACTGCAAAAGATTTTGCACTAGTAATTATAAGTCCACCACAATTTTTTTTACCGAAATATGCGTTCCGCATATTGCAGGTTTGGTCCAGCAACCCCTAGTCTTCGCACAATATTCCTAAACTTTTATTTGTGTACCTGGTTAATTCAATATCCTTCCCATCTAACTCATCTGTATACATACAGTGTCCCAGATAAAGTTTGCATCATATGGAACTTTTTTTATTTATTGACTTGATGAAATTTGACTTGGGCGATAGTTTCTGCTTTGATATAGATTAAAAATTTACTCTGTTGCCGTCGGGTATCTATCAAATTGGACGTTTAAAGTAATAAATGGCTAAAAAACGGGTTTCGTGGCTAAATTTAGAAAAACTTTACTTAAAAAAGTTGTCTTTCTTTAATTCTACATAAATATACCAGTTTTCAGCCATCTAGATGAAACCATTTTTTTCGCCATAGCCACCAATTCTCGTGATAGAAGCAAAAAAAACTGACATGAACCCGTTTATCATTCAAATATTTATCTAGTATTCATATATTTTTTTTTTTATGAAAATCTATAAATCAATCTATAATAATTCTTCTATATATCGAGGTGATAATATTTTTTATACATTTTTATGTCTAATTACCTAATTTAAGTTTAAATTTAGTATTGTGCAAATAAGTTCCCAGCATGTACCGGGTGGCCAACTAAGAATGGACACCGGCTCTATCTTAGAAACTACTTATCGTATAACATTGGGGAAAAAATCTAATAAGTAAATCCACAAGAGAAATTGCTGAAAATTATTAATTATTAATTATTTTTAAGTTTGAAAAGTGTCCGCTAGGGGGCGTATATGTGATGGCCAATCATAAAACAGGATTTTCCTAAAAAATACGCAGGTGAAGGTATTTTAAATATTGCTAATGTAATCAATGGGAAATTTGTAGCCTTCCCCCACTAGTCTATTTTATGAGATAGAGCAAAATACTCTATATAAAAAAAGTTACAAATTTCTCGATGATTACAATAGTAATATTTAAAATACCTGTCCACCTGCATATTTTTGAGAAAAACCCTGTTTTCTGATTGACTATCAGAGAAGCGCCCCATAGCGAATATTTTTCGAACTTAAAAATAATTTCCAGTGATTTATGTTGGTCGATTTACTTATTACAATATTTTTTCTAAAGTTATACGATACGTAGTTTCTGAGATACAGCCGGCATCAATTCTTAGTTGGCCACCCGGTACGAATAGAAATTTTATGATTCCATTTTTGAGGTACGAGCATTAATATCTCGGCAACGGTTAATAGATACGAATATGGTTAACTTAGGGCAAAGTTGCGCTTTGGGATATTCACCAACATGCCATTAAAAAAGTTTTAAAAATTTCAAGAATTGCTGAGTTTTTTAGAAAAAACAGATTTTTTTGAAAATAAATTTTATTTTTTCCTGTCTGCTGTTGCTTCTTAGAAAATAATAAAATAATTACTTTATTAGGTCTAATTGATAGTATTTTTAGATTTTCAAATAACTTGATAATTTGTGAGATACAGAGGACAACTTAATATTTTTAAATACCGACCTGCATTTTTTATTTCAGGTTTTGAAAGAACTTGGTGTCCTGAGTACAATGATATGCCACACTTTATACTTTTTTTTTTGTTTTGGGTACCTTAATAACAACAAAACTATATAATTACTATTTAAAATAATTTCAAGTCAGACTCTGTTTTTTTTTAAATTTTTTAATCTGATTATATTCATTCCAACAATATTGATCAGCGCTAATTAACATTGAATAAGGAAAATCGAGCCGATTAAAAGATTCAAATAAATAATATTCAGGTCAGCAATTTAAAGATGTTATTTTTATTTTTTTTCTTGTGAATTTGGAAATCTGTGTACGATCTAATAATATGCATACTATTAATCGTAATTATTATAAATAAATCAACTTCTACAAACTAGTTGCTAATGCTCTACATGTTCGAAAGTGTTACCACCCTCCCTATTGCACAAATTTATTTTTCGTTCAATTTGATTTATAGCTCTTTGAACATATCTCCTTCGTATACTTCCGAATGCATTTTGTACTTTTTTATAGTAAATGTTACAATGTTTGATTTTACTTTTACAAATGATGTCAAGTAATGCCCCCCCCCCTTGGCTCCAGGAATCTCGTTGGACGTTATACTGCTCTACCAATTCCAATCCATTATTAAATTATTTGATTGTTTATATTATATTACATTTATATTATTTTTTATTGTTTTATCGCATTTGATTTTCCGTATTTAATGTTTTACGCCACGTCATTATTAAGTTTGAAAGCTTATCAATATATTGTAACATGAATAGATTAAATATATATTTTTTAAAATATTTAGTCTATTCAACAGAGCCGGACTTGAAATTAGTTGAAATAAATTGTGCTCAAACATCAGAAACAACAAAAAAATATTAAATGTGGCATATCATTGTACTCAGGAGATCGAGTTCTTTCAAAACCGCCAATAAAAAATGCAGGTCCGTATTTAAAAAATTAAGTTGATCTCTGTATCTCACAAACTATCAGCTAATTTGAAAATCTAATAATTGGCGCCAGGAGGCACGTATAGCCGCCCATACTAAAATATGTTAATAAAAAGTTGGTAGGCAGTTCTTTTAGTTTCAAAGTAAAGGAATTTTTCCAATTTTGGTTCGCGGTTATTTCCCCTATCCGGAACCTGGGGTCGCGTCCGATGGGAGTTTGGAGTTCTCCACACGGATTTTCTCAAAAACGGACTACGGAAACACGGAATATCTCAAAAACTGCGACACTGACTGATTTTGATGTTATTACAAATTTTGTTGCAAATATTATTCCTAATCTTTAATTGAAAACTTTTTTTGCCGATCTTAATAACCTACCATACCTGTTGGTATGGTCGGCTAAAAATACTATCGGATAACCCTAATAAAGTGGCTAAGAGAATGTGAAGTTAGTTTTTTGATTTACGCGAGTACTTAAGGGTTAAAACTATGCATTAGCCCAGTTAATGATATTAAAAAAATTAAAGGCTGCTATTAGACTTGGATTAAGACAAATTCATAAAATTGCGATTCTTTCATCAAGGAAACCGAAATCGACAAAATGCTACGAAACGAAGCAGAATCGGACCTATGTGGATATAAAAAATAATTCTTTTTTTTTTACCTGAGGAATCTCCCCACGAAGTATGGCACATGTTCCTTGAAACGTCCTGTGAACCGATTGAGTTTTACAATAGCTGTCGTTTTCATCGAAATCGCCCACGGAACTATTCCTCGAACTGGGAGAGTAAGATGGCGGCGGAGATGGGCCATCTCCCTTCCCGCGCGGCCGATCCACCCTCTGCGATATTGCTCTTTGACGAGAGCGATGAGATAATCTTTGTTGGACATGGCTCGCAAGGGTTGCATTAAAGATTATGTCACGAGTAATTTTTTTAGGGATACTTATGTCGAAATATGAAATGACGGAAGTGCCAGAACGGATGACAGAATGCTACCGAATTTGTTACAGGTAAACAGGTTGCTTGACAGGTAAATAGTTAATA